TGTTGTGGCATTGCATAAAGCGGCGTAGTCCCTGTGCAGATCTTTCTTCATCGACTGGCGTCTAGTGCTATTCATATCATGCAGGCAATTCATTGCCAAAGCAATGCCGTCGGTGAGAGTGGTCAAGAGCTCTTTGTTGTCTGATTGGTTTTGTTTCAGAACAATATCCGTCGCTTTGGTAATAGCGACAACAGCTGCCACAAGTGAATTTTGTGACTTTTGATGTTTTGAGTCCTGTGTGCGGACTTGTGCTGGGAGCTGACTCCAAATGAGTGGATTTACTCGTGGCGTTCTAAGCCCCTCGATGTTCGCAGGCTTAGGATATTGATCCACCTTTGCTTGGGTCTTTTCGTCTGGAATTTTGTCTCTGAGGAGACTATTCACAATGTTAGCCAGTTCCTCATCCACAGAACTCCCAGTTTTCTCACTCAGATTGAGATCCTGAGCTATATCATGAAGAGCACTAGTGCTCTTTGATTTGTTGTCTCCCGCCTCGCGGGCTTTGGTCAATTCGCTGACCTTTGTATCGAGAGAAACAATTGATTCTCTGTCAGCATCTCCGTGCTCCAGTTCGCCCTCTTCGTAGTCGAGGTCCTCGTCTTCGAGGTTAACGGGCTCGCTCAGCTGATCCATTCGTCGGTTCATTGCTTTCACTTCTTGGACTACCGACTGGACCATGCTGGCCAAAGCGTTCATCGTTGGTGTCTCGCCGGACTCGTTGGGGACGTCGCGAGATGCTCCTTCAAGTTCTGTCATGTTCCGAGTTCTAACCTCGTTAGAGCTACGTATGTGTGATGTAAGACCAACTACGTTGGTTCTTAAAGGTTCAAGTGATCTAACTACGTTAGATTCGGCTTTTTCCAGTTGTTTTCTTCTTATTCTTTAGAAGTCGACTTGCTTGATGCAACGCACGTGTGCAATGACTTGACGCATGCGCTGTGCTATCTCTGGGCTCTCCATGCCTCCGGTCATGTGATAGAATTCCATATCTACAAGCAACCATGTATTATATTGTTTATTATATCAACACAATAGCCCTTTACTGACAAGAAAAGCCGACTTCATTAATGAATGAAGATAAAAGAATCAGCCATCCCCGCATACAAATCGTAAAGTGCGTTGGCGCTAAAGTTCAAGATGAAAAACTGCGTTGAATCATGAGAACAAAAAAACAATGGGTGTAATTTTCGGCTTATCCTTGGTATAAAAACCTCACAACTGACGTCACGAAATGATCTGCGTCAGTCAGTGGTAAATCAATGGATCATTAGATCACCTGTGTCGAAATAAGCACCAAATTCTTAGTCACAATCAAGGCATTTTATGTCAATCGAGAGATTGAGTCACAGGAGAGTTGTTCCAGTTTTTCACCTCGCACACAAGCGCGGGGATGACAATTTCCGATGTCCAAGTCCTTTGGCATCAAAGTCTGTTTGACGAGTATGGTGTACAAAAGATGAGTTTCCTCACGGAGAAGAACGAAAGCCTAGAAGCATTTCCAAGTTTTTCACCGAAAGGCATCAAGGTTGGAGAAAAAGTTTCAACATGCTGTTATATTATGGGATACTTTAAAAAAGAACATCTGTACCACAAAAGAATGTGTCAGATGAGAGCTTCTTCATTAAGTGCTGATCATACATTTAAAGTGTCTGCAAATATTGGCTTTTGGTGTGAGGGAAAGTGGATACAGCTGTATGACAGTTAATTCATAGTTATGAACGAAATCGGCATAGTTTTAGCCTGTAAACTTTGCAAGGGAACAGCTTTCGATTAAGTTTTAAGATCTGTAGACCAGTTTAAAAGACAGACTTGCCTCTAAAGGTTGTTTTGTGAACCATTTCTATATTGACAACTGTTGCCAGTGGAGGCATAAACTGAATTCTGTTTTTGATGAAGTGTCTATAAAGCTTGATCCTTTCCATGCAATACAGAGAGTAGTGACAAAAATACCAAAGAAGGGTGGCAGTGGGCCACTTCAGAAGCTGCGCACGCAAATGCTGCATGACTTTAAATTGATTCTGAGGGACCCAACAGACCATGGAATGAAAAGATCAAAGTCAACTCCATCAGTGAGTATTATTGAGAAACACATTGATAACTTTCTTATACAGTAGAAATCTGTAGAATATGAAGGAACAAAGGTTATCCCCCAGAGTGCTATTAATGAAATTGAAAAATTATCAGTTCATGTCCAAAAGGGTTGTTTGTCAGATATTCCACCTTCTGGAGGTACCAGTCGGAATGAAGGAATTCATAAAGTTCTTAACAAAACTCTGAGGAAGTCAAGAATTGGAATCCAATTTGCATTAGCACTTCTTGGCATCTTCTTTTATATATGGAACGAAAAGAAAATAACAGCAACTGAAGACCAAAGAAGAATGAGGGTGACTCCACCAATTGAATCACATTTTGAAAATTTGGAAAGCAATCAAGATGGATCTGGTAATCATCATTTTGGAATAACTAATCAAGATGTGGTCCTACCAAAAACTGGAGACTTTAGTTTATCTTCATATTGTAGTAACCATGGACAAGATAACACTCAGGGAGAAATTGTGGAACAATTAAATAACTTTTTAGATGGCATGTCATCAAACATATCCTCAGATGAAGATGAACCCAGTGTTTCTTAAACTATCTCACCACCACCCTTTCCCAATTTGAGCAAACAGCAGCAGCATAAAGTTATGAAGTCAGCAAAATGTATCGTAGAGCTTTGTGAACAAATTCAGTCACTTGGCCAGTATGCAAGATTTAATCCAAACTTTTTGTTATTTACAAAAAGTAGCTCGACACTCTTCCACTCTGGTTTAGTTAGCAACAAAGAGTCTTCCACACTTGATAATGTTCTATCAAATTTCAACATGGTCCGTGTTAATGTTCCACCAAATGGTAACTGTTTCTTCCTGGCTATGGCATATGCAATAGTCAATAGCATTATTCCAAATAAAGCAATATCAAATGATTTAGTCAGCCATCTGGAGTCACTTAGACTAATGAACTGCAAAGACACAAATGAAATGAGCCATAAGCTGCGAGAATTAATAGTACATGAGTGGATCTCTCACCCAGAGGATTACCAGCCTTTCCTTGGTGTTTGACAATTGTTAGACCATGAAGCATCTTTATTTCTTAATGATGGTCATCTCGCATCAGAGTTCGGCAATTGCATGGCACTTGCAATGGCAAATTCACTCAATCTTCCAATTGTAGTAATCACACAAACGGAAAGTATGTCAGTTGTCCCAGTTACACTAAGGGAAACTCTTCAGTGCCTACCAATCTTTGTCGCATTTGATCATGCAGGTGTGGGTCACTATGATGCTGTAGCACACAGTACAAGCCATTCAGTGGTCAATGAAACACAATCATGTTCAGTCAGCAGCATAGCTACCAATCCTGAATCTTGTCGTTGTGGTTAAGGTGCAAGAAAAAAAGAATCCAATATCACCTCTTGTGATAACTTCAAAAAAAGGTGCAAGTGTTTTCAAAGTGTGAAAGGTTGTAATGACAACTGCCAGTGTCTTGGGTGTGAAAACCCATATGGAAAAAAGGCAAAAGCAGAATACAATAGTTATCCATCCGAAACAAGTAAAAGAAAACGACGAGCACAGGAAATGACAACAGAGAGTATGTCTAGAAAACACTTTCTGCTTAAAAGACCCTGCTTGGAGAGTGTTAGCAGATGGACACTTCTTGAAGAGCTAGCCCTTATCCAGATTGTACAGTCCTCATTTACTGCAGCTGGCAGTGATATTGATATTGATGTCATTGCGATGCAATACTCGCAGCTGGTTGATAACTCTGGAATTCATCCCAAGTCTCAAGCTCAAAATTCTGGAAAGGTAATTTCTTTTATGAATGACTATAGAGTTTATAAGGCGTTGTTGAAGGAGTAAGTGAGGTTGAATTGCGTCTGTTAGTTTGGTGCACAGTAAGATTCATTAAGTATGACATTCCGGAAAACTTATCAATTTCCAGTACATTGAAAAGTGCTTATCTGATTGCATGCATGTATATTTCCAAATCTAAGAACTGTAATCAGGAAATTAGACATATGTGTAGATGTGTAGTTCCAGAAAATATTTTTTAGTTTCGCATTGTACACCACTCAGGAAATTCCACTTCAACTTTATACTTTTCTTCTAAGATTTCCCCCACCCCCTTTCCACACCCACACCTCCTAGGGAAATTCCACACAGTCTGTGTATAGAGTATCGCTACATGTATTTACTGGAACAACAAAGACGGGAAAGGAAAGGGGGAGAGGGAGAAAAGGGAGAGGAATGTCTGCTATAACAACCCCAGTTTTTATTCTGCCCATCAATTTTACCCTAATCCTGTTATGTCTTCTACCAAGATCAGCACTGATTAGAATATTCAAATAGTGAAAAGGATAGGTGCAGGAATGCAGTTTGATACTAGTTAATGTGTTACTAATTGTTGGTTTGGGGAATCAGTATTTTGCAGCTGCTAGTGGCTGCAGAAACGAAGAAAAGGGGTTTCTTATAGCAGATGCTCCCCGCCCTCTTTGCCAGTCTCCCTCTTTTTACCCCTCATTACGCCTACTAAGCAGCCTACAGAATCTGTGTAGCACAGTAAGTCTGCAAGACTGAAACAAACTCAACGTCCAAGCCTATTTGTAATTAAATTTGGATATATGGCATCTGTAACTGATCTAAAGTCTGCTGGATTTGGAATGCCAAGATTTGAACCAGTTGCATTTCTGATATGCCAATATGAACATGCTTATAAAACATGGGAGGGAGGGGGGGGGAGGAAGTGCAAACTGTTTATTATAAAATAATATCATCAACCATGCCAATCAGACCGAATTGCAGTCATTATCCCATGCTGGTTGTTATAATTGAATGTGTATGGGGTGATTAAATATTACTGCAACTACCCATCAAATCCTGCTTTCAGGTAGTCAATAAATTCTGTATATAAAAATCACATTTGTTTTGTTTTGCCTGGTTTTGTCCAGGGTTTTAGATAACATGAGGAATAGTTTACGTGCTTCTTTGTGAAGAACAAAACATAAGCAGAGGATACTTACATATTTACTGAAGACTAAGTAAACTTGGTAACAATTTGTTTTGCCGTGATATCTTTATTTTTGTTTCTCCCATCTGCTTAACTGTAACAAAAGTTTTTCTACAAACATCAATAACAATTTACTATAAATAAATATTGTAATCAATCATGACATGTCTCTCATGACAATAAGTCTGGTAACATCCTCTATTTGTTAACATTAAAATTATCCTGGAAAAATGCTGTATTTTACTAGATGTAATTTCAAAAACATGTGCAAAAGAATAAGAGTAGGTGAGGATTTCAAAATTCTTTTATTGGCATTATTTTAATAAAAATTATTTCAAGCTTTGGGGGTATAATGCTATTGAATTATCATTAATATTTGAAATGTAGCTATTATGGATATTATATACTTGTGGCACAAAGTATGAAAAAAATAACCTTGTAAACCTTCCGAATACAGCCATGTTAATATTTTTTTGTTATCATGCAATCAAACCATGTTCTTCTGCTAATAATTTCTGCAATGCTTTATACCAAAGTATAATTTTTTATCTTAAAGCCCATGATAATCAAAAGCTTAAAACTGGAGCACAACTTATAGCAAACATTTTAATCATCATGACATACTTGAGGCATACTTAATGCTGGCCAGTAAACGATCGCTGTACTACAAATGACTAATGGAATAACTGTAAATACCCATTCAAGCCCAGGTATTGTGGCCCTGTCGCAAATCAACTGAAACTGAAACTGACTTTTACCTAATCATCATTTGGAGAAACTACACTAATTTTCCCAAGTAGCAGTACTATGCAACTCTGTTGTCCTTTTCAACATTTGGTGGGTTGTTTAGCAGTCTACTCTGGGTAGGGGGTAGGACAGGGGGCTAACATTTTACACTAAAGGGATACAGTCTGACTAGAAGAATTACTCATCTAAAATTGGAGCCCCTTCTTGTTGGAGGTATGCCCTCAGTTCGTTTTCCTGTGGGTGATTTTCAAGCATCTTATCCCTCTGGGAGGAGGGAAGAAGGTCATCCTTCCAAACATTTGCTTTATAATCTTCAAGGGACAAGTTAAGAGCACCAAGATGATGTTCAGAATTAGCAAGGGTTAATGGTAGCGCTTTATAGAAGAATGTAGACTTCTGTACCTTCTTGAAACTGCCAAGAGATTCATCGGTCAGTTCTTGAAAACACTGTTCTGTGACTTGAGGGCTGGGTTGCGAACTTGAAGAAAAACTGTTGTAGACGCGTTTTACACTGCAAAACGGCCCAGGTAGGCATAGAATTTTCTTCTTTATGTCTTCTTTCGAGACGTCCAGACGTATTGCTGAAGCCCCTTGTTTCAACTGCAAACACTGTCATAAAACAAAACAAAACGGAAAAATTTTGTAGCTCGTAATTAACAAAATTAAATTTTGTAAAATTACCTAAAATAGCGTGACCTAGCCCCTTCAATCGAACCAAATCGAACTCAATCCATGGATTTTGTCCAAGGATTCAAAAGTTATGGTGGAAAATCTCGTCATAACTTGGTTTAGGAATGAAAACTGCAAAGACTTTGTTACATGATCTTCGCCTTCCTTTACATTAAAGCTGAAATGCTGGGAGTCTTTTACTACGTATTCAAGGCTAAGCGACAGTGCATCTGAATGCATTCCTGAATTTCAGCGTGTACCAAAAACACGTGCTACAATCCCGGGTATACACAAGTAATTCGAGCCTCCAAGAACTTGATTTTGAAAACCAGTTTTACCAAAGATTAAGAGTTCGGAAATAATGCAATGTCCGATTGAGTTCGACAAATAAAAAAAGAAATGAACACTTACTGCTTCAGCAACTCCTCCGAAAGCGAGAAGGGTGTCATGCAGAGTCAAGGCCATGTTCATGGTGCTTTCGCTGATTGTCGTTGGGGTTGGTCCAGCAAGTTGATTTAAGGTCTTGTCAAGACGATGCCATAGCACGTGAAGATTTAGGGCCAACCTGAGGGCGTTTTTCTCTGTTTAGGCGTTGCACTCAGGATTAAACGCACCAACTGAAGATGACATGATGACATCTTCCCCTTGCAGTATTTTATGTACAGCTCGCGGGCGGTTACAGTTAATGTGTATTCAACAGGGTTTTCCTGGTGGTGCTCTGTGTAGATATGTTCATACACCATCCCTAAGCCTTTCAAAGGACCTTGCTGGATATCAGAGGAACACTGTTCCATCTCTTCAATTTCCATTTGGTGGCGATCCTGGTACATAATTAAGACGCGATCCGCAAGTCCGTTGCGGCAAGCGACAACCTTTGGCCATATTTCAGTCAAAAACCTTCGAGGTGTTGTGAAGGTCGCCATACTCATACGCGCACTCTTAACGCCCACCCGCTTTCCTTTGCCGTTAACGGAATACCAATAATCGCCATCGTACAACTTGCAGATACGCTCCATTGTCAGAAAAGTATGCGATGCTGACTCCAACATTGAAATCAGTTTGCTCAGGAAGGTATAACCTTCATCAATGCACAAGACGGGAACACATTCCCCGGCTGCACTTTTTTGGAAGTTCACAAAATGGTTAAAGAGACCATTCGACGACGTTTCGTCAACCAGAATGCTTCGATCAATTCGTAGCTCCAAGTGCGAAATTAACGGTCCCACACATCCAATGTTGCAGGCGGGGGTTTTTCCAGCTCCGGATGGAGCCAGGCCTAACATAAACAGATTTCCCTTCTCTTGAAAGGAATCAAACAGCTTTACTGCGTTGTTGCCAATTAATGCACAAGTGCATGGCGATATTCTAGCCAAGAGTAGCTCCGGTGAGGTACCGTGCGTTTTCAAGTATACTTTCAGTCATTCGTGGATGTGGGCCGGAGCAATTTCGTCATGTGAATGTGAATTTCGGCAAGCTTTCTCTCAAGATCGCCTACTGAATTTACCTCTCCAAGTCCTCCAACAGCAGTCATTGTGCGCGAAATGAAGGACGCTCTCAGGGAAAACTCTAAACAAAATACACGTGGGAATCTCACCTTTTGATTGGTTCGTGTGAGGTTTTTGTCACGTTAAGCTGACACAATACCTTCGCGGGTGTTTTTCGAAAAAAAAATCGTACGCGTGTTGTTTCGAAGTTAACTACCACAAACTATATATCAATAGAAAGGTTATGAACTGCAGATTTCGAAAAAAATATCCACTATGTATGCAGAGCCTTCTTTAAGAAGTTAGAAGCCAGTAAACAGAAAACGGTCGCTTGACATTCCGCTGAATTAATCAGGTATCAATCACCATCGCTTCTTCAAAAGTACCGCACAGTATCAATCAGCAAGGATCAGTCTCTAAATGTGTGTGAGGATTTCTCTGGTTTCTTATTGGTTATCTTTTTATAGACACGCAAAGTTTTTGTAGCGATAATTTGCCGACCCTGTTGCGTTTGCTGCCGTAAAATGAGAAATATCTAAATTAAAGCTAATCCCTGACATACTTTTATTGTTTGATGTTTAATGAATTTTCAGGCCAAATTTCATTAAAATCTGTCGATTCTACACATGTCACGCCTTCACCTGAGATGTATGTCAACATGACATGCCGCCAGCCAAGCAATTCCAATTGTGTGACAGTCACGTTCTCCTAATTATAAAGTTCACCTGGCGATCGCAATGGGAAAATAAGCAGACGAAAAATAAGGTTGAGTTTCATTTTACGTGTTTTCTTCGAGTTGCACGTTTGAAGGTTGATCAAACCAAACAACACCCAAGACACTGTCGAACTAGCTTTCCCTTTTGCGTTCATTTTTTCGCTGCGCAAGGACTTTTCTCTATTCTTTAGAACTCGTTTCATGATCTCAGTGTAGTCAACTTTAAGTAAAGACAATTGAAGAGCCACGTAGCGAAATCGCATGTAACCAAAAGAAATGCTTATGAGTTCTCGGAATAAAAGCTCCCTGCATAAGGCCATTTCGCGCGGAAAGTTCGCCCGGCAGTCAAGGCACTGTGAGGAATATGGCACCTATCCATATTTTATTAACTTTTATATAAAAATTTTATATAAAACCCCTTTTTTTCGAAATATCTCGTGTGCGTTTTAAGATTTTGCTTTCCTTTTTTGGTAATGTAATATAATAATAATAATATAATAATTTGTCTACTTCTATAGCGCCCTTTAACATTTATATGATCAAAGGCGCTTTACAATTAGTGTCTCTTCCACCCATCCCACCCCAGGGGAGGACATCCACCACACAGTAATCTCGTGCGTGGGAAATTAACGTCTCCTACCCCAACCCTGCAGGAGACGGGGCCTACGGTTTTACGTCCTATCCGAGAAGACGAGTTAGATTGTCAGTTTCAGTGGGGCGGCAAATTTTCGACAAAAAGTAGCCCTCTGAAGATATAGTGTACCCTACTGATCCATCGATCTACCGATCCATCGATCTACCGATCCATCGATCTACCGATCCATCGATTTACCGATCTATCGACCTACCGATCCATCGATCTACCGATCTAGCGATCCATCGATCTAGTGATCCATTGATCTAGTGATCCATACTGATCTTCCATCGATCCATTGAACTACTGATCCATCGATCCATTGATCTACTGATCCATTCATTAGCGATCAAGCCCTGGCTGTCATAGATGCTGTGACGTCAGTTGTGAGGTTTTTACTCCGAGGATAACCCTAATTTTCAATTTACAAAACTTTGTCCATACCGACAGAAGAATTATTTTAGGTAAACGGCCAAAATCGGCCTGTGGTAAATCTTCCAGTTGGTTTTCTTCCCCTTCTAGGAAAGTTTGAACGTCACTGTCTGTCGGTGATACGGATTTTCAGTGTTTTAGCAGCCATAATTCGAGAAAATTCCGACAAACTACCATGGATTGAGAATGGTGTAGGCTTTGCCGTTCATTCATCTACCTAACCGAGTCGCGCCAAAGGCAAATGACTTGTCAGCAGCTGATTGGCTACATCAAACACACGTGAAAAAATATGACATTTTTTCACGTGTGTCGTAACGGCTTTTCTCAGGGCTGGAAATCTCTGCATAACAGCGTTGTTTATATGATAAATAATTTAATATGTCATTTTCGATTTTAACATCGGATCAAACAACCTTAGCAAGCTCATCAAATCTCAGAAAGGCAGCAAAAGCTAGCAAGCATATAACAACTGAACGAGTATTATACAAAGAGGCCATCGTGTCCTCCTTGTAGCCAACTAACTGTTCTAACTGAAAGACGGCGATAGGCTCCTTGAATGTATGATGGGCCAGCGAACACTGCGCACTAGTAAGAATACCCTTCACCAGCGAATGTTAAGTAGGAAACGGCTCGCCACCTAACTGGTGAAACCAACCAATGTTATGTCCTGCTGACTCCAGGGGAGATGCTGTCTTCGCCTCAGTCATTAAATGACGCAAACAAATAGCAAAGTGAAACAGAGATGCAGGAATAGCTGTCAAGCCATGTTATCGATCTATTGTAAGAAGAGAAAAACTTGGATGAAGTACTGGGTGCTCTACTAGCCAACTCAAAATCCGGAAGAGAACTTGCAAGGTAGTGCAAAACATCAGATCACTGGAGAACAGCAGCCCGAAGATCCAACTACATGGTATGCAAAATAAAAGCAGAAAGAACACAGGCACACGATTAAACGTCATAAACAAACAAAAATTATCCGAACGCTGGAATAGCAAGACCGAGATGTCCGCCCAAAGTTATAGCCCCACTTATTATCCACATACCAGTGCAGATGCCCAAACAAACGTAAGATACCGACAAGAGCATATTTTCCTGCTAATTACCAAGTCAAATGCAGGAAAATGCTAATGGTGCTGTGTAAGGTGGTCTTCAAGATCTCTCCCAGAAAAGAAAGGCAGGTCTGAAATGAGTTCAAGTTTCTTCAAATTTTCATTACTTTATCTATGCTGAAAGACATTACATGCATTACTACCACTAGGTCTTCTACCTACGAAGGACTGGCAAATGCACGTGGGCACGTTAGTTTCATGAATGTTAGATGAAGGATGTAAATTGGCTTTTTTTAGCTGTCTCACTAAGGTACTTCCTTTTTTTTTTCAGAATCTCCTTACACAGTGGACATGAAGTTGATTTATTGAGGCAAACATCATGGAACGAGTGAAAGCTACCTTACAAGAGGTTCCAATTCTCATCCTGGCTGGAAATGTTGCTCAGAGTTAAATCACATTCTTTTGTTTGATCTGTTTTGGTATCACAGTGATAACCTAGAGGTAAACAGCAGTCTTCATTTATTTGTTGGGGTACATTGTTGGCATTGTGACAAGAGTTGGAACACTTGTGTTGCATCTGTTGTTGGAGGAGAATAGACTTTGTCCTGGACTCTGAGAGACTTTTACAAACATGGAGGACAGTACTTGAGCACATGCATAACTGTTACTGATGTCGTGTATGGACGATGCAGCAGTAATTAGTCCAAGGCTTAATTCAATGTTTATTCCATTAAGGTCGTGTGTACAAAGGGCGTGTGTTTCTGGTACAGCTTGAATATCCTTAAAAGCCTATCAAACACATTGTTTTGCCTCTGACAATTTTTCCTTTAGTTTTTCCTCCTTCTTTTCGTTTCAATGGCTGTCAAATCATCAATTGTTAGAAGTTAGCCATTTGCGATATATAGCTGTTGTTATAAAATCTTCAAGACATTTGTAATGAGAGTCTGACATTTTGTGCGGAACGTTGTTAAGAGTTCTTCTGGAACATGTATGCCCCACGATAAGTTCTCTTTTAATGCCTTCTTGGCTTTTCTGATTCCTCCTGCGATAAATAGCATGGTCTTCTTGAAGACGATTGCATGTTTTGCTGAGTTAATAGCCAAATTGTAAATGAATTAAACAACCTTTTTTTGTTTAGGCGTACTCGCTCTGTTAAATGCCGATAACTAGTGGCAGAACCCATAAAAGTGTCGAATATCTTTGTTGCTCCTGCTGATATGCAAAACTAGCTGAAACTGTCCGGATCATACACTGTTTCTTCCTTCCTTCCTTCCTTCCTTCCTGTTCTTCCTTCCTTTTCCATGTCATCCTGCATCAGGTGAAAACAAGTGAAATGTCAATTTCATGTAGGTACAAGTTTTTATACCTATGGGGTTGATGATGTCAAAGCCCCATGGCAGTTCTCCAGAACAAGTTTCATTACTCCTTCTGCAGCACTATGATATCATAACAAGGTTAGCAAAACTCTCATTATTTAAATTAAGTTCGACTTTCATCCTCACCGATACTATAAGTGTTATTAGTTGTACAAGTTCTTTTTTTTCTATTTAAAGGCCTGTAATAAGTCTCATCAGACCATCAGACTGTCACAGAATGCATGTACTTTTAAAACGTTGAAAAATAAAGTTGCCAGGGGTATATTAGTTTTTGATGCACAAGTGAAGGATCAATGAATATGGGTTTTATTTGGAATTTACTGACTCGTTTAACCAGTCGGAATTACACGAGTTTGAATTACTCTTAAAATGCCGAATGTAAAGGGTTCTGGATGTAAGTTGCTCAGACAGAACTACTGAGAGTTTGATTTAAGATTGCCACCTTTCTTGGGTGGTAATTAAATTATGTCACAGGTGGCAGTTAAGGTATGTCAGTTAAGTGTTCTTAAAATTCACGGCGTTCAGTTACTTGTAACTCTAGTACTTAAGACCTCAGGAAGAGAGTTAAGGCGGTCTAAAACATGATAATTTGAGGTCGATGATTGATTTAGGAATCTAACACTACCAAATGTCCATAGAAGTATGATTTTTGAAGTGCCAAGAAATAATGCAAATTTGAAAATAATTTGGAGATTGCCTTGATTGTCAGGGGCAGGGCATCAACTGGGTTTGGCCATCGTCAATGAATTTCTGAGTTACGAAAAACTTTTTTCGGCTCGTCTAATCACGCATCCAACACCTGTTTACTTTAAGTGGAAGTAATTTAATTATTAGGTCATAGAGAAAGAAATAACAAGTTTCATTTTTTTTACGTTTTTAATAACAACAACACAGAATAAATTTGAAAAGACGACTTTCCTTGGATTGTTTTCTTTTTTAGGACTGTTCTTATTCTGTTCTGAAAGTCACTTGCGAACAAAAGCAGAGTACGAGATATCAATTCTGAATCAAATCCACAAACTTATGGTAATAATCGTTCTGGACAGGTCCCATGAAGTTGGCACCGTTCGTGCCTTCGTTTCAAGTACTCATTGTGTTCTCATCGATCCCGAATCGCTCCTGTACCTCGTTGAAATGATGCTGGCAACCAGGTGTTTCTTTTTTAAAATCACTTGTTTAAAGCGAATGCTATCGAATTACTGCTTAGAACCTAAGACATCGATCTCAGCGATATTTCAAAGCAATTTTTACGTGAAATCTCAAAATCAAAATCTCTCTGGTTGTTTCAGGAGGTAATTCCTCGAACATAAATCAACTTAACGTATCTATTTAATTTTTTTATTTTACATTTCTATTCCATTTTTAAATTTCACGGTACTTGTCCGATGGGTCGATGGCCAAGGTCTTTGACCAGTGTGGCCATTCCCTATGGGGTCACTGCGCCGCAACAACTCAACATGAAATTGTTTGAGGTCCCACCTGCTTTTTTCTTTATTCTTTTGTTTTTGTTTGTTGGGGTTTTTTTTTGTGTGTGATACGCGAAGAAATAATTGTAACCTATTCCAAGTATTAGATCTTTTCCTATCTTTCTTCTGTATATCACTGGCTTGACTAGCAATGTCGCTCGTGGTGGAAATCTCAATCCAATCACAATGTTCAAAAAAAAGGCGCGAAACGCTCTGTTCACGAATTTGCAGGTGGCACGTAGGGCCAGTAAGTTGAGAGCGATCACTGGGGATCTTGTAGAAGAATAAAGTGGGAACATTATAACATAAAAACTGTCACTTAAAATGTTGAAACAAAAAGTCAGCGTTAGCAATCGTTTCTTTCATCTATACTTTTGCTCCATGTTGGACCAAACTATTCCCTTCCTTTACTATGGCTTCCCCTTTGACAAAGTTACGCCTTGGTAAAAGTGGTGACCTCATATTCAACGTGCGCATGTTTTTTTATTCCCTCTGAATTAAACTCCCTCTCCGCTATCTTTAACCTTTCCAGCTCCAGGAATAATTAGAATCCAATTTCTTTGCACTCTATCAAGAAATATCACAAGCAATGGTAATCACGAAATATAACGAAAGAGAAACTGTCGTAATCTTGAACAAAATTCTTACAGTTAGTAATAATAGGGAAAAAAACAGGCCAACAGGCGTTTGAATCTAGCAAAATGATGTGAGGAGGTTTGGCCGACTTTCACACATTGGGTGCTAGTACTCGTGTGGTGTTTTAGTAGTGATCGCCATCTTTTTTCTAACAATGCCTTCATTCGTACTAAAATGTCCTATTCATCAAACCATTTCCGGTGTTTTGATCAGGCATCCATGAAAAGGAGGCTTGTTGCGTTGTCATGCAGCGTAGGCAGAACCGCAAGGCAACGTTCAATCACAAAATTAAGCATGTCGTCTACACAATACTATTTCGATTTCATCGACCTTACCGGTTTCCCACAGAAATTTTTATGTGAGATTTGGTACGTATAGCGAACTCTTCAAGTCATGGTTGTCTCATGGTTATTCCAAATTTATATTTATTCACGTTGCAGTACTTGTCCAATGGTCGATGCTAAAATATGTAACTCATGTGGACATTCCGTTTGCGATCACTGCGCCGAACGAATGGAGGCAAACGGGGCACGTAACTGCCATATGTGCAGGCAGCCAAGAATGAGTTTCTGTCGAAACTTATTTGGGGCTAAAATGACGGAAGGTATAACAGCCAAGTGCCTGGGCTGTGAGAGGGATGTGCCCCTCGAGGATATCAGGCAGCATGTCCACGACTACCAGGAAATTGAGCAGCATTGTGGCTTGTACCCAGCAAAGTTTAAGCGGGGAGATGTGTTGCAACAAAAGTCAGTCTGCTCAGAAGAGGAGATATCGTGTGCCCGTGGGCAACAACTGCTCCGCAAAGAGAAACCTATAAATTTGAAAGCGTGTCCTGCCCCCTGGGGTGTACTACAACTATGAAAAGGTCAGATGGTAATGCTCAACGTAGTAAATGTTTAAAACGGGTTAAAGCTTTTTCGTAAAGCTTTACTAGTTGAACAAGGTAACAAAAAAGTGGTCGAGCGATCAAACTTGAGCTTAGAAATTCTGAGCGCTACAGGAGATACCAAGGCTCTACCGCTCTTCAGTGATGGTTCGGACAAATTATTTCGACAGATGGGAAGTATTCGCACTTTGCAAACTTTTGCGAGAATTTGTTGATCTACCATTAGGATACTGCTGTCGAGTCCATTTTCAAGTGTGACACTAGTTTTGCAGTCGGAACTAGAATGTAATTTTGAACTGAGCAAGATAACTTTAGACTAAGGCAATAGTTTTGAGACATTTGCACAAACTGATTTTGAGAAATTCGCACTTAAGTCTTGACGGATGACGTTTTTAATATCATTGGAAATTTCATTCTTTATCATAATTTTTTTGGCTTGTTGAAAGTCTTCACGAGCAGGTGATTCTGGTACCTGGTCTCGTCATTTTCTTTACGTTTACATACATTTATCAGTAGTGGGCCTCGCTGGTGCAAAATGTTTCTTCTGAAACAGAACATACTTTAGAACTTTTGCCAAGTGCGACGTATGTCTAACTGAATTTCATTTAAAACTCGACGCGCACGTTTCAGGCATCCAGTCCGTTGGGCTGAACGCTAAAAAATTTAGGGTTTTGGAGGGGCTGAAAGAGGAACACATTTCAAACCTTTTCGTCCATTTGAGACTACAGAAGGCGATCATGTAACAATTAACTTTTTTCTACCGGTGGTGGTTTTGGGTGTCAATTAGACGCCACGTCAATGAGTTACATAAAACAATCATTATAGCGGCATGTGTACAACTTCGCCTTTATCGTGATCGTTAACTGTGGCTTACTTACTTGCTCCTGTGTTTCAAACTCAACAAAGCGACGAATATCATGGTAATTATTTTCATTCTATAATTTGCAACTCTGCATGATATGCTTGACACGAAAATCGATCTGCCACAACTTCTCTAAGGGCCTGTTTACATGGAGGTGGGGGACCCTAGGTAGGTGAGGTAACCCGCCTAGCCGTGGTCGAAAAATAAAACGCGTTTACATACAATCTTACAACCCCGGGGTGCTGGGATGAGTTTTCTTAACAGGCTCGTAACGAGGTATATTTTTTCGTCGCTGATCCTGTATTTTTACGCAAATTTTTAATCCCTGATCCCAAAAGTGATGAAAATTTTGATCCCTGATCCCACAAAATTTTGTTGATCCCAGTGTATTTTCTATCCATAACTTTGCCTGGTAATCATTTTTTTCCAATTCGCCAATGCGACATTAGACTAAAATAAAAATGAGCTACTTCACATTTCTTTCACTATATTATGATGGTCCAAAGTATTAGAGTCCTACCTGAATTATCTCGGTTCCCACTTCTTTTGTTCGTTTTTATCATTGTAGAATATTACCTTTGGCAATCATCGTTGAAGGATCCGTCACTTCGTTGACACATGTTAACAATCTTGATTTTTCTCAAATTTAACTATCAGGTGAATTTCACTTAATTCAAAACACACTAACTAGTGCAATACTATACAAATTCTAAACGTTTTATACGGGAAACACGAGGAAACAAATTTTTCCTAAAAATCTGATAACTTTCGAATCTATCCGCTTGAAAAAGCAGACTGCTTGAAATTGACGTTGATATTAGCTTCATAAACTTTAATAAACTTTCTGTAACCAAAATTAGAATAAAACGTATTTATCGCAGCGACCTTCCTCGACATTCGTTTGAAAAAGAAAAACCGTTTGGTGATGCTATAAACTTTAAAATTTCATGAGCATGCGACCTAGTCAGTTTATGATACAAGTTTTTGTTATCATCTATTTGCAGTATCTGTGCTATTTGTTAATCCGTTTTCTAGACATCTGAAAAAAATCTATTGAAAAATATCTATCGAGAAAATGTACAACGTGTGTGAAAATTTGACTCCGGAAAGGCCCTGGAATTGTTCTGAGCTTGTTAAAGCACAAATCGTGTCACCCTCCTGCCAGATCTACTGCGTCCAGCTTCGAAACGAGTCGGTTGGTCATCATCGTCTTCACTTTTGTCACCATCACTGTCGTCCTCACTACTGCTATCATAATCAGCCTCGTCAGAGCCGTTAGCCAAGTTTTTTAGGCGTTGCTCCTCGTTTCGGCATAGAATGAATTTCTCACCATCCTGAACCACCGTTACAATATCTAAAATACACTGAGGTGGGTTGTTGTTGTCTTCATTGCCTACCGTGTATAATAGTGCATCTTCCTCTGACGGCTCAAGCCAGTTAATACGCATGGTACGCTCAAGGATGCCACCATTACTGCAATGAAGGTCCTCCTGAAGAATAGCAAGGAAAAAGGGCTCCAAATAACGTTTCCAGTTGTGTTTTAGGGCGACTACATCTCCCTTTGAAAAACGAACTGGACGAGTTTCAATCTGTGCTGTTTCAGGTTGTCCTGCGTCTAAGGCTTGAAGCTCTTCAAGCATGTCAACAACATTTTGAGTTTGGTTTGTTTGAACTCTTCGGATCATGCTTAGAGATAGAGGGAGAGTTCCAGCCTTTTCTTTCGTTTTGTCTCTTACTCTTTGCTGCCGTACGCCTTGCCTAAATTCTTTAGCAAACAGCCTAAGTTCCCTTGATTTTTCACGCAAAACATCTTTCTCCTTAACACTATCTCCTTGCCTAAAATGTTCTTCGCTAAGCTTTGCACGATCATAAAGCTCCTCAGGCTCCCTCTTGTTTATTGTTCGTTCGGTGTAGTGGCTTTGGGGTCCCGTATACACTGAAAAGGAAGAGTGATACACCTTCTGTACGGATTCAACAATACAGCTTGGTCTGCGGCTGCCGTAATCATGCATGTCTGGCGTTGGACGACTTGGGGTTCTCATTCCCGCAAAGAAATGTTCCACATGTAGTGTCGTGAAACTTGGAAAGCATGTATCCTTTGCAATATGCTGCAAATCGTTTTCAGAGAAGAACGAATTCGTTTTCTCAAATGACGAATGAAGCATTTTAAAAGCGTCCCTCGTAGGTTTTGACAATGCTAGATCAGGACCCTGGGGACATCTTCGACCTGTTCGAAAATACGCCTGCCTCTCTACGTCTTTCATGAAATCCGCCGCTTCTTTGAGAATAATCAACCCGTCTTCCAAACTTGGTTGGAAACTTGGCTTCCTTGATAGTTCTTCTTCAAGTTGGAAGAGTTCAATAAATAGCCCCAATTTCTCTCCGAGATGTTTATAGCTTTTTAAGCTTGAAATTAGTATGACAGCTTGATTGCTGGTGTCACAGACAAATATAGATTCTCCATATGACACAAGCGCTGATGGCGAGTGAAACCTAACAGTAAAGCCGTCTTGCATCCCCGGCTGGCTTCCTCCCAGTGAGTGAATTACCTTGCCATCAATACAAAAGTTCACTGAATGGTCATGAGAATCAGAGAAGACGAGCTTTTGTGCTGTTTTAGTAATGCCAAGGATAACTGACGGGTCCTTTTTAACAACACTGGTTAGTTCGACAGAGGCCTCTTCACGAGAAAGACATTCAATTCCTTGGTTGTGCATCGAGATCAGGAGCCCTTCCGGAGCGTCATAAATGCAAAGCGGTTGACCCTGGTTTACCACAAAATAAATCTCCAGTTGGGCTTTGTAACGCTTCTGCTGAATGTCAAAGTCGAACTGCGATATTTTGAAAATGGTCTTCTTGTCAAAGCTGAGGGCGAGGACGGACGTGTCGACCCCAAGCGGCTCGTTCTCAGATGTAGGGGCCGTAGTAAGAGAAACTAAACACCCGACTTCGGTCAATTCTTCTGTCGACCAAAGACGTACATCGTAAACCTTCACTTTACCAGATGGACTGGTTCGACTTGAAGCTTCACCTTCATCAGGCTGGACATGTGCTTCATCAGCTTCGAGTTGAAGAAGGGCACGACTCTTGTTCAGCAATTGTTTAATATCGATAACCTTTAAACCAGAGTTGTTTCCTCCTAGAAGAACTATCAGATGATCCTCTTTTATTGCGATGCCTTGAGGATTACAAATTCCTGCTTTGGGGCCAGCAATTGGAATGGCGCAGACGGGATTATGCAAATTTGCCATGAAAATTGTTGACTTCTTTCTGTCACAAATAAACAGAAGACTGTTTTTAGAGGAAAATGCCACAGCAGTCGGAAACTTCAGGACACTTTCAGCAGGATTTTGACGCCAGTACCTATCTTGCTCAGGTATCAGCGTTGCAACAATTGCATCATCAGGCAACGTGTCTAGCAACTGCTTGCGAAAATGGGCAACTGCTGTTGTCATGTTCATTTGATCCTTGTTACGCAAACAGCTACGGGGAAGTTCTTTGGCTATTGGCTTGGAGATGTTTTCATCTGTTTCTCCTCTTGCACTGCTCAACAACTTCAGGCTAATCAGATAATCGCCAACAAATGTCCAGTAATTGAACAACGAACTTCTTACAAGTTTTAAAACGTGTGGAGGATCTGGAATAGGTACTTTCTGGTGTTGCTCCTGTAGAACAGTCATGTAGGCGCTCTGGGCAGCTTCAGAGTCAGATATCCATGAAATTTCGTGCATCCGCGTACAGGGAAGGCCATCCAGTTGACAAAGTTTGCACTTTCGGTTGAGTGTATTCGTTGAGGCGTAACCAAGAGTTTCGCAGTCGTCACAAATAATACCTTCTTCATCACATGTGCTACATTCAATAGTACACTTGGATGAGCTCAAAATGCAGTTTTTGCACGATTGTATCAGCTCTTCTGTCTGGCGATCGTACATCTTAACCTTGTTGGAACCCCCCTTGTCGGATCGATAGAAGCAGCCGACTGGAAAGGAAACAAGTCCGTCAAGACTCGCAATTCTAAATTCTTGTGCTTAACTGACGAAGTCGACGGATTTAAGATATGTACCAAGGTCCTCGTTGGACATGTTACATAAATCCTTTACTCGGTCAAATGTTAGAAATGGAGGGTCTTCGAGCCCAACAATTTGATGAAGCTGGGAAGCGTATCTCAAGGCAGGTTTAAGTTGCATCCCATCCGTTGACTTGTTCACCAGGAAGACTTGCAAGTCGGCTTTTTGTGGCTCGACAGGTTTTACTTCAAAGTCCAGCAGCAGATCGATGGCTGTCAAAATTTCTTCCTTATGAGCTCCGCAGTGAAAGTTGGGAGGGGGGTTTCTCTTGGAGATGGTGTTTGGATGCACAAACGAGAAGTTACGATTCTCCACGTACTCTTTCAAAGAAAGACAACTTTGTTTTCCTTTTGTAGCACCACCTTTTCCCCTCAAGAGGTAACTGCAAGACTTGCCAAATTTAAACTGTAATCTCTCTTGAAATTTTGTCAAAGTCTTGTATTTCTCACAGAAATTTGTCAATCTTCCCTTATTTAAGGACTCCCAAAGGAATGAGTGAGTCTCTTGGTAGAACACGTGATCTTTGCTGAGGGCTTCTGATACTGTGGTAAAGAACAGAAGTGCGGATGCTTCATCTATACCTTCCATTGAAATGTTGACTTCAACCCGTTTCTTGTTGTCAGCAGAAATCTTTAATTCTTGATAGGAATTCCAAGGTTTAATGAATCTCTTAACATCATCCAGTAATTCTAGAAACATTTTATCTTCTGTAGTTGTATTCTCCGAAAAAAATGTTTCTATGCTTTCAAGCTTGGACAAAATGTCCTGAGGCTTACTATTAAGTACAAAAACGGCCTTTCGGATATCCTCATTCTCCCTGTTAGATATTCTTTCCGACAAGAGACGAAGTTTCTCTTTCAGCTTTGCAACGTGAGCTCCCATTGCCCACAAATGCATACCGAACAAATCTTTTTCCTTGGAGCATTGTTGCCTCTTAACATATTCATCAACGTTCGCTATTTGTAGTTGCTTGTTCAACTTCACTGATTTGTTGCATGTACAACAAAACACCACATCCTCGTTCACGACAATAAACCGATTTCCGTACTTGCTGTGAACTCTAAGTGCAAAGCGTAAGATGCTTTCTTCTAAAGGGCACATGGTTTGAAAGATAATTGCAGTAGAATAGCTCTCCATTATGCGGTAGACAAGCTCAGAGAAGCTCATTGATATTTTCACTTCATTATCAATCTGGCTTGGTGATGACCCTCTTAAATTTGCATCAGGATGTTGTTCATGGAGCACATAAATCTTACAGAATCCTATCCAGTCTCGATACGATAAAGAAAAGCGTTTAAAGTAGCTGAGACAGACATGCAGATCTTCATCCGATTTCAGGCACATTACGTCAAATCTGTCATAATAGTACATGGCTGTAACCTTTGTGAGGGAGAATCGATCGGCAACAGAGTTTTGAATAGATTCGATACGATGTGGATGAGGCCATGCTAATGTGAAAATTCCCTTTTCATTGGCGCTAAATGAATTGAATCCTGCATTCAGTTCCCGACATTCCATTTTGAAAGTAACCACATCTTCTTCTAAATCTAATATATCTAAGATGAAATAATGAAGCCAGTATATCAGGAAAATAATTTATTAACTCAGTGAGAGATTTTTATTCGAATTTTTCTTCATAATTGTTATTACAAAATCAGATTTAATGCCTGTGAGGATAAACACAATGCAGTGTCTTATGAATAACTGTTTGTGACCTATGAGAACAAGAACAAATTAAGACTTTCCTCATTCTGTCAATATTTTTGGTAAACACTTGAAAATGCGAGCGCAGTTTTAATTTAGCTTTTCCACTTCTTCAGTCGCAATTTTATGGAAATAGTTTGCTAAGGTGTGTCCTGCACGCTTACCACTCAAACGGCAAGTGGTATTCAACGTGCCGTTTAATATTACCCATCCGTCTTTGGCCGTTCAATGCGCCTATGTGGCCACAAGAACACTTGAATTTTGTTGCCAATAATAATCTCAACTGTGGGAAACGCCTTTTTCACCCGCTCAGAGAAGTCGCGACCAACCTTAGAAGCGCCGTTAGTACGTTCCGTCACTTCGGTCGGGGACAAAGTGGGTTGCCGTCCTTGCGGGTCGTTACTATTTGTAGGTGAATTTGCAACAATATAGAGTTTGTTCATGTCAACATGATTTGTATAGCTGGCATAATTATTTTCAAGTTTCTTCCTACAGAAAGTGAAATCTTCCTCTCGTACAATTGGCATAACCTCAAAAGCGTCGTGGTTATAGATCTTGATCGACTGCGAAGACATAATGCCATAGGCCTTTTTTATCATTTCTTTGCATTCTTGTAATGAAGGAGCTTTGGGAACCCATGTAAATTCCAGGGTTCTCTTCGCGTCTGCTGGAAACATTCCAGAATCCGTTGGAGGCCATTTGAGAAGTTTAATGGGCATCTTAGAGAGGGTTTCCGCTGTAACAACCAAAAACGGCAAATAGTGCCTTTGTCGATTGCTTTGTTATTTTGATTATGTTTAATCGTTACAGTATACGGAACAAGTAGAAATGAATTTAAAAGAAAATGTCCAGACAATGTCGAGTTTCATCTAAGATTGGTATCACATCGTTTTACGATCAAGATTCTGTTACCCTACCCTCCGTTTTAACGCATCTTTTATAGTTCCTTACAGGATGAAAAAAAAATAAACTGGACTCACCTGAATCTGTCCTTGGGATGCCTTGTATACGTTTTGATTCATCCAAAATGACGCTCTCAATAGAAGGCATCGGCGTTAAGCTATACGAGAAATGAACAATTATAACCAATTTGAGATCTGAACTTTTTTATTGACCAACCGTAGCATCCTATTGCACAAAAGTCCTAATGTACTCTCTGAAGAAGTAATGTCGATCCATATCCAGATATCGATCGATCGCTTTAAATTGTGTCTAAAAATTACCCATCCTCAATGTAGAAATAACTCAAAACCAGTGTAGATGCTTAAACATGGTGTTCATATCTTACCTGCGAACCGTGGACTGTTCATTCTTGCGAACGGCAAACTGATCCAGGGAAGTTTGTGTCACAGTCTGTCTCTCCTTTTCTCTTGATCTTATGTCCATCCTGATTCAAAATGCACGGAGAAAGAAACTGACAAATTGCCATGTGCTGTATGTACATGGTATGTACGTACATAATAGTGAAATAACTATACCTATACGCACGATCATGTTTTTTTTAATCATGTTCCAGAAAATCAATTGGAACCTACACTTGCCTTGCTAAGTTTAAAAGGTGCAGAAAAAATATAAGATAAAGATCCTCGCCATGTCAATAAAGTATTGTAATGTATTGTATTGTAATATTCTAGTGTCATGACAGAATAAATCTGTAATTACCTTCTCTCTGGAGAAGAGCTGTTTGAGGTGGACGATGAAGAGGACCTAATTCAAAGAGAAAAGATCTTATGTTAGTCTCGTTCAGACATAAACTTCGTTTGTGATGGTAATTATCATGAACAAAATGGTGTGTGGAGTGTAATAATTTTTAATTTTACTAATATGTGAGTTTCTTTTTTCTCCCACGTGGCAATGACACCTCAGGGTTTTATTAGAAATTTAACGAGTAATGACTCAATAATGATCAGTCTTGACGTTTTACCATTGTACCACTTTCATTATAACTTTTCAGGGTCTTGTTTCGGAAGGTGTTCTCAATAACTTAGAACTGTTTTAATATATAACAGAGGCATTGCTCCTGTTTTTACTGTAGACAGGTAAGAAAAGAAAAAATTACATTATGATATGCAATCAGCTCAACACCAGGATTACAATTTTTTTTGCCACTTTTGTAGTTCGTGGAATTAGGAGACAAAAGAAATTTTGCATTTGTATTTTATTTTGAATCTTGGAGATTGAAACAGAGCCCAATTTCTAAAGTGGTATTTGTTTCAAAAATCATAGGAGACAAGTGGAAATCAGACAATGTTAAGACTATACCTTCTTCTCCCATGCGATCTGTGAATGCGGCGTTGGTGATGCTCTGAGGACTGATGTTTTGGCGATCGCGATCGCGACCTGGACCGCCGAGATCTGTGCAATGGTGAAATATTGATAATGAGCCCGGCGAACACAAAAATATACTGGAACACTGCAATCTTAAAGTTACCATCCAGCCCTTAAGGACGTTCGCGCGAAAATCTTTCCACGGTCAGATTTGAAATAACTTTTACAGTAGTTAGGTAACGGCCACCACAGATCAGAGGCAAAAAAATTGGGTGTCACCAAGCTTGTTTTAGAGATAACCGGTATAGAAGTTTTGACAGTTAATTCGATTTGGCTTCAAAAAAAAAAACTGTTGCAGGCAAGCTTTTTTTATTTGGAGTGACTCAAACAAGCCTATTGAGTAAATATTTGTTGCTGGTTTCATCCCATTTATTAAAAACTAAATTCTGGAAGGAAAATTGCTTGTCATGCCCAGTCGAGAAAGGCGTAAATTTGCCTTCTTTGAGTCGAAAACCTAAATAATATATACTCCGCTTCTCACGGTCAGATTTTTTCATTTTTTTCTTAAAAATCGAGGGAAAAGGAAAGGAACCGATTTTTGTGAAGAAAAAAAGGGGGTCACCGGCCATCTGTGAGAGCGAAATCTCATAGTCCATTTGTGCTATCAGTTTTCAATGTGTTATCAGTTGTTACATCATGGTTTTTGTGTCTGGTCTTTTCGCCGTTTTAGAAGCAATTCTATGTATACTCTAGTCCTTATAATTGGTAACAACACACAAACACTCATTATTCTAAGTTACCTGCTTGTTGAACGTCGCCTTGAGCTTCGCTCATGCCGTTGATCGCCTTTTCTGCTGAGCGACCAGGAATGTGACCTAGAATGTCGAGTTTATGAAATTAAATTTTGCCAAAAGATTGCAGATTTGAACCAGAAAGAAAACCGTAAATCAACGTTTACTCCAATTTACCTTCTACGTGTGTGATTATCTTTTCTCTTCTTTCGCTTCCCCATGGAAAAAAACTTTCTGAAATGTTGACTTTTTTAAAAAACGATCCAGTAATCTCCAAGTATACTCAGTGCCCGTGCTCAGTCGAAAGCAATCCAACGTGCTCAAATGACCTATTCCTGGCATATTGTATGACATGATTGAACGTCATGCAGCGCGAGTAAGACAATAAAATCCTGGCAAGTTATTAACAGATTAACGACCCAATGCCTAACCAGTCAAGTTTGAGTCAACTAGTACTCTTTGATTCTGGTCTCCGGTGAACTATCAATCAATAAGTCCAAATACCAAGGAATACTGTATAAAATGGGTCATAAAATTTCAAAAAGCTTTAAAAATCCATGTTTAGGCGCGCATCGTAAATTATTGTTGTTATCTAGACGCCTGATCCTTGAGCCCATGGAAAACACGCTGATCCCGATCCCGAGGGCTTTTATCCCGGATCCGAGGCTGTGATCCCTGATCCCACCCTTTTTTAGGCCTTTGATCCCTGATCCCATATACCTCGTTACGACCCTGTTCTTAAGGTTTTTGTTGCGCTTGCAATTAGAGACTCTGAGCATAGGCGTCCCAAGCTCACGTCTCAAGAAAGACGAAAGATTAATTCTCAGACACATGTGTATTTATTCATAAAGGAAGACGCGTTGTGTTACACGGTGTTAGGTTACGCGAGGAACTGTTGACTAAATACGTTATCAGGAATAGTTTGTAATATGGTCGATTTACAACGCTAATTATTCCGAAATGTGAACGTTTTACACTCCTTGTGCGTCCGTTGCAGTTTCTGGTGATTTCTGCCTTGAGACGGCTAGGAATGTACAAAGTTTTAATACACACGTGTTTCGCTTTACAGCTTTCTGGGGGAGGTGGGGGACCCCAGGTAGGTGAGGTAACCCGCCTAGGTGGAGTAACCCGCCTGTCCATATAATTTCCTATTTTATCTTGATCACGTTTACATGATAGGTGGGGTGACCCGCCTAGGCAGGCTGCTCGGTCTGCCAGGTAGGGCAATCCCGTCAGCCGGGGTGACAATTTGCCATGTAAACGTCTCAAGGTGGGGTAACCCGCCTAGCCGGGGTCGCTTTCATGGCAAAGAGCTCTAAGGCGAAACACGTATGTTCTAAAACTTTGTATATTTCCCAGCCGTCTCATGATAGAAAACACCAGAATACACAAGGAGTGTAAAATGTTCACATTTCGGAATATTTAGCGTTGTAAATCGACCATTTTTCAAACTATTCCTGATAACGTATTAAGTCAACGGTTCCTCGCGTAACCTAACACCGCTTAACACAACGCGTGATGCTTTCATGAATAAATACATACGTGTCTGAGGCCCTAACTGCATTTCCCACCGAATTTTGGTTGAAAGCAACCCTCAGTTATAGAATGTCTGCCAGATGTCCGTTGCCGGTCTAGTTACAATAGCTTTTTCTGATTACACGTTTCTTTCTTTAGCTTTTAACGAAACTCTCTGTAGTCAAAATTAATTAGTAGGGGGTTGGCTGACTCTAACTGAAATTCTCTTCTTTCAAACGTAGATATTTGATTCCCGCCCACATGCTTACATGTGGAAAAGTAATGGATGTATGCTAGGTAGCTGGCTGTCTCACACATCTTCGCCGGGAAGAAATCGCGGTGCATGACAGCTGCTCCACTTCTCGCCATCTTGGCTTAATGGAGCAGGAAAGGTCAAAGACTTTGTGGGGAAGCAGTCATAGTCAAACCTTGGGGCAACAATGGAGTTTTATTTATTTTACGAGGCTTTGATTTGTTTTCTGGATGTAACCTTATTGAATTTATTTCCTTCGCAGAATCGTCTCTTCGTCGTACCTGTTAGAGGGGAAGAAAAATCAGTCTTCACTCCGAGGATTCCGCCGGACATTCACGGCTCATTGGGGTCACCAATTTTCACAAAAGTTAGCAGGAAGTGGAAATTGCTATTGGACACACACCAGAAGAACCTTCAGGTCCACTACATCCAAGAGGTGGATCCCATTTCATTGCTGGCAAGGTAACGTTTTGAATTAAAATTTTACGATAGGGGAAATATGTGGATTTGGATGAAGATCGAAAGTGAAAAACATGTCTAAGTTTTTCCTTCCAAAATTCACAGAGTGCCAAGTGAAACGGAATAATCTCCTGAGTAAACCGTTTAACCATCCTCGCGTGGGCAGTATAATGAAATGTATTCCTGACTTTTAAGATCGCTGAAAAATAAGTTTTTCGCTCAACACAAGGTAGATTGAAACTTGAAAATCAGGTTAAAGCGCCTAAGTCATGGAATGTCTTGAAAACCGTGTGATAAAATCTCTAACAACTAAGGTTTCGAATGTTTCAGTGAACCGGGATATCAATCGCTTAAAAACTAAGCTTTGAGATAAGAAAAACCGAAAAAAAGACAAAAAGGCAAAAACTCGAACTAAAAGAGATCATAAAAAAAGCTGATCCCATGGCTCATAAAACCTTTTAGAAGAAACTTGGTTATGTTGTATCTTGGAAACCAGATAATCGCAATACTGTAAAAAAAATCCTAGGTCGCCGGATACCTCATGACGCATAACGGCACAGTTATTAAACGTCCCAAAAATTAATGAATTAAAATAAAGATTGCTTGCTTTCTTCAACAGCTTCGCTGTCTTTACTGATGAACAGACAATCGAGGCCCATAATGAGATCGCTCCCTGGAGGATTTATCTCAAAGAAGGCAAGCACTTCGATGTTTCTTTGACCGGAAGAAAATCGGTGGAGGCCATCATGATTAAAATGGAAGTCGTGAACCCACATGTCTGTGGCAGAAATAGGCGTTACGCGTTACGTTTTGCTGTTTCCTTTATCATGCTTGTAAATAAAAGAAATCAATAATGTTGCTGTTTAGTCACGGGGGCTAATCTTTTGTCCATTTATGTTTTTTACCAGTAACTAATCAATAAATTTTGATGAACATGTTATTTTTGCCTTTGAGTAATTAATCAGTTAGAATTATTGTAGCCTTTTACAGGCTCTAACTCACTGGCGGGCAAGCGATGAACGACTGTTGTGTTTGTTTAAGGGAAACGGCTGCATGAACCCGCCATTTTCGTTCTTCTGCTCATTTCCATTAATCGAGAGCCTAGCAAAGGTTAGGGTTATTTGGCTCCCTCTCACTTTGCCCAAAGAACTTTTTGTGTTTAACCGCCACCCATGAACTGTTGCAATCTTAAATCCAACCGGACAATCTTTCAGTTGTTCTGTCCCCGTAACTTACATCCAGAACCCTTTACATTCGGCATTTTAAGAGTAATTCAAATTCGTGCATCTGAGGGACTTTTTGTAGTCGTGCATTCTACTAGATGCTTCTCAAATCATGCATGTTACGAACAATCTACGGTCGTGCACTCCAGAGCACTAAACTGTCGCATTTTGCGAACGCTTAATGCTTCCATTTTTGAAAACACTTCACGGCCGCATTTTAGGAAAACATGACTGGTGCACTTTTATTAAGAACACTTAACTGGCAAATTTTAATAAAACTTTACAGTCACAATTTACGATCTCTTGAAAATCGCATTAACTGGCGTATTTTACGAACACTCAACTAGCAAATTTTACGAACACGTAACAGTTGGAATTTAAGAACATTTAACAGTCGCATTTTACGAACATTTAACGGTCGCTTTTTATGGACAATCAACAGTTGCATTTTAATCGCTATTTACGTACATTTAAAGATCACTTTTTATGAACATTTAACAGACTCATTTACCATTCACATTTTACGAACGTTTGACAGTCGCGTTTTACGAACATTAAACCGTGGCATTTTAAGAATATTTAACGGGCGTATTTTCCGAACATTTAACAGCCGCGTTTTACGAATATTAAACGGTCGCATTTTACGAACATTTAACGGGCGCTTTTTACGAACATTGAACAGTCGCATTTTACGAACATTTAACGAGAACATTTTACGGGCGTATTTTACGAACATTTAACGGGCGTATTTTACGAACTTTAACAGTCGCATTTTATGAATATTTAAAGAGCGTATTTTACGAACATTTTACGGGCGTATTTTACGAACACTTAACAGTCGCGTTTTACGAACATTTAACGGTCGCGTTTTAGGACAACTTTTAAGTCGCACATTTTCAAAAAATTTATTACATAACGCCATTCATTTGACCTTAATTACATAAGGGTTGTTTACTGGCACTGTTTTAAATAAGCCGTTTTAGCATAAAATTAAATGGCTCTGTTACATAGCGCCTTCGGCCCTGAAACTGACCTTGATCCGATTGTTGTCCATGTATATTGAGAAAATTTGCATCAACATTGAAACGGTCTTTCAGTTCAAGGAAGGATTAATGCTTTTCCTCTATATTTAATTTCAAATTTCTTTTTTCAGACATAGTATCACTTCACTTTCCTTACAGACGCCCACCCTAAGATGCCGCTCTTTATACAAAGGCTTTTACCCCTTGCTCTCATTTCCATTCCCAAACTTTTACTCCGTCAATTTAATCCAAATAAGATCCCACACAACCATAGCTCAACCCCACCTTTATTTTGAAATAATTTTCGCTCCATCGGTATTTTCATGCAATTCTTAGTTTAGCGATACTGGTGTCATGATACAATTTAAGCTAAATAAAATATAACCCTGAAAATACCAGTTTGTATGAAGCAGCTTGAATAATTAACACAGATCGGAACTTAGCAACTTGAAAGTTTCTCTAAAACGGAATAGACCATCGCGAGGTAAACTGAACACTAAGGATCGATAGATATTACCTTTAGGAACTGACACTGAGGACTTTTCAAATTGCCTCCACGTGTAATAGAGTTTTATGTCAATGCTGAATGAGGCGGATGTTTTACCTTGCGATCATATGTACAACGCTTACAGTCCATCCCCACGGTATTATCTTATTGAGGAGAGCAAAACTGAACTACAAGGCCTCTCTATGGAAGCGAAATTTAAGTAAGGCAATTAATTAGATCTTGATAACTCTGATTGGGTTGTTGCGCGTACAACGCGCTTTTGCTAATAAAAACAACGATCAAACTTCGTAATGATCAGCGGCTCTATTAGTTTAATCAAGAGAACATAGTTTTATGGTTTAACTTGTCTTCCCATAGTTTTCTAAATATCTTCAGTCCTGTTAAGAGATGATATCTCGCTCTTTAACAGTTACTACGCCAAACCCTTATACTTTGTAATAAGAACCGGATCACATTTGCATCCTGGCCCCCATTAAAAAGGGTAGCCTTCAATTTAGACAGGAACATCGTCAACGTTCAAAATTCAAACGGTCTATAAGACATAGTCAAACAAGATATCCTCCCTTAAAATGGCACGAATCTTAACTATTAACTACTCTTTAAGTGACTGCCGACTTTATCGGATTCTTATTTGAAGTTAAGCCGTATCTGTCACCTCGATCTGGATGTCAGCAGCCAGGAATTCAGCGGCTTCAGCCTCTACGCATCCGTTGTATCCTTCTCGATGGTACGCAGCGAACATGCGGGGAGTGAAAAACTGATTGGCCGTGATGTGTTGTGGGAAGACACCGCATAGGTAATTCGACAACTTTTGGCACTTGAAACTATGACAGCTCTCACAGCAACAAAAGGTTAAATCGTCGACTTCATCGGCATCTTGCTGAGGACTCTCTCCCCATTTAGCCGCTTCGAGATCTACGTCTATGTCACGTAGAGCGTCCTTCCATGGCACTGGTTCTTCTTTCCGAACACCTTTAACAGGATGTCTTGGGGAAATGAGGAGAATTTCACCCTCGCCAACTTTGGTTCCCTTTGAGTATTCGTCTTCTTTTTCATAGTAAGTAACTTTAAACCTGTCGATATCAAAATAAAATATTTTTGATTATGTTAAGTTAAGATCTTAAGTAATGTCGATAATGTTTGTTTCTTTGTTGTGATATTTGTTACATTACATTGCGGTGAACCTTTGGTAATTCATTTTGACTTTTCAAGAATTAACTGACTATCGGAATTCGCAGGGCTTTAACACTGTAACTTAGTATTATCAACTGAGTTGATAACGTAAATTGGCCACCGGAAAGAGTTTCTAAGCGGACTTTTCGAGCGTTAGCGCTTTGTCAGAGCGAATTACGAAGAGCTAACGCTCGAAACATCAGCATTTGAAACTCTTTACGGTGGCCAATTGACGTCATCAACTCAGTTTATAATACTTTATTACCCTGTTATACTCATCCACCAACGCAGCATCACAGTTTCTTCAGAAACTTACTCCCCTTCACACTGAAGTCTTTGACGCATAACTAAGAACCCAGAAATATTAGCCCACCAAAACAATGCAGCTAGAATGGAATTATTTTTTGTAACTTTAAAACTTTTGAGCAAAAAACGGAGCCACCGTTTTCCATCATGAATTAGAAAGCGCTCACTTGCGAACAGGGGCGGTAATTCATCATCATTGTTGGCTCAAATAGATTTAATTTGTCTCCAAAAGAAAGATAAGCTGTGCTGACGAGTGCCTTTTTTGTTTGTTTTTCTTCACCTGTAGCTCCTTGGCTGGTGACCCTTTGGTGTATAAATAAAATTCTCCTTTAGATCTTCAATAATGTCACGGCCATCCATGCCATTAAAGGAACAGTGCAGCTTCTTACGAGCCAACTCCAAGGCGTCTAGTAAGCTTTCTCCCCATTCTATGTCATTAGTCTTGTGGCCACCATCCACAACAACAATCTTGGGTAAGCGTTTCTTTAGGAGAGGAAGAATGGCAAGATTTTCGATGTGGCCGCCATCACTTAAGCGTAAGATAGGAGGGGGCATGGGGCCTTCGTTGGCAACAACCAACAAGTCACGAATAAAGCGGACGAACGCGATATTGGTGATAAACCATCTGCCGAAGAAAGAGAAACAACGCTTTGGTACAATTATTATAATTTGTTTTGTCACTTGCGAGGAACAAAGTAAAAATGTGAATCCTTACAGAGAATCGAACCTCATCCCTTTCCAAAGTGTTGAGGTTCGATAATTCGTGGAAGACTCGTGCCTGACTTTCTACCACTGAGTTAAAGAGAACTCAAAGATAAGCCAAGCCATTGTAAGGTTCCTATATGACAAGCATCGTATATATACCTTGGTAACTCATTCGACCATAAATGATTGGAAATTTTACTCTTACCTTGCTACCAGTTCGAGTTTGTTTGGGTTTTGACGTCCAGTCTTCATCACAGCAAAAAATACGAACACTAGAAGCACGATGAAGAAAATCAAAACGCCAATGGCGACCCACGTCTCGCTACCCCCGGCAAAGTATACAAGTGGAAAGGTTACCAGGGGGAGACCTCGCAGAACCTCGACAAGAAAGGGTAGCATCTGCAAATGAAACAAGAAAAAATTCTCTCTTAAATGAAGCAAATTATGACCACTACATCGAAGGGGCCATTGGAATTTATTTCCAAGAGGAGAGCACCACTTTGTAAAATAGTATCACCTTCGTCAGAGTGCTTACGATCCGAAAAAAGGATGCTCACATCCTAGAATTATACAAAACAAACTCGTAAAATCTGGGGCTTCTCCTCATTAGAGTTTCTATCAGAATCCATCAAGCGCACAGAAACACGCCTACAAGAACCAAATTTGTGGAAGTCAAGGCCAGACAAGATCTTATATATTGGAATAGCTGTATTGAAGGCTATGCGGGTTTTTATATTTTGAGGTATTTAACTGCTGAATTTATTTACCAACCACAAATGCTTACCCTCCAACAACAGTTTTCTTTCATTGCACCTTCCCAGTCCGAAATCATGGATGCACCCATTCCAAGACCCAACACGATTTGCAATTGCTTAATGCTCTCAGTTGACTTTTGATAGGCGCCCATGTGTCGAGCAACTGCAGCAGCGGACGTTGCCATGGCGGTCGACAGCTTAATGTCTTGAGGTTCAAGTTTTCCTTCGAACTGATCTTGTCCTGGTCGTCTATCCAAGCGTTCTATCTCTGTTGGCGACATCACTAGAAGTTCGTATTTCAACTCTTCCTCTCTCTCACCGATAAGCCATTCATTAACAACAATGTTCGACAAGTACTGCGGTTTGATTCCTTCCAGGTCACCAAGGGTCAAAGCTCCTTGCTCATTATCAGCAAGTTGCTCGTGCTTACTCGGCCTGGTGAAAAAGGTTCTTAAAACAAGGTCATCCATACCAATTCCGCCGCATCCTGATAAACCCACACTGGCGTTTGTGTAGAAAGCTCTCTGCAGCTTCCACCTAAGAGGCAAAATTCAATTGATTAGATGTGAGTAGCTGATCTCACCTATGAGAACCATTCAATTGTAGATGATTTGTGATTCAATTTTACCAGTATCGTAAGAATCTTTTTCAGTGAGATCCTAATGACTAGCCAGATCGCCTTATCGCGCTACCCCACCCCCCCTCCCTTACCTCCTTGCCGGGGAAACCTTTCGCGAGACTTGGTTGACCTGCTAAGAACGTTTGAGTTTTCTAAAGTTTTTCTTGCAAAAGGGAGCCCAAAAAGTATCCTGGTTATGCACTTTTTCTCAAATAACTACATTTATTTTCCTTTTCTAATGTATCACTGTCTCTATACCATAACTTTTAACCGTCCTTTGAACTTACTTTAAGCTTTTTTAACCTCTATAGTCACCGTTTTTCGTGTTTTGATCGATGGAAAGGATGACCAAGGTTAGTCTTCACGCAAAGTGTTAGCTAGTGAAAACTGACAACCTGAGTTCGAGGAAAGTGGCCCATTATTAGCACTGTTTGCAGTGATTCAACCTAAGGTTCGTTTAAAGAGGCCCTTGGCTCATACTTTGGAGGTCGTAACTTTGTTTGCAACTCAATGATGCCGCTTCTAGGTCCTGATGTGTGTTGATTTCAAAGCCGCGTTTTGATTTACAGCTGTTTCGAGAAAGATCGGGGGAAAAAAGGACAAAGGTGCACGTGACAATCTGGAAAGGTAATCTGGGTATCCAAGTGAAATAAATAAATAAGTTCATCAAAACCCGCTATGCCTTGTCCTTACAGTGACGTTTTCTCAGATTTCCCTGAAAGCTTAAGCTGAAGGAATCGTGACCTGAAAAATACCCACATTGCCTTTCAGGGTTGTCACATGCACTTAAACGTTGTTTTTCGACAACCTTTCTCTGTTAAGCTGTAAACGACGTCCTAAAAGTTTCGGCTTGAGTTAATTTCACGCCTACCTGTTGAAGACATGAACGAGTCGCTGCTGAATAGCTCCTAAGGCTGGGACAAAATACAGAGCGATGCCAGAAGTAAAGAGGAGTGAATAGAAACGATGATCAGAGTACTCCACACCAAATACAGTGGCTTCAAAAACCTTCCAATACACGAAGTAAGCATAGAGATAAATTACTAGAACTAGGGACGATCTGCCTCTAAGAACCGGGAAGAAAAACCACACAAAAATAGAAAATACAAAGATTATGAGTTGCATCCAAGCAGGAGTCAAGTTAAAGAAGTAATAGATAAAGAACGGAATAAACGTGAAGGCGAGTAATAGACCGCTAATGGCAGAGACGATGTAAAGCTTTGATGACAAAGCAGTTTTTGATCTTTTTGCTGCCAAATAGAGAGCAATGAAAAGGATTGCTAGAACAGAAAACAGAACCACCCTTGTATAGGCCTTAGATCCAGGCTGTATAGGACACCGAGGCCTTCGTTCGCCAGCTGTGGCATTTCCTCCTGCAATTGGCCCCTGTCTCCTCGGGCTTGCTCTGCGATCTTCGCAATCTTCCTCCTCTTCGTCCTCGGCTCGCAGCAGATCTCCAAATATGAAATCGATGACGTAAGCAAGGGGGCAAACGTACGATCCCCACACGATTGTGGGCATTATAACTGAAACAAAAAGCATTAAAAAAAGCAGCACTATGGTGTCAAACATTCCGCTCAGTGTTTTCTGCCAGTTGCACATTAATCCAGCCCTCTCTCTCATGTGATCAAAGAACTCTGTGTGCCATTTTGGATCGTCTTTCTTTCCATGTCTGTATTTCCAGTCCAGGTAGGCCGTGCCTGTGTAACCTCCCCCCGACACGCAGCTTAGGTAGTCGATCTTGGCGTTGCGCTGTAAAAGCCTGCGCAGAACACCAGAGCATAGGGCCGCTGAACGGATACCACCTCCAGAGAAGGCAACTCCTGTTTCTGCCATCTTGACTTTAATCTCTGGATTTTTTAAAAAAAGATGACATATTCATGAGTTACATTCACTGTGGCTTGTTTGTGGATCGGTCCGTCCGAAAAGGATGTCTCATTTTGAAAAGGCTTTTCCCAAAGGGTTTTCCTAAAGGATTTTTCCCAAAGGTATTCCTTCATTTTATATAATTGATTAAAAATAAAAACTCACCATAGTAATTTGCGGGAATATAAAGTAAATGGAGGAATTAAAACACAGATTAGTAAAAATTGGTCAGAAAAAGGAAAAGATCAACACGGATTGAATGCGGAAAGCTTGATACAGTTTGGGATAAGTCTTGAAGATGAATGCGCACAAACCGTGAAGAGACAACACCCGGATTACTCCTAATTAACGCCACGACGGACTAACGCTCGTCTTCGAAAACGTTTCTGATATGTCTAGAAAAATGCCCGAAAATCTACAAAGTGGACGTGTTCATCTTTGCTACCATTATTTATTTTGTGAATTGTGTGGTTAGAATCTACGTTACAAAAGGGTTTCCTGTCATTACTTTCGGAAGTGGTTTGAAGTACTTACGAAATATTATCTAACTTAACGATCGCATATTTCGCTCCTATTTGCTTGGGTAACATTATTCGATGCCAAAGTAGAGGACAGAATAATTTTGTAGAAAAGATAGCCTAAGTCAGTTGTTTTCAAATATATTTTTTTGGGCTTAAACTAAAAAGGTGCGCTTTTAGTCAATGCATTCCGCATCATCGATCATGCATACGGTAAAGTAATACAATTATTATAATTGTGTTTTAGTGCAAACTCAGTGACTCAAACGTGTATGTGTAACTGCATGTAATCTCGTCTGAAATAGCTAAGAGAAGCCTTTAATGAAAAGATGACTTAACACCATTCTCATAGACGAAAAAAATGCAATCCAATAACTTAAAGACGTTGCTTATCTCCAAAATTGTTGAGGTCATACAAAAACGTGACCTCCACGCGATCATGGACTTCGACTAATTCACGAGAGCTTTCGCAAAGCTAGAGGTGAAATGCCGTGATATCATCACTGGGTTTGATATTAAAAAAAATATAAGCCCAAAACCTTTCAGTTATGTCCAGTTTCAACTGTAAAATCGGCCCAGGTTTTTCGGCGCTGCCAATACATCATAATTTCATTACTATATTTTCACTAAGGAATGTCTGGTTTCTTACGCTTCACGAAACTAAAAGCGTACAATAGGAAACTGATCCTACCTCAAAAACCAAAGATTTACTCCTTGTGAGACGAATGAAAACTGCGAGTGGACTAAACTAAGCGTTGTTGGCTGTCCGATGTTTGCACAGGCGAGTCACGTACATGAATATTTAAAAACATTTCTCAAGAGCCTTAGTCTATTTATTTGTCTACTTATTACGTCACTGAGCCATGTAACAAAACATTTACGCACGTTTATGGTTTCGTTGCATTCCAGGTGCGAGTGCAATTACTTTTTACATTTAATTGCTCTACCGCATACCTTCCCGAAATCGTCGTTGCCTGAGGGAATTGCTGAGTAACTGACTACATAAATGCGATGATCTCCGCCAAAGCTAGTGTGGATGTGCCCCATAGTATGAGATGTGTCACTCATGTCGAATGGAGAATTTGAACTCAAGTGCATTCTTTCGCTTCCACTGGTCCGCAGGCTCATCCGCTGAGACCACGAACGACTTCAATGCAGTTGATCAATATCGACAATAAATGATTCGAAACACAACTGAACATTAAACAAATCACACTAAGGGTAGGAAAAACTGATGTACTCGTGCCAAAGAAATTTCATGCTGAATGTCTTGTGATTTTTGTGAAAATATTCCACCTTCTGTCGGATTCACATGATCATGTGAAATTTGGAAACGATATGTGAAGAAGAATATTAAAAAGCAACACTTCTTTTTGTTACATATCGATCTATATTGATCTCACTGATTTACCCGACACCTTGTAAAGAAATATAAATTACTGTGAGTTCTTCATAATATTGTCATTTTGTGTTGTTCGTGGATCGCACTGGTTTTTTACTAGGTGATATTACTATTGTTGTTTTCTTTATATAAGCAAATGCTTTAATGGTCGCCCATGCTAATTGACCCATAAACAAACAAATTGTGATCGTAAAAGCAAAGCTATCATTCCTTTGAGACCCTATAATACCCAGAGAAATCCTGCTTGTGAATAGAGCAGAATAATTGAAATTTTGTTAGGACCACCCCAAGGGTTTTTTTGGGCCCGGTTCAGACGGCGTACTTCGGCCGCGCCGAATCAAATTCAACGATAGGCCAACCTAAATTAGTTAATCCAGGCTGAATTGATTCAAACGCCGAACTTTACTCGGCCGAAATTAACTAATCGAAGAAAATTAAAATTCGGTCATTGGCATACAATTGTAAACATGGCGGACGACATGGATTCCGGCAGCAATCTGCGAGCAAGAGCCTTTTTTCTGCTCAAAATGATGGGAAACAGTGCTGAAAGAAGAAGAATACAAACTGTCTTAAAGGCGACGCTTTTTCCGATCAGATCTGTTCTAGAATATTGCGCTCCCCTCTTCCATCACGCGCTTCCCGCTTACCTCAGTGAGGATATAGAGAGAATACAGAAAAGAGTTCTTTCCATAATCAGGACTGCTTGGACAGACTAGGCCTGCCAACGCTAAAAGAGAGACGCAATGAACTATGTAAACGACTCTTTGATTCAATCGCCAACAACTCGGGGCATAAACTACACAACTTACTGCCTCCAAGAAATGAACAAAGCTACTGCCTGCGACAACAGAGAACATATAATTTACCACGCTCGCGCACAGACCGCTTTAGACAGTCCTCTGTGTATGCAATGTCCAAAGATGCCTAGCAACAAACAACGCGTAGTACTTAGCTAGTAACTATACATATTTTAATCCCATTAGATACTTATATTTTTATATCATGTACATATGTTTGTGATTAGTTTTAACATTTGCCTATTTATATACTTCTCTGTGAAATATGCAATTCAGTCTAATGAATGCGATGTATTTGTGAATAAACAGTCTATCTATTCATCTATCTATCTATCTATCTATCTATCTACCTCCGGCGACTCATCCATGGTAATCTTCGTCTTCTTCAAAAATTGAACATTTATTACAAATCGGGATTCTACATTTCAAGCAAGTATATTTGGTCGTGCCGAAACACGAACAACAAATGTCACCATCGTGCAGTTTGGCCCGCCAAGCCGCCATTTTCCTCCTGCAAAACACTACTATGCGCATGCTCTTGAGTAAAAAATAAAAACATTAAAATAATGTATGCATTTGGTTCGGTTCAGTTGAAGTATGGCCACAAATAAGTAAACTTCCAACTGACGACATCAGGCAAAGCCTAACGCATTTCGGGATCAAGAAAAACTAAAGTTTGCATAGTAACAGACTGATAGTGACATTTATCGATCAGATAAATGGCAAAATGTACGACGCTTGTACGCGAGTAAAAAATGGATATTTATTTAAACAAAGGGGTATTTAATAATCATCTTCTGAGACTTTTTACTCATTTACATACAGTATGGTGTCGCAAAACGCAACTTGACAAATTTCGAAAAACTGAACCGAAATTCAAATGTTTCATGCCGAACAAAGGACACTGATGTGATATAAGTACTCAGCTCATACAGTGATATCCTACTCATGTTCTTCCCAGGATTGTTTTCTAATCAAACCACAAATTTGTAATCATGTCCACTTGTACGGGAACCATTCAAAATTCCATTTATTAGCGAGAAGTACCATGATAACTTTTAAATTTACAATGATTCTAGTTTTACAAATACATACACATTATTCACTGATATAACAAATGATACGCGCCGATATTTTGATAGTTGAGTATATTCTCAACGATCACAGCTTCGAAAGAGGCAATTCAAAGATAGGTCACCGATCTTTCCCAAGAGACCTGATGGACCTTAATATACTTATGCAAGTGCAAATCAGTAGCGCTACCGGCAAACAAGGGTTTTTGAAAGTAAAGCAAAAAAAAAGTAAAACACTAGATAAGAAGTAAGCCTCAACCATGTTCAATATATAACTTTCGAAAAAAACTGTGCAATTTTCAAACAATATCGATTCAAAAGGTTCCTCAAATCGATGTTTGCGAAATTATAATTTAACTAACGGCTTTGTACACCCTTGTTTTTGCTTTCCGATCATTCGCTTTCAGTTTTTTGTTTGTTAAAGAGAAAAAGATCATCGCTCCTGTTAGCCTCGTCCATTGGTTGAGTAAAAGACAAAAGACCGCCACGTTATTGGAAGGGTGTTAAGGGAGACGTCATGCGCGGTACAAGATGCGCAGCGCACCACTGAATAGTTACATTGAAACTTGTTTCAACAGAATGATATGTTTTTCTTAAGATGAGAAAGGTTGCCTGGAACGTTGACCCAAACATCACTACTTCGTTGAAAACAGAAAGTGCAAATTAATTGCTACCTAAAACGCAAAGCTGCCTGTGATCAACTATGGATGCTACACCGATACGGTTTAAGAAACAACACCGATACGGCAAGTACTGATGCTCATACATTCATTTTCTATTATGATCTTCGTGGGATCGTTATAAAAGTTTATAATTACAATTTACTGCCGAATATTTAAGCTGAAGTGTTAAGAACTGGGTTTATTTTGCGAACTAACCTCATGGCTCTCCCCTTTCGGATTTTCTTTTTAGAATCGCACTTAGGTTGGGATATTTCCTAATTTTTTGTCAAAGTTGTTCAATAATTCGAAAAGAAGCGGGTAAAAAAGAGAAAATTCAGTATGAGCCTGCGTTTGCCAAAAAAGCGCGATGCTCTCGGCCTATAAATTCAATTTTGTTGACAACAGGTGAGCGGTCGGTTAAATTCTCAGGTACAGTAATTGAAAAATTACCATTTGGTTACAGAGTCCCTAAAATCACAAAACATTTTTATTTCAATTTCCCAAGCGACGTTTTGCAATAGAGCACAATTCAAGCAAAAAACTTATTGAAAGGAGTTTCCGGTGACAAGCTGTGTTCCCTTTGAGTCGAAAGTAATATACCTTTAATTCTTCAGTAAATTTAAGTCGAATCTCACGCTAACAGGCACACAACAAAGAGAGAGTGCTTTGAAAGCACGAGAACCTGTATGTCATTACTGTCAGCATGTGGTGCAGTGAAGCACATCAAAGATTGGAATAAAACTTGGCCCTGAAAGCAACTCGCTAATTAACTGTATTAATATTATAATGGACCACATCTGATAAGCAAAGAAGGAGAACGTGGTTAAGTACAGAAGATCGAGGCTTATGGCCAAACTTCACTGGAGAAATATTGTGAAACAACCAACTCGTCTTCTCTGAACTGCTTTGTTTCGTAGGAACTTTTCAAAAGAGAAGAAAAACCAAGCAGAACAAGTAAAACGACACGCAAAAAGTGTTCGCTTATTTCAATTAAGTTTTCGCGGAAGAGGTTACCATTAAGCCTTGCTCTTTACTGAAAATATTATATATAAGCCAATATTTTAAGGCAAGGTTGTGTTGAGGTAAAACCGAGCGTTCTCATTGTTTCTTGTCGGAAATTTGCCATACCTTCTGTCTCAACGGAAACGGTCATGAGCCGTGTATTTTGATTCTCGAAAGCTGGCAAATTCAAAACGACCTCAGGCCGAAATTCCCCTGTACAGCCCCCGCGCTCAGCTAATAAGAAGTTGTTAGCACACAATCTTAAGAACACAGGTAGAACCAGTTTACTCTCGGGTGGGACCACGGCACCTGTTACAAGCATTTTGAACCCGGCATCACTTAAATAAATAAATAAATTTGAACATCAAACAACGGGAAAGCCTTGTAGATTAATGACAGACACAGTTCTACAACACATTGTTTTAAACAGAGCTCTTGTTTCTTATTTGCAGTGTCTGGATTTCAGCTTAAAAATCATCTATTGAATCTTATGAACTGGAGAGGTTGCAAAGCGCTGTTCTTTATTTTGCTCATTTTTATTGTACTCGAAACGTTTTCACAAAGACGACTTGAACTTACTGACTCGTTCGTCAAAAGACTGGGCACTTACAACCGTAAACGGTGTGTTGATGTTACGAGACAAATGAGAAATGGAATGTGGCGAAAACGTTCGAATCTACAGCCCACAGATGTGCTTCACAGACGAGAGCAGGACATAAGGATTAGAAAACTCAGAGGGTTGCCGGAAATATTACACAGAGAGGATAAGAAGTGCGGAAAGAATTTCCCATTAAAGGCACCAAATTTCGGCATCCCAATTCCCTCTCTGTGTGACCCTGAAGGCACGGATCCCTGTTGTAATCATAATCTTGCGAGGTGTGGATCAGCAAAAGAAGATTGTCAGTGCACATCATGCACGGATTTTAGAAATATAGTTTCTGCGGAGCTACACGAATTCGTTCCTTCTTCTGGCTGCGAGTTTCAAAACTTCAGCAGTGCTAAAACATGTCAGTTGTTATCCGAAAGAGTCTCCAGCTTGTCGTTAATCGGTGATTCGCTGGTGCGACATTTACATAATGCGCTGATGATTTTATTCACAGACGACAAGGTATATGGTAGCCTTGTAAAAGACGTCGACGAACACCAAAGAGATTTTTGTTCAGGCGACATGCAATTCGTAGACGCAGGTAAAACGGGATGTCACGGAAAAACTGCCCACAACGCTTCCCAACTTCCTGAAGGGAAAGTTTGCCAAGGACAATCTACCTTCGAGTATTCTTTATATCAATTTTATAGCATGGAATATGCAAAGTTGGCACTGCAAAAGGTTCGGGGAAAACTTAACGCGACAAACTCAGTCATCGCTATTGGAGTAGGACTCCATATGGGTCTGAATGCTGATAAAGTGTTTAATGGCTACCTAAAACCAATCCTTCAACTTAAGCATCAAGCAGCAAGCCAATGGCCGCTTATTATATGGCTCACAACGCACGCACATGGCAGCATTAAACCAATTCCGTATATTGAATCCCAAGGTAATGATAAAATCATTCGTTACAACCAAGAAATGAGGCGGTTTCTAGAACCTTTTGAAGTTCCAGTGTTTGACACATTCAATCTAACTGTTGGGGTGCATAGCTATGATGGAACACATTACGGCTTTGGAGTAAACATGATGAAGGCACAATTATTTCTGAATTTTTTGGACGAGACCTTTCCTCACAAAAAGCGTTTGAGCGCATAACGTATTTTCCAGTGGGAGTCAAAGAAGCGTTCAAGTACTAGAGAGTATCTCTAAAGTTCTCTTGTGAGCAAGATATGGCAAGTTGCTAAGCAATGATTCGTCGAAAACTGTGGGCTCAGTCTTTATCAAACACCACAAGCCATCACCATGTGGTCCTGTGTTTAGCGGGTCAAATCCTGATCACGCCCATTCGCATTCAAACATGTCAGTGACCCAACTAACATCTCATATTGAATTTTTCATCATATAACATAACTCTATATCAGTTGAGGAAACATTGTGTAATTTGTTGCTCTTTTTAATATGGTTTTATTGTACTCGTACTTACTACACATTCCCAATTTCCCAAGAGTTCTTACCGCGCTAAGTCATTCTGTATCTTGTATTTCATCATACAGACGAGGATACGCTTTGCGGTCTATATAGTCAATGCAGAACAAACTGTGGTTCACAAGTAAAAACCAAGTTTACAGAAATTACTTTCAGTCTCTATTAATTATGTTTCAAAAATATTTCAGTGTCTTGTTCTATCTGGTAATCCCGTGTCAAGCGTCTACCTGACCAGGCCCGTCTCAGAGTCATAGCAAAATTATTCTGCTAAAAACCGCTTTTAATTTTCTACCATGATTTGCGACATTCAGTAAATCAGCTTCTGTTCCGGTCGATTGAAAAGTTGCAAGCATCAACCTATTGCAATTAATTGAACAATTAAAAGCCCTAAGAGTTTCGATCATATTCTTCAAATTAAATCTCAGCATGACGCAATATAAGATTAAGTCACCTGGGTTGGTTAACTCTCTGATGTAAAATATAACTACCCTTCAAAAGCCTCACATTTTTACCGCTGCGACATGAGCGTTTCTTAGCCCGCGCGAGAATCTGAGTAAAGCAAGCTGGCGAGAGGTTTGCTAGGGGTCTGGCACTAATTGCAAACCTCTCGCACACTCGTCACAACTCTTCCCGCGGACGACGATGTCTTGCACCGCTAATAATCGACTATAACCAACTTGTTAGACAAGAATTTTACAAAAATAATGTTACCATACCTTAACTATCTCAAAGAAGCATTGCCGGTCCTCAGAGTCAACCAATCTAATGGAGAACACCCGGTAGACCTCATGAACCCACAATCTGATCTGCTTCCTTGGATGAGTGGCACAAACTCCGGGAAATAGAAGAATCCCCTTTAATGAGAATTTGCAAATAAGGAAAATCAAAAGACTAAATTATGATTTCCACGGTGTGTTATAGTGGACCTAAACTTCTATAGCGAGACGTAAGGAGTAAAAGGGAAGGAAACATCAAATCGTGAAGGTATTGATATGGTTTCACGAAATATTTGCCTGTTTGAGGACTCCAAAAGGTATTGTAAAGTAAAAACGAGCAAACTGCCCAAAGCGCGGCAAAACGTGAGTGACCAAGTCGCGATTGGTTTTAATTTTTGCATCTGATTGGTTTTCGGGACCAATCACGAGCGAGGTAAAGCGAAACCAAAACAACCCCGGATTACTTTCAACACTACATTATAAATTGCTCTTTATGGCCTACACGGATCACGCTTCTTTAAAGGCGTTTAAGTTTATTGGAGAGGATGAAGGAAGAAAATTTACCATCATAATTATTTTACCTGTACTACCCTAGCAAAATCTCTGAGACTGAAAACATAGTGTGACTTAGATGGTGTAGGAGGGAAGCTGGTAATGGCCTGGGTGTACACCTCGTTAAAGGCGCTAATTATAATCTGATAAAGTAAAAAAATACAAGTATCATAAACATAGCTGTAAATGACGACAACTGACGCACCATCATTACTGAGTCGATTTGTTTGCCCTGTATTACCACTTACATTTGTCCGAGACCAGTAAAGGTGAGCCCCTTTTTTTTCAGCTAATTCCAAGGTAAAAACAATAAAGGACAGAAAGTAACCCGTGAGTGTTTATGCTTATCCATTTTTTCAAGACTGTAGCGGTAAGCGACAAAGGAAATGAATGGCATTCCCCAAGTATTTTCTTAGCTTCCCTAACAGTTGCTCGGTATCCATTTAACCCTTAACACCCTAACATCAGTATTCATATTCTCCATACGCTTGTGATACATTCCTATGATGCTCACAAGGAGAACTTAGCAGTATTATTGCGAGGAGAAATTAGATGCTGGTCGTTCTCAGGGTTTAAATGATTAAACTCCAGAGCTGAGATAGATATAACACTAATAGAACCAGAATTCCTGATTCATCATGACGCCCCCGTTTCCCACGGATATTGCTTAAAGTATGGTTGGATCAAAGGTTAGGGAAATATACACTGTACAAGTTTCTCTCTAGCGATTAAACGTACAGAAGGAAGGACAAACATACTGACAGACTGGCAAATAGACAGACATGAAAATCATATAAAATCAATCAAAAGAGAGATAAAGAGAAGAACAGACAGACAGACAACCAGTCCGTACAACGAGCGAACAAATCCAATCATGCAATGTAGGACGGTGACGATCTTAGCATTGAAATGGACAATGCGATCTACGCAATTAAACTGTGCCTCGGAGAACCTTCTTATCTGCATTTCAAAGCCATTGTTGTTAAATTGCCTCTCCACGATGACAGAAAACATATTTCTCATGGTTTCTGTGCTGAACGAGTCATTGGAGGTGATGTTGAAATGTGGAGTAATTTCATTCGTTCCCCCACCCGGAGGACCCTGTTAGACACTAGCCACTGATCAACAAGCTTTGGTACTGATGTGTCCTTCCTGTCAATGAGGGAAAGTACAGAGCAATATCGACTGATGTGTTCCTTTGACATACATTTACACAGACATTTTTTTCCACAGTTTTTTTTTTTAAGATAGGTGTGGTTGCTATGATTATTGTGATCAATTCTCTGATTGGTGGATTTGGCTAAAAGGACTAAGTATGATTGACTGCTTCCACTGTCCGATTACAGGTGTCCGACTACAACTATACAGAATAATTAGTGGATATTAAAAGCAGGTAACGCACCAATCACATCTAAGGAAATTGTATTGGTTTTGTTGAACACTGATCACTCAGCCTTGTTTAGGGACCAGAAGTTTTTTTAAGGGGGGATTTGAGGATTTTGAGGAGATCACGTGGTTTTAAGAGCGAAAGGAGGGGAAATCAGACGTCACCAACAGAGGATAAAGCAGAGTATAAACGGGGGGGGGGATAAAGAAAGTGGACTGCCAGTCGCAAATGAGGGGAACCATAAGAATATTGCAGGTCAATCTCCCCCCAGTGATAAATAAGGACCGGACCCTGAATTCGTAACTTGCGATATGATTTTTATTGCCCCTATGGCAACACAGCGGCAAAATGGATGCATTGCCTTTCCTCGAACCACTCCAAGTATACTCACTTGTCGGGAGGTATGCGCAGAATATGAATGTTTGTTCTGGCTGATTTTCCTGTTCCTGACAATGGCAGTATTTCCGTAGAAAAAAAAGCCAACATTTTTATGTGCAAAACTTTAGGGCAGGTAAAGTGTGTTGTGGAAAATTCGGAAATATTGACAGTTACTCGGTCCTGTCACCATAAAATGATCCTACAAGGATGGCATAAATAAAAAAAAAGTTATAGAATGAAAACTCAGCCGTTATTTCAACAGCGAGTAAGCGATAGACGATGAGTACTCACCAACCTAAGGCTACCTCAGTGAGGTGCTTGTTAATCACTTTGAACTGGCCAATCCGCGTACACGAAAAGCACCACTCACTCGTGTGGTATGTAACAAAATAAAAAAAACTCCTTGACAGCGAGACTGAAGCGACACAAACATAACTGAAGAAGAATTTTTGAAACGTTTTATTTATCTTGTGTCCTCCAAGTCTCGTTTTTTGTGATCCGTTTACAGAAAGAAGCAATTCAAAGTCTCAAAGGTTTTAAAGCGTTTTAAAAATTTGAAATTTTCGCTCATTGACTGGGACAATGATACAATACATCCAGAAAACCCAACTATTTAAAAACGTTTAAAGGGGGTAAGTTTCTAAAGAATTGTTCAGGGCAAACTGTCAGATTGTTTCACTGATTTGTAAAGGAGGTTGCATTATCGTCAAAAAGGACCGAACACACCTTGTTAATTTCTATGGTATATTTATATGTAAATGTTTGAGTTATTATCTGACAAATAATCGACATGACAAAATTACGCGCTTCTAATTGGCTGAAAACGAGTACAAAGTTGTAAGACGGGTGCAAATTACAAATAGCGCGTACGCTTTCATAATTTCGTCTGTCTTACCTTTCTGTGACGCTTTTCTTATGTAAATTACTAACAAGTAAGAACATAATTTAGCTTGCTATTTGATGTAATAAGCACTCGTAAATTTTTCAAACCACAAATTGCACGAGCTCGTAGGGCGAGTGGAATTTTGTTGTCTTTGAAATATTTGTTCGTGCTTTCTAACTCCAAATTACACTCAAAATTATGTTTTATTTATCTACCCCGTTCATCCGGGGTAGATGGCACTTTAAGGGTGGTTACTGACCGAGAAGACGGGGAAGATGAGAAGACCAGCAAACGACGTTCAGCAAAGTAAAAAAGTCAAATGAGCAAAAGGGTAAGTCAATTTGTGCTCTCTCATTTGTATTTTACCAAGTTAAGTCTAATCAAAAAGGATCGAAAATCAGCTGATTGGTCATTGGAAGCAACGAATGCTGTAGACTTGTTTGTGGTCTTTTTGCAACCAAAATTATGCCAGCTGCTTTTATGAACTTTATCGAGCCATGAAGCCGCCATGATAACCAAAAGTCAAGAAGTTTTTTTTCCAGTCCTCTTAATTTTTAGTGCGGGTAACTTAAGTTGATATTCACGCCACATGTTAAGTGTGCGGCTGCGGTAATTCACCGGAATCGGGGTATCTTATGGTCTCTATTACCTATACTAAACCAGAGAAAAGACAATGACAGCGAAATAGAGCTACAGCTTGACTGTTATTTTCATTTCCCTTCAGCAGGAAACCCACAACTTTTGAAAAATTAGCATACTAAACCGGAGCAAAGACAATGACAGCAAAATAGAACTACAGCTTGACTGTTATTTTCATTTCCCCTCAACAGGAAACCCATAACTTTTGACAAATTAGCACTGAGCAAGGCAACAGAAAGTCTACATTGAATTTCAAAGTTTCCACAATTGCCTTCCAAGGCCCACTAAAATTTTGCCACTTGCTTCAAATTTGGGTTGATCGAATGATCGAACGAATTCTAAAAGTGCCGTGGCCTTGCGGTAAACAGTGTTATAATGCTGTTGAAAATCTGAAAGTGAAAGTAAAACAGCTACTGATGCTTAACCTCACTGGCTTGCAATGGAGCCGTTAATTTTCAACCTGTCCAATTCAACAGCGTACTTTTTGCAGCACTATTCTGATCTCCAACCTTATTGTCAGAAAAGAAATTAAAACAATTCTAAGATCGATTCCAAAACTCGCCCCATTAGCGAACGCTGTCTTTCAACAACTTTATGTGCATTTCTCGTTATACGACACTTTCTCGCAAGTACCGCGAATTACGTCAACGTATCACCTGAATGGGAACGTGCCGACAAAAATTTTTGAAGAGGCAACGTTTTGGATAAAAAAAAAAAAAAAACGGGGGATGACAGCTGAAAATCTGAGGCTTTTGATAAGGTTTTCATGGGCACGCCTCTTGCCGTTTCTCCGGAAATTTCAACGAGCCGCATCTTTTTGTTTTGATGCAATTGTAACGTTTGGAATAAAGCTTTTCAAAGAGTTCCAAAGCTTTACCGGCACTAGACAAGGTTATTAATTACTTGAATATTTTCCCTTTTCAATATAATTTCTCTCAACACTGTGCTTTGAATGAGATGAAACGGCATGTGCCAACTGATAAACAGATGATGCAGAAATTCTCTTATCTTCTCATGCTTTCCTGGCTCATCTGAAATTCTTCCTTTTCCTTAGTTAAGGATATTGTGGGGAAAAAATTGATTCTCTTCAACTTAAGTTTCAAGGTTTAAAATGATCTTTTCAAACCGAAATCTACAGAACATTTTGAATTCAGTATACATGTATGTCTTCATTAGGCCTTAAGTTGATCCATTCATCCGCGATCAACATATGCATTTCAATAGCTGCTTCAGGTACTATAATGAAAATTATAAATTTCTCGCATCATCTTTACATCAAGTGTGTTCATGTAATACTGCAAAAAAGTTTCACAACACTATTGAATTAAAATAGTTTTACTTTAAATGAAAAAAGGGAAACATTTGCTGTTATGAACTGGTGGTTAGCTTGATGTAAAACATGGAATGAAATCAAAGATAAAATCATTTTGGTAGTCAAATGTAAATAACTGATATGAATAATTTATAATTATAACATAGCCCACACTTTTCCTATCAAATTCTTATTGAGCCATCATGGCCCAAATTTCTTTGTCCGCTCTCTTACTGCTCGCCATGCAAACATGGCTGAAAAACGAAAACTGGACTTGCTGGCTACAAGTGGGGAAAAGTTTAGCCTCTTTCCTGGACTGGTAAATATTATTTGTGAATATTACAAATTTTGTTAAGACAAGATTGTCCAATGAAAGCGAAAGAGTTGCTTGGGGCTGCGCCTCGAGCAAATTTTACACTTAGAACTCTCTTGCTACCCAACTGGCTGCGTTCATCCATATCTCGATATTCGCAAGCTTAGCAGGAACCTATTGTAAAATCTCCAATTAGCAATTGGTTCATACGTCAGCATGCGTTCATCGAGATATGAAGCACTTGGGAAGTTTGGAGAGCACGAAAGATGAGGGGTAGCCTCGAGCAGTTCTAGCTTCTCGAGTGCTCTCCAGACTTCCCAAGTGCTTCATATGTAGACGAACGCACAGCTGACGCATGACCCAATTTTTTTATAACATTTTCAACCCGATGGAAATTTTTTTTCTCGAGGGATTTGTTTGCTGACGTCAAGAGCGTGCACAATAGGAATATGAAGCATGCTCGCGCAATTGAATTTGATTAGACAAATTTACTAGCTTTGTTATAATGGCATCTATAGACAAATAATTTCAAAACTTGGCCAGTTAAGGAATGGTAGCTAGAGAGAGTCTCTGCTGCGCCTCGCGCATCTCTTACACTACCTTCACGCTCCCAACTATCCGCGTGCATCCCGAATTGGATTGACGCACGTTAGACATCGTCCATCACTTTTATCACGTAGCGAGGCATTTTTCACCCTGAAAAATTGCCTCTTCTGTAGTGATCAATTTACCTATTCCCTCCCGTACAGTTGCATACTAAAAATAGAACGACTCCCTTTTTAAATACAATTATTTTTATGCGCTGAGATTTGCGAGTGAAAAAATTAGTTTATCAAAATACCACTCATAAGCCGTCCAGCTCAAAATACTTGGCTCAGAAGTCAGGGAAGAAATTTCTTCTAAGTTTATTCATTTAAAATAAAGCAGCCTTTAAAAAGTCTGGGATTTTACGAGTCATTTTTAAGGGTTCGCCGAAGAGACCACGACGTGCACATTCTGAGTCTTGCATTTGCTGAAAATGGAGTCGAAATTACACGACATTGGCCTCAAATGCTGGTTTCCTACGACTTTAGCAGACTTAGCAGCACTGTGGGTCGATTTCTGAACCGAAACTAATGCCTTGGACCCTTGGATACGGCTGGAAAGGACTTCGCTGCAGTGCAGAAGCTGATGGTTGAAGGACGTGAATTGTAATTAGCCGGAAATCGCCATGATATGGCGGTTACAGACTTCAGCATTCGACCAGAGGGTGATTGCTGTGGTACAGACCGAGTGGTTGGTGTAAACTCTTGACAGCTAAGCTGCTTGACTAATTTCTTTCATCATGTTGTCAATATTATTGATGCCGTGCGCCTTGCTGTCGTACGACACGGGATCGGAAGGCGCCCAGTTTCGGCTGGGTTACTGGAAAAATGCAGAACTTTTAGGGTTGAGTTTGGAAAGATAGAGCTTCACAGCTTTATTGCCATCGTTTGGACTGTCCATTTCATACATTTGTGTATATTTTCCGTGCTTCTGGCCACCGGAATGGTTTTTAGACACTTCATCATACGCCATGGTCACGTAATTTCTCCCGCTCCCGTCGACTTCCAGTTTGTGGCTGGATTTCTGCAGCTCTCGTTGTCTTTCACGGCCTCGTCTGCAGAAGTAAAAAACAATATGAAACCAGAAATTTGCTAGGAGGGAAAGAGGATTGTTGTGAGAGAGTGCATCTGTTGATTTTAGCTTCTCCAGTTCTTCATCTTCCAGCGTAGGCTTGTGCTGGCTGTTTTCTTTGCCGAGCTTCTTCGGTTCATCGAGTAAAGCGTTAAGTATCTCATTTGATCTGGTAGATCTCGGATCTGTTGACATCTTTAGACTTTTGGAGAACTTTGGCTAATTTAGGTATCTTTCGATGCCGTGACGGAAACTAAGACGGGTCTTTTTCTCATATGTGTCAACATCTTTTTTCCTGGCCTCTGCATAAAATCTCGGATATTTGCATCGAGTTGACCGATCGTCATGTTTTCCAGCTCCGTTTGGATGTTTTTCTCTTTGCACCATGCAATAAATTACAAGAAAATAGGGCAATAAATCGATTTATTGTCAAAACAAAACTTGTATTTGTGACAGAATTTGTATCAGTTAAGACAAAATTGCAAAATCCTATTGTTTCTGTTGATTGTTTATCATGTCAGGTTGCAACATTTCATATGTTTATTTTTAACCATGCAAGAAAAAGATATCAATTTAAATTTAAAACTCGCCCTTGGACGTAGAAACACACCCGTGAGCGTTTTTCTTGGTCTTGTGTGATTGTTTAGCCTCAAGTATCTTTCTAAATCAAGCTCGGATAAATTTTCGAAGAGGTTGTTTTCATTGGTAGCACTTTCGTTTTGTTGATCTTTAGACGCTTCCGATGTTTCTACTACCATTTCAGACACGTTTCCTAAATCTTCAAAGTTAACGAGAAACGCTTAGTCAAATTTTGGCTTATTACTGGCCGTTACGGTGACAAAATTTAAGTTTTACTGGAAAAAAGTTGTCCATTTATCCCAGATCAACATGAGTATGTTAACAGTTGCTTCGTGTAGTTTAGTGAAAATTATAAATTTCTCGCATCATCTTTACATCAAGTGTGTTCCTGTGTTACTGCAAACAACATTCACAGTACAACTCCATTTAAATAGCTTTAATTTAACTGAACAAAAGAAAACAGTTGCTGATATGAACAGGTGATTAGTTCGATGCAAAACATGGAATTAAATCAAAGATAAAATCATTTTGGTATTGACTGACTGTGAATATATGAAAATCATGTATGTGAACTGCGGCTAAAGACATGACTTCGTTGTAATAAGCACTACTTGAGCGGTAGTGAAAATAAGGCCTGAAAAAAAAATTCAGGTCTGTACGGGATTTGAACCCATGACGTCTGCGATATTCATATTTTGGTTTTCAAAGGTAAATAAAAGATATGATTAATCTTTAATCATAACATAGCGCAAGCTTCGTGATCCAAACCTCTCTGTACGTCTTCGTGCCGTTCGCCATTAGAGCCATGGCTGAAAAATAAAACTGGGCTCGCTGGTTACAAGTAAGGTCCTTCTTTGGAGTGGTAACTATTGACAGTAAATGTTAATTTATATTAAAAATTTTTGTTTAAAACACGTTTGTTCAATACGAGCGTTTAAGTTGCTCGGAGCTGAACCTCAAGTATCTCTTACCTGAAATTGAGTAGTGGAAAACTTGAAATTTTTCTCTTTGGGAAAATTGAACAGATTTTTTCTAAAATCAATGATGTTTTAAAATGGTTTCATATATAATTTTATGTTGTGATTGAATTGTAAATATGTGTTCAATTTCATGCGCGATGTTATGAACATAATGACTCTAGGACTCTGTCTGTAATGAGAAATGTTGTGAACCTTCAAAATTGAATGTACGAAAACTTTCAATTTTTTTCTTCGAGCAAACCACCAGCCTTTTTCCATAGGAGAGTAAGAAGTTAAGGGGGAATTTTTTTTATTTAATTGTACCTAAATTGTAAATATCAGTTTATTTTTAGATGCAATTTTATGAACAAAATGACAGTGGGACTTCGTCTATAATGAGACAAAGTTGTGAACCTTTGAAATTGCATGTAAATAAATTCTCAATTTTTTCCCTTCGAGAAAACCACCAGCCTTTTTTCATAGAACTGTTAAAAGTGAGGTGTGAAATTTTTTTAGTTGAGTATTTATTTGAAAGAATATTTCGAGTTAGTGAGACGGCTTTCCGAAAAGTGGTATTAGCTTATTTGCATCTATATGTAAGATTTGAACACATCTTTCAATTGTTTAACTTGTTAAAGAAGAGATGGGTGTTTACGTTATAAATCTACGGAAACTGGGAATTACTAGAAACTCGTTCGCACTTAAAAATTATTCAAAAAAGGAGCGGTTATATGTTTCTCTGTTTCCGTAAAAAGTGATTCTCTTTATTGTTATGTCAGAGGGAGGTTACTCGAGTATTCTGAGAAAAATAGGTTCTAATTCTTTGCAGAAGAGCGAGAAAAACCTATAAAGGAATTACTTTTTATTTGCCGTTTGAAAATTATACATACAATATATATTGGTTTACTGACATACTGAAACCAAAAGAAGTCGCGACATCTTACTGGGGCTCCAAGGACTGTATTCAAGTCTCTCTATTTTAGGCACAAATCATATCAAATTGTACATTACTTAAAACGAATTTAAAAACCTCGGATTTTATTTTTTTCCATAGCTTCTTTTGACTTGTTTTAGTAATACACGCGAAGTAAAAAGTGTCCTAATTCAAACAGTTTGTACCGTGAGTCAGTCAGTTTCATTCAGCTATACAGAGAATTTGCACCAACTGTTTTTTGATAGACTTTCATTCGGTGTTGGCCATGGAAAGCACCGTGCCCAAACGACGCAACATAAGAACCAAACCAAGGCAAGATGTACCTTTTGAATGAAACACCCACGCTCTCTCTGACTAGCTTTTGGAATTTTCCATTTATTAATTCTTTCTTTTCTTTCTTTTCTTTCCTCATATCTCCTTGTTAGGGTTTTCAGTTCAGGTTATTATCGTTTTTGTCAGTTACACCTACATTTCCGCACTTTTTTATACCACACGTAATAACGAAGTCCTCTTGTATTTGAACCCAATTCGTTTTGCCATAATCACTTCCGAAAGATTGTGAATATACGAATATCATATATCTTAATTGCGGATTAATAAATTAATGAGAGTGATCTTCGCAGTAATGAACACGACTTGAGCATCAATACTTTTATCAGTCGGTTTTGCTAGTAGTCGCGCTTACTGCACTCTTCTGTTCTAGACATATTTTTCATAAACTTATTTACAATCGCTGTTTTCTTAAGGCGTTGTCAAAGTGGGTATTTTCTCTTTTCATTATGTTTGTACTTCATTTCGTTTGTGAAATTTTTATCTTATTCAACTTATCTTTCGTTTGCGTTTTTAGTTTCAATCTGTTTGCTCGTTTACGTCAAATTAAAAGTTAGTGTTGAGAAGTTGATGCTTTCGCTGTCAGACTGAAAGGTATGTTAAAAACAGTTTACATCTTTGCGAAAGTCAACCGGCTAGCAACAGAGAAAAGACGATTGCTCAGATTTAGCAGTAAAAAGCCACTGTTATTTTAAGGTGATTCAAAATTAGAGTAAAGCTTCTGAATTTTATGTAAGATTGATGTCAACGCTCTCGTCTTTTAAAAAAACAGCTTTTTTTAAAGAAAAAAAAATTTACCGTTTTTTTAAAGAGGAAAACAAATGTCGACTTCTTTGTGTGTATAATAAAAAGCGTAAAACGAATAGATCTCTAGTAAAATATATATATTTTCGTTATAATTTTCATTTAGGAGGGCACAACATTACAAATTTTCCCAAATATTTCTAAACTTTCTTTTTTTTTCTTATTATGAAACCCCGTTGTTTTAAAGGTGTTTTATAAGACGACAAATCCAACTTTACTGCTGACTTTTTAATTTAAGCAAGCATTGAATGATTTTAGTCACTCAACCTGTACATTGAAAATTAAAGCAAGTTATCTTTCAACCTACTACATTATGAAGACCCATCTGCTCGTCACCCTAGCATGCTAATGTGCCTTATTAAGAAATTTATAAAATTATCAATTTCGGTTTTTTTGTGTGAAAATTAAGTAACTTTAAGCCTCCGCACACAACATGCTGAAAGTAATCTGGACTCGATTAATTATTAGTTTAAAAGTTCCGAGGATTTCTTGGCATCAATCCATTTTCAATGCACACACGAATTAAAAGTTTATCTTTGTTTCATTTTTAATTTTATTTCCTCACGTACCACACAAAGAGTTACTATCTACGCGAACAATATTTCCTATACACTGATTAATCATGAATTATGACTGGAAAAAGACCGAAGAGTTTGACTACATTAAGCAAAACTACTGTGCTTTCGTTCTAAAAACTACAGATTTCCAAGAAGTGAGGAATTCTTCTAAATCTAATGATTGCGTGAGCTAAGTGACGTACTTTTTACGTCAGTCAGATAGAGCTGTCAAAAGCTTGTCCGTTACTTGTGCTCTTATCAGAAGTCTAATCCTGGTATCTATAGGGAAAGGCGTAGCTTTAGTTTGTGACAAGGAACGAAAGAAATCATATAAAACCTACAGATCTTGAAGCTGAACCCGGAATATGAAAGGCTGCGTCGAGATGCAGGAAAGCTTTTAAAGAAACAAGCTATCGTGTTTCGCCTTCAACACTTGCTCTTCCACTCTTTTCAGTATCACAAGCGATAAGAAATTCAAAGGTAAATTACTCAATTTACAGTTTCTAATTTGTAATACCCTCTGATGGAAAACTATATTTACTCCCAAGTTGCAAACAGTAGGTATGAGCAAAAAAGGACCTGGTCACCTATGCGTTCATATAAAATTGTTGCTTATGAATCAGATTCGAGTGTAAATGCGAAGGTCTCGATGCGCTCTTCGTTTTTCAAGTGTGAACCTTGAAAGAGATGATAGATAAAACAATGTAAATACGAAAAAAAAGTATTAAGAATTAGCAAGGTGAAAAGAAATGGATAATGTTGGAAATCATTATATAAAATGTCTCCACAAACTTTCGACGCGCTACGTGACCGCCATGACAAAAATGTCAACTGTGTTGTGGCAGGTGACTTGAAGGAACGAATTTGATTAAAGACTGACTAGGTTATTTGTTAATATGATAATGTAATTTACAGATTTTCAGCGTAATCAACACCGTCGTGTTCCTTTGCATGACAGATTTTTCTGCTTATTGATCTGAAACTCACTGATAGTGGAAATTCCCCAAGAAAGTTATTTTCACATTAGAGCAACAGCCTGGAAATAATAGTAGGATTTTCGATGGTATTTAGATAGTGTTAAGCGACAGAATTGAGTTTTGTTTCGTTCTTCACACTTTTTATAGCCTTCGTTTAATCAGCCTCCAATTCTCGGTGATAGAAATCTTTCACGGATAAATTTAATCGCTTTTCTTAGGAGAAAAAGGGGCCAAAAGGGATTCTCTATTTTGTTAGAGTTGGCGGTGAAACCAACTGTGATGTTTAATACAAGCCAAAACAACTGAAGAGAGCTGAATCAACGGTTGCATATAATTGTTATGATTTTTTTTTCAGCGAATTGAAGCAGCCAATAATTGAAAATGCCTAGTGGTCACCAGATTTGCTTTGTTTTTCAAAGTGTTGTCAGTATAACCATGTCTCTAGTGACTACCTCCTCAGCTACAAGTGAGTAAAATTAAAGAAAAGAATTAACTTAGGATTAATATTGATAGATCTAAAAAAGATTATTTCCAACAGCGCAAGTTATCTAGTTATACAAGAGTTGAGTCCCATCTTTCAATCCCGCTTCTAAAAATATGAAATTCAATTAAAAAAGTCTAGGCGCATGAGAATGAAGGAGAAGTAAGACTTCGAGATATGTTTGGGGCAATTAATTTTTCTTTAAAGGAAAAGTTCAATAACCAACTAAAAACAGGGAACCTTACATCATTATTGACAAAAAGCTATCAAGTAGAGGAGAGCATAAAGTGAAAATCTTTATGCGGTGTCAAAGAAAAGCACGAAAGAAACGACGGAGATACGCAAACACCACTCACAGCAAGGGACAACATCAGCTTTGTAGAACAGGAAACTTAACGATAGGAGAGCATGAATGCAAATATGCCCTCGCACACAGTTCAAACAAACCATTAAAATCAATAAAAGGAGTAAAAATTTCAAATCAACAAAAAAAACATTGGGCTTTATGGACTTCAAGAAGCCTGACCAAAGGTACATTGAATTAATTTGTTGTCAACAACAAAGCACATGACCAAACTACTTTAGTATAATTCTGATTTCAATCTTTTTTTTTTTGCTAAACAATCAGGTTTGGAAAATAATGTCTTGACCTTTTTCGTTTCAATTTACATAACCAACAGAAGGGTGTTCCACATTTCTCCTTCCATCGGGAAAGTGTTGCGTGTTTCCATTTGAGTACAATGGCAGACAATACAATGAGTGTACAGTCGATGGGTCAGCCAGGAGACCCTGGTGTGCCACAACTTCCAATTTTACGCAAGACGGACAACGGGAATACTGCGAATGTGGGTAGCTCTTAATCTCATTTTTAATTAATATACTCCCTCTTTTAGCTTCTTATTGCGAAAGAGTGTCCTTATGTGTATGGAGGTCATGTAGATGAATAGATTTAAGTGAATTTACAACGTTTTTGATGAGCTTAAAGTTTACTGCAATTCCGATAGAGCGGTGATAGCATCTAATTTAGATGTTAGAGTTAGAGCATTAGAATAAACCATTTTTAGATCCCACTTTCATCTTTTGCATATGACTTAGCATTTATTTGTTAACATTGGGCTACGATAGCGAGATGTATTGATGCAATGCTTTGTACTATCCGCCCGAAGGCGAAATATGAGGGGGGTAAGACGCACAAAGGCCTTGACGACTCTTACTGTCTAGCGTAAACCATGTCCTAAATATTTGTGTTGAACGCTGACAAATTATCTCCCATAAAGAGAACGTCACTTTTACAAGTTGAAGTTACGCCTTCCAAATCGGAATTTGGCCTTTCATATCCTAAATGTGAATTAGTTTTCATCTACAAGCTCTCTTTACCGAACAAAAAAAGAAAAAAAAAAAGGAAACGAACGTTTGTTGCTTCATTAATCTCTATTGTTCTTATCTTAGTGCAAAAAGGATGGTGTCCTTCTGGGTGGTTCCGTCTAAAAAGCAGTTGCGTTTTCATGGAAAAGGATCCAGCTCGTCTCGAGTATGATGATGAAGTTGGAGTGACCTTTTGGAGAAAGGCGCGTGAGAAATGTAACGAGAAAGGAGCGGACCTCATGATCGTGCGAGATAAAGCAGACTTAAACGGACTACTATCCATGTACTACCAATCTAGAGTTAGTATCCGTAGACCTCTTTTTTTAGGATCACGGGAGTATTTCAACCCTCATTGGAAATGGCTTGATGGTACTGAGGTTAATCCAGCTCTCTGGGGGAACGGAGAACCAAAAACAATTCACGGAAGATGTGGAGTGATCGAGGATTTCAGAAAGAGGTGGTTTGACAGAGGCTGTGGTTGGTGGTTAGCAGCAAGGCCCTGCCATAAGATAAGAAGGGCTTACATATGCGAGTCTCCATTAAGTAAGTATTAGGGATTGTTTCTATAAATTGTCGTTGTCAATGAAACATTGCAAGTTTAAAGAGTGTCTTAATGAACTGAGGAGTATTGAGGCTAAAAGGCTTCATAGACCAATTTTTTTAGCCAACAGAACCTGCAAACAAGGATATTCATTAGCAGAGGATCGCTGCTATAAGATAGTCACCTCTCTTCGTCTTATTTGGGAGGATGCCCAGTGGGACTGCTTAACCCAAAACAGCAGCTTAGCGGTTATCAACACTAAGGAAAACCTTGAAAGAGTCGCCTCACTTCTATCAACGCTGAAGTGGCGATATAGCTTCTTTGTCGGGCTTGTAAGGAATTTGAGCAACTGGTCATGGATTGATGGAATATCAATTGACCCATATCTGTTTCGAGCTGGATATCCCAAGATAAGGGATAAGGAAGAAAATTGTATAGCGTTTTCTGGGTACACTCCTGACATTATAAATGTGGGGTGCAACAATGGTTATGCCTACGCCTGTCAAAGTGCTCAAGGTAAGTTAACCGGTTCATATCTTGGATTTGGTAAAAGAACTCAGTACCGGGAAATTCTTTTTCATCCTTCTTCCGTTAATTTAACCAATGTTGAAAAGGCCTCAACGTCCTTTCCAAAACTGCACCCAAACAGTCCGTTTGTGTTCATCAGGCTCAACTTGCTTATTACGGTACGTGAACTGCGAGGCGGACAGAAATAGCACCAAGAATGGTCATGACGACAAATGTCAAGCCTGTTTGATTTCTTTTAGATGTCACAAACGACGCGAGTGCGAGACATGAACCAATTTAACTGCCCTTATGAAATAGTAGTGTGAACAATGAAACAATGCAGAAGTCAACCATATAATAAATTATCGGCAAATACTGGATGGCCTTTCAATGTTCTGGTTCTTTATATTTTATTTCAGCCGTTGTAGCAAATGTTGCATTTGGAAGTCTGACGGACCATTCAAGTTTGGCTACAGGAAGCAACTCATCATTTGTAGTCGATGACAATCTCACAACTTGTTTCTCCTCTAAAGTGGTAAGAGAACAGAATGCATATACATATCTTCGTATATGTTAACGAAGTGAACACCTTTACACCGTCGTTTCTCGAGGATTAAGATTGCTAATCAATTACAGTAGAAAGAAAGTTTTGTAGCCATGTCACCATTCAAGTGGTAAATACTTGGTGACGCGGTTATTGACGTGGACCAGCCAATCATATCGTTTACCAAAATACACTCAAACCTTAATGGAGCGGTCACCCACTGGAGCGGCTGGATGACCGCCTAATACAGGTTCCACAGAAGAGAGTACCACTTAATGCACAAATACTGGCTCAAAAATCCTACTTACGTTAATTTTGTGAATGAAAACATGGACTAAATTTTACTACTAAGATTATTCTTAGTTTTACTCGAGTAGTTCCGCTCTAAGTGACTATTCAGTACAGGTGGAAGACAATAAAAACAGGCGGTTGGGACTCACTCAAAAGTGACCACGACCGCTTAAAAGGGGTGTCTGTTCAATAGAGGTGAAAATACAACGAGTAGGGAAAATCAACTTGGGACATAGGCAACCGAGTACTTATTACTGGTTCGACTATAGCACCGTTACAGCCTAAAACTGAAGAGATACTCAAGAAAATAAAAATGATAATAACGCATTACTGATATTATCCTAAAATTTTTGGCTAGGAAGAGAGTCCATGGCTCGAAATAAAGCTAGTGAAATGGTTTTACATCTACAAAGTGACCATAAAAAATCCCAAGAAGACAAGTATCCCCGAACCTCTCACAGTGTCGATCATTTCACGCAATCGGAATGGTGAATCTACCACTTCTGTGTGTACAAAGAAAGGGAACTCTTCGTACTTGGAGTATCAATGTATTCCTCCAGTGAGAGGTGACACTCTGTACATCAAAGGGTCCAAATTGAACACAGCGCTGGTTTTGTGCCATGTCAGTGTTTTGGCATTCGGTTAGTTCTAACTTTTCGTTGTTTTTCACTGCGGCCCTCACTATTTCGCACGTAGTTGGTTTATAATCTGCTACAACTTTTTGGAAATATTCAACCAATGCAATTGTGGCCCGGGTCATTTTGAAATAAGTAGAGGAAGCACACAATTCAGGAGATGTGATATCGCTTCGCATTTTGTTTTCCCTTCTGATCTCTAACACTAACGCCTAAGAGCTAAACAATTAATCCGGGTTTAAATACGCTTGGCTCATATGTTTTCCTAAATTTCTCTCGCACTCAAAAGTATGTGCTATCCAATACTTTGAATTGTCATCCGTAGAAACAGAAGAAAATGCAAAAGGAGTACTTCGAGAGGTCTGGCTTTCAGAAACAGCTGACGAAAACCCACTTCTTCTTAGAGACCTGAGTGCTTTCACCAGACAGAGAGACCTTTGGAATATAATTCCAAGAATGGATGCAACGGTCAATTTAGGAAAATTTTATGCTCAGAAACTAAATGCTTACATGAAGGTAAATTAATAATAACAACAATGATGATAATAATAATAACAATAACACCAATGCTACAGCGATGTGGTTATTTTGTTACAATTTAGTGTAAACATGCTTCAAGGAAAGATGAGATTTTTCATAACAATGTGCTTCCTAACGTTTTAGCAAAAAACTTATCCGCCTTCCATAATATCGACTACAGAAATTACAAAAACATAGGCAAATCAAAAGGAATAAGTGAAGGAATGGATTGATAAATAAAAAGATAAACTGTCTAGTCTTGTTTAGCTTTTCTTTGCTTTTACATACACCAGATTTTTCTTTTCAATATGCCATGGAAGAAGAGTTGAAAAGACGCGAAATATCACAAAGAAATATCACAATAATTACTCAGGGAATTTAATTAAGCCACTTATCCATGGGAAAGACTAGTCATTCAGAAAAGCAGTCGTACAGTTTTTTACTGGTTACAATAAACATATTCAACATTTCTCACCTCAGGTCACTGATTCTGGCTACCACACATTTTACATGACGTGCAATGATGAATGCGAGTTGTGGTTTGATGGCGTTGAAGATCTAGAAGGGTTGGGGGCTGGTCAGTCCGAGAGAAAAATGTTGATAAAGCTGGTTGATATGAAGACTTTAGAGCGTCTGACGTGGGATAGGTATGCTCACAGTATAATCTTAGAGTAAATCATCGGGGAGAATTTTTTCCGCTTCTGTTTTGTAAATAGTTCTAAACTTTTGAACCGAGTTGAGCGTGGTTTTTGTCACAATTGTTTCGTGTATCGTATTTTGAGCTTTTAAAAAAAGTTTAATCGCCGGTTTATGATTAGTTATTAACTCCAAGCAAATCAGGATATCGGTTTCATTTTTCTTTCCTCAAACCTGCTGATAATTAATTGCAACCATTTTGTGTTCTTAGTTTTGAAGTTTTCTCAGTTTACTTGTTTCACAAAATTTCAACTTTGCCTATTAAAAGTCTAGTCAATCTACGCAGGAAACTTTATTTATTTTTCCATTAAGATTTCTTTCTAGGAAATAAAAAAAAACATTACTTGTCTTTTGCCAAATCTGACCCATATGTACTCTATGGTTGTTTGAGTTCCACTTACATGATTACAGGCCGAATTGAACTCTACTCATTCCTATTTCTGTTATAAATCAAGTTGTCTCTAATGTCAATTTGCTTTCGCAGGTCGCTCAGAAAGCAAATTTCACAACCCATATATCTTTCTCGTTGTCATCTTTATAACATTGAGGTCTTTATGAGGGAGTATGTCAACGAAGATCACTTGTCTGTTGGAATCAAGTTTCCTAATGGGGAAGAACAAAAACCTGTTTACGCCAAAAATCTCTTCTGGCTAAAAACAGGTTTGACCTTTTGCTTTGTTTAAGATTTCACCTAGTAGTAAGTGATGTTTGATTGATAAGGTAACATTTTTTGGGACCAAGAGAGGATAAACTGCTCTCTTTCCGAAACTTACAGCGTGAAAATTCACCTTAGATGCCAGGGAAGCAACGGGGAAGGTCACTTTTTGGTTTTAGCTTTGTTTCAAATGAGGTTTTCATTTGAATATAGGAATGAGGATCCCTCTCATTCGTTGCCTTTGATTTTTGTGACACATAAAAGGAATTATGTCTATTGGGGCCCAGTAATTTTAAGTTGAAGGTGTGTTATTTTCTAAGGTCTTGCTGGTAGTTCTATTCAATAAGGACAAATTCCTGTGGAAGTCTATGTTCTATATTTAAGGGGAAAAGCTTTCGCATAGTTATATTGGAAATTATCAAGGCGACTGTTTTTATTCAAAATCACTTTGTTTCTTTCTTATACACGTAATTCACAAAATATGTGCTTGCTTCAGTTCCATAATCACCTCGTTCGTGATGATTATAGCAAGACATTACACAATGTAAAAACCAATCAGAGCCATTGAACTGATATGAATTTTAAATTACTTTTGCATCCTGTGTTAGGTGAGCGGAGCCTCGTCTTCAGCAACATACGATTCGAGCCCGGTAATAAATTTACGGCGGAAGTTGGATCTATCATATCGATAGCAGGTTTGCACAGATGCCTCATATCCGAAGAGTTAAAGTGGCTTTAACATGATTTTTCAAATACAGCTCAGTTATCAGCTCAGTTCACTGGAAAACTGCAGTGCAAGACGTCTGAAAATGTTTTTGTTTTACCAAAGAACTTTCGAGCCTTGATGTAAACAAAGAAAGAATTAAAATTTTTAGCTAAATTAACTGGTGAAGAAATTTCTTTCCAGACACTTTTTTTTTCTATTCAACATCACGCCGATCATAGATGGTATTAAAGCGTCTATTTTGCTTATCAAAAAAATAACTATAACATAGAGTTGAAAGGAGGATGTTATTTTTTTGCATGATTTCGAGTTATTCATATTTGCAAAAGCTGATTCAAAACATCCGCTTAGTCTGCTAAAGTCCTTTCAATTTTGGAATGTTTCTGTTGATTCTGTTTAAATGAGTAGGTGGAAAAAGAAGTCTGTAGGGATTCCTCTAGACATGAACACAAACAGTAACCAAGAAGATCTGCGAAAATATCCTGTTCATGTAATTCTATACAAATATAGGCTCCTACAAATACTGCTGTCAAGGGATTTTCTGTCCGGACTGTGATCTTAGAGTGGCTATATCGGTGTTTTACACCGAGTACATCATCAATTCCTCTCTGTCAATGAATTGCCGAGAAAATTCATTCAATATTTCACTAGAAGCAGACGTAACACCTGGATTCTACAGCATTCAGGTGAGCAAACATGTTGTTTCCCATATAACTCAGTACTTTTTTTTCAGTTTCGATTAAGTAGAGCTTTAATATACTATTGCAACTTGACTAACAATTCCTTACATGAAATTATGTGGGCCTTTCTGTGAACCTGGACAATTATTCAAAGATGCTATTTTATTATAACATGCATATAAATAACATTCTTTGAACCTTGAATGTTACCTTCTTGTTTAGAATACACATCTTTATCGGTAAAAAGACCCAAACTTCGATAAAAAACAAAACATTGATATCAAATTTTGCTTCTGTAGTCATTAAGTAAAGCTTTGCTGCTCACTAAGTACTCGCTAAGTAAAAAAGGTAACAGCACTCTTCCGCAAAGTAAGAAGCATCTTTCATACATTAGCAATGCCACTAGCATTGTACTGTTGTGTTTAAAGGAGCTGATGTGAAATTAATAATTGAACACCCAAAACCATGGAGTGAACAGAATATCGTTAGTTAGATATCTGCATTGAGATAAGTTGTTCAGTTTCAACCATGATGACTTTTTTGGCAACAAACAACAGTCTGGATAAAATGTAGTTCGAAATCATACCTCAAAACTGATGAAGTTTTGGTATTTTTACTCAGGCCCAGTATTCTTTTGCTGATGAAAATGCCACAAAACACCTTGAAATTGCTCAAGTATCCATGACAGGTTGGTCTTCTTTTCTCTTTTGATTGAAAGAAGTAACATTCAAGCAACATAACGGTCATAGTCGTAATCATAACGACAACCAACAGTAAAAGCCATAATGATATTGACGATTAAGATTTCAATTGTGGCGTAATAACTTTAAAGCCAGACCAGATACGATAATTATGCTATAAGTTTTTTGACGTTTACTGGGAATTCTCAGTAAGACTTGTCAGGGTTAATCCATACTTTCATTTTTCAGCTGCGGTTCTAAGTCAATGCAGTTTTTTTAATGATCTCTGTCAATGGAAAGAAAAGACCACAAACGGATCTTCGTGGAAAACAGGAGGAGGTAATAGATATCTGCTTGTTAACACTTAGCATTGAAAACAATTGCTTTCAACATGATATGATGTCAAGTAAGCCCTAGTTAGGTCATTACAAAGCAAGTGTTGAGAGCACAGAAACTATTATTTTATCATGTCATATCTTTTCCACCTTTCCAATGACGCTAGAAACTGTCGATGAAGAGAGTTATTTCTGGCAAATGAGTATTCAGGAGAGGTTTAAAAGTTGTACAAATCGACGGCAAACTAGGAAAATTCCTTATTCCGGACAATTTTTTAAACTTTCTTTCGTAAGAGACGACTTTTGGCACTATTAAGAAACCAAAGGGGCTCATTACCTTCCACCGTAACGATTATTTTTATCATCATTGTCACATTTTGTTTATCTCACATCCTTTTTGAGCTTAATTCTCACGGTTAGGTTGCATCAGATTTGGAAAAACTTTGGTTCAACTGTCTATGATTGTTCTCAGATTACCAAGGTGCTTATTTACTGGATGTCAGCGAGGGCTCTCTTGAAAGTCCAAAGATGCCTTGGAAAGAGTCATTTAAAGAAACGTATTCGTGTTTGCAATTTAAGTACATCTTACCAGGCACAACAACAGAAGGAAGAAATTCTACCCTGGAAGTTTTCGTCGGTAACGAGGAACAGATGGCTCTGCTTTGGAGAGTTCAAGGATACCATGGAAACAAATCATCACGAGGCTACGTATCGTGGGAATCCAAAAAAGATGTCATGGTAACAATAATAATAATAATATATAGAGAATGATACGTGGGCGCACATGAATGTGGAATTTCTCTACGAGTGAGCTATCGAGTGAGTGAGCTATCGAGTTAAACACGAGAAGAGAAATTTCATACCTACAAGCAACCATGTATTATTTTGTTTATCATATAAACACAATAGCCCTTTACTGATAAGAAAAGCTGGCTTCATTAATGAATGAAAATAAATGAATCGACAGTCCCCGAATAACAATCGTAGAGTGCGTTGGCGCCACCTCTTAATATGGAAAAATGCGTTGAATCATGATTACAAAAACAACAGTGGTCGTAATTTTCCATTTACAAAATTCTCATTTAGTGACTTTGTCCTTACTGACAAAAGAAGTCTTTCAGGTAAACGGCTAAAATCGGCCAATGGCAAATCTTTCAGCCGTCGATTTTCATTCCCAGCCACGAGAAATGCCAACACCAAAGCCACTGAATACGTAACTTTCGGCTTTTCTTTTCGTGTATTGGTTTTTTCCCCTTTTAGGAAAGCTTGAACGGCACTGTCTGTCAGCCATAAGGATTTTTTTTAGTGTTTTAGCCGCCATAATCCGAGAAAGTTCCGACAAACTACCTTGCATTGAGAATCGTGAAGGCTTTGCCGCTCATTCATCAACCTGACCGAGTGGCGCCAAAGGCGAGTGACGTATCAGCAGCTGATTGGCTATATCAACACATGTGGAAAAAATACGATATTTTTTCACGTATGTTGTTACGGCTTTTCTCAGGGCCGGAAATCCTTGTATAGCACCGCAGTTTATGTGATAAAATAAATTTTTATATCGCCGTCTCTACAAAGTATCCTACGGCGTATGACATCATTGAAAGCTAAATAATTAAATGATTAAGAGCAGAATGTCTTGGTAAAAACACGTTTAAAAGAAAGGTTTAAGCCACATTATTAAAAATATGCAACACATCCACTAAAAATACGTTCATGAAGAAAAGTCTCGAGGATAGATTTAAAAATGGTCAACGACCTGCACCTCCTCATATCTACCTGAAGGGAATTCCATATTATGTGAATAGAATGTATTATATACCAAAAAGCTCTTTGACCATAAATCCTTAGATTACATCTTGGTGTTACAAGTAAAAATTTACTAGAGGAGCGCAATGTTTTCGGATGAATGTAAGGCAGTAGAAGCTCCTGTAGGTAAATAAGTACCATGTCATTTGACGAATTAAATGTCAAAAGTAGGATTTTTTGTAATCAATCCGTTCGGCGGCTGAAAGCTTATGTAACTCTTGTACTATGGGTGAGACGCAATCATATTTTCGTCATACAGTATATCAAGATACCGGTTGAAGTTAAAAATACATGATAGCTATTTTTTTTCGACCCTGTAAACTACAAAATTGTTACTTCCTTGAAATTCATATCCACCAAAAAACATAAAAAAAATTACGTTAACGGAAAACATGGAATACATTGTTGTGTACTTCAGTCAGTAACATATATATGGTTTTATTAAATTGTGGATGAAACTTAATTGCCTTGATTTAGTCCTTTTGTATTTGAATCTACGCCCTTCGATCATTTGATTGTAATTTTTAGTTTTAATCAATTTTTTTTTAGATTGAGCTTAAGGCAACTAGCTACGGGAAAGCTTCAGCTGTAATTCAGGAACTAAAAATTATCACCAACTACTGTGAAATTTTCCCTTTGTTCGCCATGCCAGGTTTGTAATACAGTTCAATAAATTTATTTCATCAACTTGAGTAAATTATAGTTACTTAGTAGTTAATCTTGTATTTAAAATCATGAATGCAACACAACCGGTCAGAGTAACGTTGTACAGTTTAGGGATTTTAAGCAGCCTCAAGATTCTAGAATTACACCGGAATAGGACCAATATTGGCTGAAACTCTTGGGCGAGGGTTGCTACAAATAAGTTAATTTTCCGGGAGGGCATAACTGTTTCCATGTGACTACCATTTCCATGGGATGTTATCATTTTGCAGGTCACAGCTGTAGCAAAGAAGAATTCAAGTGTGAAAATTTGCAATGCATTAAAAGTGTCCTAAGATGTGATGGCGACTTGCATTGTTTGGACGGATCTGATGAGGAAAACTGCCAATGTCTAAACGGTCAGTTTTCGTGTTCCTCGGGGAAATGCCTGCCTCCAGAAAAACTGCGAGATGGCAAAAAGGACTGTGTTGACGGGCAAGATGAAAAGAAAGGAAGAGGTAAAATGGTTTGTGCAAAAATTGTTCCTCGTCAATATCTTAAATTTTCTGGATTTCAGTAAAGCCTTGATTACTCGGACGTACGTCAAAAGAACAGTAGTCATTCTTCCCTTGAGCTTGGTATAACTTACAGATTAAATGCATGCTGATCTGCTGGATGATTCTAGCATAATATGCATGAAAGGAAACGATGTTCATGTAGGTACAAAAGAAAAAAAGATTTTATTTATTAATTTATTAATTTTTTGTTCTGGCAAATCATTGTTTTAGCTTTAAAGCCCACTTTTTGTTTTTGTTTTTTCTCTTCTCAAGTGAACCCGAATTCCAAGTATCCTTGTTTTGACGGTAAGGTGATCTCTTGGTCCCAGACATGTAAAAAAACAGAAGGTTGTGCTGACAGCAGCCATTTTTCTGCCATTTGTGGTAAGTTTTACAATGGTGTCTTGATATCTTATTTCTTGCCATGTGATTACTGATAAAACAAAGCTCAATGTAATCGCAGGAAATCAAAATGAGCTTCTAAATATGCACACTGCTCACAATTGACTAAATTTTAGCCAAGTAAAAATTTGGATTTATTCAAGTTACGTGGGTTTTTGGATTTCAGATCTGAGGATGACGATACTTTTATCAATAATCATAATGGTTCTTTTTAAAATAAAATGAATATTGAACTGATATATAATTATGATAAAGAGAGTTGAATCGTGTACCTACTTCTTTTAAAAATAAAACTTTACTGTCACTTGCTATTTAAAGGGAAGGCGGAATGCCCGCTGAATGACTTAGCTTGTTCAAAGCAAACAGGGGATGCGAAGAAGGATAAGGAAGACGCTTGTCAGATTCCTTTTCGAGGTAAAAATATGAAAAGTGCAGGACGGAGGATTGTAAAAAATGTCAAAACCAAGTCTTACTTTATTACAGCGTTTTTTTTTAACAATTATTTTCTCGTTTTTTCTATACTTTGCTGTTAGATGGCTGTTGAGTTTTTAAAATTGATATTTCATTTAAGTCGGCCAACAGTTGGACCGTGATGGAATACAGATTTCTTCTTGCAATACTAAAACTTAACATTATTGCGATATTGTGTTGCACTTTGGCTCAGATTTAGACTAAATCTTATGTTCGTAATGGCAAGAAGAGAAAAACTCAAATTTAGTCGCGTTATTGTTCAGTTTTAAATGGCAAGAGTGAGAAATAAAAAACAAATTTAGTCGAACGAAGAATTGTCTAGAATTATTCAGTGACGCTGAGGTTATTCAATTTTGACTATACTTCTTTTTTACCCCATCGATATTTTAACTTATGTCACTACAAACTTTTCTTTTTTCTCCTATTAAATGTAAATTTTCTTTTTAAACGATTTTAAACAGCATACAAGTATTTAGAAAAGAGCCAAACATTCAGAATCTTGAATATGTTTCCCGCTCGGTTCTGTTTCAGGACCATGCAGTTTTCAGAATGGTTTGTGTGGATTTCAGAATGGTATTAACAGTGAATTTCAGTGGACGACAGAAATTAGAGGAACCCTATCAGAAGGCACGGGACCTTCCTTTGACCATACCACTTTATCAGACCAAGGTGTTGTGTTTTTACATCTCATATTTATAGATATATATATATCTGAATAAGAATTATAATTGACAGGAAAATCTTTCACATTTGGAATTTCATTAAGAGTTCAGAGTTCCTAGAACAATGTTATTCGAAAAAATTTAGAGTTCGTTTTAAAGCAGATTCAGCGTTAGCTAAGCAAGAAAATTCTCAGATTTAAAACAGGTTATATGTCAGCAGATAGACGTGTACTTTAACCCGAAGGTTATTGCCCATTTTTTACCACTGGAATCTTAGACCTGAAGTCTACTAACTTGCACATTATTGAAGAGATCAACTTGAGTGAAGAGATTGTGTCAGGACCATTTCACTTGTTCTAAGTGGTGCAGGAGATAACCTTCATCAAAATTTAATTGATGCATCTTTGGCTAGTTTTGTCAATCTTAAATAATTTCGTCCCATATCGCGTCAGGTTACCCACAATTCATGAACGCATTACGCTCTCAAAATTAAAGAGAAGATTAATAGTTAAAGGGCTTACTAAAAAATAAAAATTATTTTTTAGGCCGTTACCTTTATATCGAAGCATCAAACAGACAAGCTGGCGATAAAGCGCGATTACAAAGCGGCTGGTTCCTACATGCTCCAGAACTTTGTCTTCAGTTTTGGTACCACATGTATGGAGAAGATATAGGGTCTCTTAACATTTACATTGGAGCAATGAAATTAGAAGAAAAGGTTTGGAGTCAACATGGGAACCAGGGAGATATGTGGATTTTTGCGCAAGTTCCTATAAATTCAGGAGGTCATGAAAGACAATTTCAGGTGAAACAATATTGCGTGCAAATAGAATACTTCATTGTCTTGGAGACTATATTTTCAAAGTACTTTTCCATAATCGCAATGTTAAGTAATTTATATACTCAATGACTCAACCGTTTCACTTACATTGACGACACATAAAAAAGAATCACAAGAAAAATCTCGGTTATTTTATCAATTCTATTTTCATTTCATTTACTTAGTAGGAAAAGAGACTATTCCGTCAACCAATTCCTATAAACTTCCAAAGAGTTTCTGACCATTTGATAAAAGCTGCTCATCTTTCGCTGCATCGACATATTTTTCAGGAGTTATTAGAGATGGGATGACAAATTACATTTAAATTTTGAGTAATTTGTTAGAAAGCGTAGAGGAATCAAGAACACAAAAACAGAGAACGCTAGATTAGTAGGGAGTAAACATTTTATTCAGCCATTTAGGCTCAATAATTTCAAGTCTTTTCAAAATTGCTATGGATATCCTTCACGCTATATAGGGTTTAGATAACAAGAGTTTTATGATAAAATCTAAAATTGTTACGATTAAAGACGCCATGCCAACACTGTATACTTAATTTTAGATCCTAATAGAAGGTGTGATCGGAGGTGGAAGCTCAGGGGATATAGCTATTGATGACATCACTGTTTTAACTGGAAGCTGCATTAAAATCGTTAAACAGGGTAAGCTTAACTTGAAAAAGGTACAAAGTCAAAATGGGACTGCAAAATATGTTTAAAAAATTCACTTAGGTACGCAACTCATTGCCTTAAAATGCTGACCCAGAATACATGTTGCCAGATCTCGCGCGCGATGTTGAGTTTCGTTGGCGTTACGTTATTCTTAAGTTCTCAAGGAGAAACCTATTCCTTATGAACGTAATTGCTGGACATTTTTATTTATTTACTAAATTGGAATAAGAAAATATTGTGTAGATGTGGCAATTTAAGGGAGGTTAATCCCACCCTAGGAATTACTGAGTTATATTTTTCTTTAAATTACCTCTTTAAAATAAATTTTATGCCTTCTTCAGAAACTCTGGATTGCTACTTTGAAAATGGACTGTGTGGTTGGACTGGGGAAAACGACTGGAAGATAGAGAGCACTGTAAACAATGGTATTGAGAAGTAACTTGTTAAGAATTCATCGGCTCGTTGATTTTTTTAGCTTAAAATTACAAATCATCAATGTAGAGGGCGATGAGAGGAAACACCTTAATGATTATCATAAGCACTCGAATTTCACAAAAGAGGTGGATTGTATTGATAATGGAGATAAAATGGTAAACCCAACAGTAATAAGAAACAACTCGATTGCCATATGTTTTAAGCTGAGCTGGAAAAAAAAGCTAGCTAAAGAAGAATCTTTTCAAGCACCATTTTTTGTCGAAGGTATGTGACCATGATCCTAACTAAAAACCTCTAAAACCAAATTACCTAATGGCTTTCTTGTCTCTACTCCACATTGTGTAACGCTTTTAGGTGCTTTTTTGAATTTGAAAATTTTCTTTGCCTCATCAGGTAAATTCCTCTACTTCAAAACAGATCGCGCTGAATTAATTAGTAGAACCTTGATAACAAAAGAGCTAACCCAAGCAAAGGAATGGCGGTGCTTAACATTTTGGTATTTCATTGGCGAGGAGAAGAGGACGCATACCAATGAGAAAGTGGTGGAACTCAATGTTTCTGCTCTTCACCCTGATAATAGCAGTGATGTCACTTCTCTGTGGTCCACTTCTTATCGTACGAACCGGTGGACGTATGTGCAGCTGCCTCTTCACCACAGGGAGAGTCCCTTTAAGGTAAACATAAAGAAGTACAAAAATTTATTACCACAATTAAGTCAAGCAAATCAGTGGAAATCACAGGGCTTTAAAATTATTGTTTTATTGTTTGCAGTTTAATTAGATTTGAGCGCTTTGAGGACAAACCATTAAAAATTCCATATATAGCTGTTACGTAAAATTCTCTTGATAATAACTTCGAAATTGTGATACTCAGATCTTTATTAATTGGTCACGCAATTAGAGTTGCCATGCTTGTAGTTATTTACCTCATCAAAAGCCTATTGACCGTAGTTTTGATAAACTGATAGAACAGCTTGGACTGACATATCCACCTTAATCTTGGCCGTAATTCAACTGCATTCGAAATTTGTTCGCAAAGTTTTCCTTCTCGAAAAGTAACTCAAGGTCAAATAAGGTTAGCATCTCAAATACCGTTTTTCTTGGTCCTTGTTTTAATAACAGATCTTGTTTAGAGGAACCCTAGATTCTGCCGAGGTTGTATTCCTGGGCATTGATGACATATCTTTTTCCAAAGAGAAGTGTAACGCTATTCCGAACGATGAGGGGAAAGGTATGTCTTGTTTCGCTTTGCTTTGTGAGTTGGCTCAAACATTCGTTTACCACAGTAGGAAAGAGTAAACCAGTTCCTAAGTTGTCTCGCGAATGCTCTTTCGGGACCAGCAATGTTGCAAAAATCCGTCTATCTGTCCAATTGGGTGCTTAACAATCTTCATTTCCAAGGAGCCTCTGGTTTTTTGCATAAGTGGCAACAATAACCAATGCAACGTTGTGATGTTTTGATGGAAATTTAGCGTCAGGTTTACGAATCAGTTAATCTTCGCCCTTTACGACGAAAGTATTTGATTCCAGCTTTAGGAAAGTGTCTGAAAGAAAGTTGACTCAATATTCCCCTATTATTATTATTAATATTGAGTGATTAAACATAAGCAGGACACAATCTCTAATTTTCAATTCGTGGGTCAAAATAAAACTTTAGAAATATAACTGGCTTACTATTCGAGGAGGCTGGTATCAAAACGAAAACGTAAGGGCGCTTTTTTCGAAGATTTTAAATTGCAAACCCTTGGTTTTTATTCTCTTAGCTTTTTCGATTAACACGAGAAGAAAATTGATCACTTAAGGTTTGAAAAATTGTATGAGTTCAAGTCTTCTGTCATTCGGTATTTATTTTGTGAAGTGGTATCATTGCCCATCTGTTGTCGATATCTTGTTCTTGACATAGAGTAGTCACTTATCTTTCTATCTTCTTCAGACATATGCACCTGGGTAACCGGCTACCACACCTGCTGTAGATTCCCTTTTGTCTATGAGAATACTTTGTATCACTCCTGCACAGGAGACGATAACGACAGACAGTGGTGTTATTTTGGAGACGATGAGTTTGATGCTGGTGGCTGTGATGGCAAGATTCAATCTTTGTCTCATATTTTTATGGCTCAGAGCCAAAGGAAGATTTCTTATTCTTGGCGCGCGTACCTTCACGTTATACTAAACCAAATAAAAACTAGTGGATCTCTTGGCCTTGAGTCACCATCACCATATTTGGATGAAGTTTAAGAATAAAAAAAATCCAAATAATTTTTAGAACCTTTAGGAAACACTCACAAGTAGGTGTGTCGAAAAAACATTCTGAACTTTTTCACCGAATGTGTTACTGAGACATCTCTGAGGTAAAAGTAACAGACGACAGTTATGCAGCCAAAAAAATCCAACGCTCCAGAGCCTACCATAATCAGTGCCAACAGAGATGATGACCCAAGTTTTTACGAAACTGTTAAATCATTGAAGCCCAGGACTAACAAAAAAATGAAAATGATTAGTGGTACACCACTCCCCAAAACGAGGACAAGTGTCAAAAATAGTAAATGGCGTTGGAATGTGCTAATTCCTTTTTTCCACTACTGTTAATGTAGTGTTCAGAACTGCGATGATCACTCTCGTTTTTATTTATCAATTTGCAGTTAAAATATATCATATTCATATATTCGCAGTCGTTCATTTATCAATTATGACTAACTCCAAGTTGGCGTATTAGCTTATTTGGTAAGGCACCGGTATCGAAGAGGTCATTATTCATCATTTCATTTTCTAGATAAATGTCTTTGGACAACAGAAAGTGGAAAATGCTGTTCTTTTCCGTTTGAATATAAAAACAGAATCTATTCTTCCTGTATTACGACACCTGACAAGCCAAGACCATGGTGCGCTACAGAATTGTTCTACGATTATAATGGCTTACACTGGGACTTCTGCAAAGGTAATTTTTGATATTTGGCCGACAATTTGTAGATATTGTCCTTTAAAAGAAACGAGCCTTAAAAGAGCACTGCGACATCATGCGTTCTGGGTCTCATTTTCGCAGAGAGGGGCACCTTTTTTTAGTTTGAAATGCTGCAGAATATTTGATGAACGAGTGGTGGTGGTTATGCCGCTTTCCTATAAATTGAACCATTTCATTTTATGACATATTGCCGGCGCAAGTTTTACCTATTTCCTAAGAGGATGGTATGGTAAAAATCCTTATGTACCACACGACCGTGCATCAATAACATGACTTGAACAGCTTCACTTCGGCTGCAAGTTCCCGTCGAGTTTAGCTGCGTTATAAGAGAATTGCTTCATGCTTTTAGCTGTGCGTATATTGAGTTATGGATGCATTCAGGAAGCCATAGATACTTGCGCTTCTTTCGTGCTCTCCAAACTTTCCTCCGTATACACACGCCGGGCATGAACCAATTCTTTGATACAAATTAGGTAAATAGGTTCCATTTATATTGATTATCCTAATACGCTCAATGCAAGCCTTTACAAAATCCGGCTCTTCTTACAGATTACTGTAGTCTTGGTCGAGAACTGTGTCTGTGGAAAGTTGATGATGGCTACATAACATGGAAAAATGTCAGTCGTGAAGAAACTGCGAATTGGAACAAAAAAGTCAAATCAGCATTGAATGCCGATCATAAAGCATTTGAAGGTACGATAATGAAAATGTGCAAAGGTTATTCGACATCCCATTTTCTACTATGCTCAGTTCGTTAAACAGTGTACCCTTATTTATAACAGTGAGAATAGACCGTATTGTCTTTCAAAATGATTAAGCTTTGTGCTGTAACACTCGGTGTCAGGGAAAAGGTCTCTTTACTTACCTTGCCCCCAGACCCTTTGCATTCGGTCGCTCCGACCTCCGCCCCATTCCCGAGCTGAACCTGTTCCTAGATTCAACTGAATTTGGGAAAGGACCTTTCTATCTTTACAACTTTACATTTTGACTTTGTACACAGTGACCCCTAGAGAGAAAGACGAATTCATAGTTATCCTACCACTAGCCGAGTTTGGAAATATTTCAGTTCCAATTGCACTTGAAAATGATCTGAAAGCTGTAACTGTCTGCGTTTGGCTCCAAACAAACCAATCCGTTGTGGACATAACATACTGGACAAAATTGGCGGATTGTCCTGAAGAATCAGCTCTTGGAATAAATCTCAATAGCACCATCACAGTTACTGTCTTGGAAGAGGAATGGTGAGTAGTACTTGATACTTAAAAATAATGAACCGAAATTTCGAGCCAGTAGATTACTGGATACTGGACTATTGCCGTTTTACTGGAATTTTATTTAGCACTCTGCGCCGTAAATGCTCTAAGTGAGGCGATTAGTTAGTTTGGGGGTAGATCTTGTTCGGTCAGGTTGTGGTTTATTTGGTTAAATCAATTTAGCAAAGAGAATAGACAGTTTTCAGCTTTTGACTGCAGGAAAGTCCCGTCATTTGTTGCTGATCAAGAGTGGCATCATGTTTGTCTGACCTGGTCTTCATTTGGTGGATTCCTCAAAGTTTTTGTCGACGGACTGAAACTTGTCAGCACGTCTGATTCTAGTATCGACACTCTGGACATCAGAGGTATTATTAAAAAGCAAATATGAATTTCTTTAAAAGTATCCTACATCGTACCTCGATATCGCGTAAAAATGCTTAGGTGAACGATGGAAAAATAATCTTGCCTCTAATCCTGAACGATGAACTAATTCTTATCCAGAACTTTAACTTATTCTTATGCTTTCCAACATTTCACGATAACCAAATCCTCTGTGGTAATCAATGTATATATGGTTGAAAGGATAACCAAAAGCTAATCAATAATTCGTTTCACGTTATCATTGCAATTTGATGGACACCCCAAACATCCGTTCAAAAAACTGCATCGTGTGCTCTGCTGATAAGGATAATTAAATTACTCATTAATCATCAGGAAGAGGTCGCCTTACTGTCAATTGCACCGATGTTAAAAATTCAGCAAAAGTAGACGCCTGCGGTCGTACAAGTGATCTTAACTTATGGGAAGGTACACTCGATGAGGAAGAAATTCAACGAATGTCTTTAGGGTGTGGAATGAGAGACGGTGATCTCATGGCTTGGAGGAGCATGATTAGTGGAGTCATAGGAGACGCCCATGTTCATTACGATACTTCCGCATGTCGAGACGTGACTGGTAGGTGAATGCACCCACCCATGTAGTACATTTTAGGAAGTTAAACCAAACAGTGGCGTCTTAAAATAGATCGTTTTCACTTGTCGCCACGGCGCCATTTTGTTTACGAAATCAATATAAAGGCGGTCTTGTGTACGGATCAAGTCAGTCCTAAGGAATTTTATCTCTTTTACACCTTTTTAACCAATGCATTAACATAGCTGCTCAACACGGGATCGAAACTTTGTAATTACCTGGAGGTGATAAAATCTCTTCGCTCATTGACCTGTTATACAAATACTTTTTTCGGTGAAGCCCCTTTCCGTTGTTGGTTTTTTTATGTTTCGGCTTCTTTGATCACTAACTTAAAATCAAGGGCCGCTTCTTCTAAACAAAGTTCAGGTTTGACTCTGATGTTGGGCATTACATGGATCTAGAGGTTTTGAGTGACTGGTTTGTTTGAAGTATGCAAATATAGTTATCTAGAAGTATTCCTCTCACCATTCAAAAACTATTAACGTTATGATAGAACTTTCGGCAAAAGAAAAGATCACTGAGAAGCAGTTTGACTAAACAATGGTAAAGTTTACGTTAATAACCCACAGCATGTTTCATCACAGGTAATCGCCTTGCGGCGTATTCTCTTTCAAGTAACATTACAACAGAGCAAGCACGCGTATGGAGCCCATGGTATAACAGATCAGCTGATGGTTATGGTAGATGCCTGAAGTTCCGATACATGATTCTTGGAGTAGGAAATAACAACTTACGGCTTTACCAAATAATGGGGAACAACTCAAAGGAAAATCCAATCTGGCAAGGTGACTCAACAAGGGACGACACCTGGCAGTATGGTCAAGTGTCAGTTACAGGGATCACAGAACACCAAGTAAGATATTTTTTAAATGTTATAAAAATAACTAGGGAATAATTAGTAGTTACTACTAACTGTGAATAAAATTGAATATTTACAGAAATAATTATTCATATGATAATTATGAAGTTTTGGTTATTTTTCTGACTTATGAAATGATTGAAGGTTACTTTGACTCCAGGGCCCGGTTGTTCAAAGCTGGTTTAGGGGTTAGTGTGCTTTCTGATTTCAGATCTGAAAGCCTCAAAGGAAACTTTATTATTTTTAAAACATAGAAGTTAAGAAACCTGGATTAAAATTTAATCTTAGCTCAGCGCTAATCGGCCCCTGAACAATTTGTCACCGGGGTAAAAAGTTCTGGGGGCAAAGGGATCTTGTTAAATGACAAAAATGAATTTGCATGAAAGGCATTGCAGTATCCTCTTAACAATGCGATAAACTAGACATAACTTAGCCGCAGGTAAGTTTTTGCCATAGCAAGCAAACAAGCAAACAAGCGAATCAAAAAGCTTGTAGATGTAAAATTTTATTTCGAATGGTCACAATTTGCCTTCAATTCTTACTCGGAGTTTTTGATAACGAGAATAGAAATTTAGTTTCGAAAGGTCACAATTTGCCTTCCATTCTTACTCGGAGTTTTTGATAAGGGGAATAGAGAGACTTCATGTTCGACTTACTTTCATATAATAGTGCGGCTATGTCACCTTACCATATTGTTCAGTATTCAGCCCTGGAATACAATTACATTCTCCATTTCACTTTACCTCTTACCGGCGGAAGCGAATCTAGTGCACTTCCGTGTTCTTTTGTTGCAGCTCATTTTTGAAGGAAACCTGGAAGACCTAACAGGGTTTATTTCAATAGGAGCACTTTACTTCATCAATGGTTATTGTTCCCCAGAGCCAGAAGCAGCTGCAAGAAGAGGTAAACAGCAAAAAATACGTGAATTAATTACCAACCGTGTGGTCGAGATGGCTGGATATTGGCGGAGTTCATATTTGGGGTTTTTAATGGTTGAGACAAAGTCAAGGTCCATATAAAGGCAAAGGAAGATGGATGCTACTTTCCGGCCACCTTGACTTAATAACCTTGGTCAATAAAGTATTCATGATATACCTAAAATATTTCGTTTCAATCAGAATCAAGAATGATTTGTCAATTTTGAAGCGCTGGGAAATTCATCTCACATTGTGTTTTAAGAATTTTCCTGTTTCATGGCGCAACAATAAACTCGGAGAACTCATTTATGTTTACTCTCTTTTCACTGTCTCATGCCACTTTTTGCGACATTTTCAAAAACAATATGATTTTTGTAAGTCTGCTCGACGCAATCTTTTTGCTTGCTCTGGATTAAAACGGGCAATCCCGAGTAGGCGAGATGGGCCAATCTTTCTGCTCGAGTGGCCAATCAGAATGCAGAATTTGCTTCATCTTTTCCGAGGGTGCTGCCAACCATAACATAATATTGTTATACTAAAATAGATATGGATAAGATTTTGTGTTGACAACCAACCATAGGATCTTTCCACTGCAGTTACTAAGCCATTCACCTCGGACTTTCTACTTCTCTGACAATTGCATCTTCCGACGCCAACTCTTTCAAAAACAAATGCCATTGAACTATAACATTACTGTACTAAACCTTTTATAATATTATTCATCTTCAGCATGCAGGGAGCTCTTCACGGACAAAACTGGTGTTATAACGTCACCCTACTACCCGGGATATTACGCAAATGACAGTTGGTGTGAATGGCTCGTCACCGCTGCAATTGGTCACGTGATCAGACTTGAATTTTTTCACTTTCAGCTGGAAGCAACTGGACCTCAATGTTTAAGTGATTATGTTGAAGTATTTGACGGAAATTCGACATATTCTACTTCGCTTGGCAGATTTTGTGGTCATACGCACCCTGCAATGTTGGAATCTTCGTCGAATAATTTGCTCGTCGTGTTTAAATCTGATAACAAGGGGATGCGTACGGGTTTCAAAGCTTACTACGACATGAGGAAAGGTGAAGTACTTTTTGTCTTCTGAAAACTTTTACTTGAGGAAATTTCTCTTTTTTTGCGATATAATTTTTCCACGTTTCTGTTTCATGCAAAAAAAAAAATCGTGGTTTTGGCCCAGCCTTACTTCACCATCGCGGCTTACCGCCTTGAAATAATTCGTCATATGAGTCAATGTAGTTCGACCCTCAAAATGTGTGTAGTCGATGAATGTGCAGACATCGAAGAAATGCCAATAATACGACATAGCATATACATTTTTTTGCAAGAGTTAATTACTTCATTATGATAATCCTCCCAATTTGCTTTTCAGATGAGAGGGATAAATGTAAAATGAAACCAGGTAATAACATCTTTGGTTGTCCACCATAGCCTCATCTACTAGTCCCAAAACATTTTAAACTTAAAAAATATTTCCGAGTTCGTTTTCATAGCTCGTCCACCAATAAGGCAGATTCACGGCTGAAGTCGATTTGGAAGCATTTAGTCGCCGAAAAAAATAAGGATATCCAGGCATTATATCGATTAGTGAAGAAAGGAGAATTTGAATCGGCAAATGGAGAGATATCAGTAAATAGTTCAATAAGTTCCAATTTCTGTGGCCCACAACCTCTTTTATTTTACTTTATGCAATTCTTGTTACATGCAGAAAATTTTCAATTTGAGATTTATAACGACTAGAAAACCTGAAAAGTACTGTTGATTTATCTTAGTACACATTGTTTGCGTAGATTGTCCAGTGGGTTGCACGTGTTACATTACAAAAGGACCACCGTCACAGTACGTGTTGGAAGGGGCAGAATACATGGAAGGTATACCATGGAATTTATCAAGTCTTACGACAGTGCTGTAAGTCAACTAATTAAGTTATTCAATTGTTTTTCGTTTTTATAAAAAGCACGAAAGCTCAGAGGAATTCTTACCAAGGTCTAGCATAAAATGTGTTTGATATTTCTTAGCTGAAATCACCTAAAAAAGCTGCAAACAATTGGTAGAACATACCCCTTATCAAATAATTCGATTCGCAGATCACAGCCCGCATCGATCATTTGCTCTCAAAGTTGTTCGAACGAATTTTGTGATGACCATTCAAAGGCAATGCAAACGTCTTGAAGCCTTGCTGTTTAGCTCTTTATACTTGTAGCCACTGGCTACCTACGTTATATACCATCCAAAGAAGCTCATATAGATTTTCTATAATTTGAACACCTATTTTTGTTTTGCTGGTAAAGCTCTATTTCTTCGTGTGACAAGCATGTAGAGCCATTCCTCCCTAGTGGGTTATTTTTAGGTTTCCTGTAAGTAATAACTAGTATTTGAAAAAATTGATTTACCCTATATTACACATTTTTTAAAACGAGATTTATCTGGAGGATTCTACATGATGATGCGCGGATGCAATCAACACGCAAAGATAAATTCGTATCCGCAAGCAGACTAGCAGTGTACTTGTAAACATACAGAAATCAATGAGCTTTCACCGACAATCTCTCAACACATTTTAAAACTCCCAATGCTAGGATCAACTTCACCGGACAGGCTACGGAGCCGGGTCGCTTCAAAATGCCTGGCCAATTTTCGGAGCAGTCATGGAGTAGAAGGAGAATTAGATTAAATCTTGTAGAATGACTGCTCCCACAATCTTGCAGTTGATGGGTAGACAATTTTAGAGTACAAAGGGTTTTGGTTCGTGGTTGTGTCCTCGTGTACCGGTACACAAAGGAAGGAAACATTAACGAACTGCGTCATAACTCCATGTATGGTTATGAAAACAAAAGGAATTCCCTCGTGTACCGGTACACCAGGACAGCCCCTGGTTCGTCCACAAAAAAACGAGGTGTGCCCTGTAAATTCCTTCTATTGCTTATTTACATCATGAGTATTCTTTGCCTTTCTTGTTTACCACTTTCAATAAGGATAAGAACAAGTGGCTCATGGTTTCATGAGGCAACACATTCTCACGAGTTCTTTATGCAAATTGAAGAACAGTAGAAGCAGGCAAGAATTATAGTTGTTGGAAATTAATTTTGAGTGTCCTGAATTTCTGAAATCTTGTCATTTCAGCATCCGTCATGAAATAACACAAGCTATCGTTACCAAATGTGGTAAAATTTCCGCTCAGCCCCACCTACATTATGCATTCAGTTCTTGAACAGAGAAAACAATACATTTCCATTGGGAGAACAGATTTGTTTTACAATAGTACGGAGCTGTGCGGAAACTTTACCCCAAATGTTTACAATACAAATCAAAAAGGAGGGAATGTAACCTTAGTATTGCTGGTAAAGTTTAAAAGCCTTTTTGTGATAAGCAAAACCGCCGAGTTGATAAACCTAGATAACACATCGCTATCTTTACATGTGAAAATATAAATAGTGGGTTCTCTCTGCACGGTAAAGATCTTTAATCACACACAACTCGATGTGACATATATAGATGACCACTAAAGAAAAATTATAACCAGGGTGTAATACGTTTTTGATCCAAATTTCGAATACTATGTTTTCAAAAATCTCGTGCGACAGGCAATATACATATATTCACCTAAGGCGACCAAATGCTGTAATTGCTGTTTTGTTAACCAAATTGTTTTTTTCTTCCACTGGCTTGAAATATTGCAATACATGTAAACCTTTCTAATGTTTCGTTTTTGTCTATTTTGGAATTTACACATGTGAACGGATTTTCTTCAGGTGCATCAGTGAGTATTTCATAAGGAATTTCCCTTCTCACTTTTTGGGGCTGAATTTCAAGCGTACAGATGATAATACGTCTTTTGCTTGATTCATATTTTAATGCTGCATGCGGGAAGATTGAAATCTGTCACCTTATGCCTAGCTTCTTTCCAGTGGTAGTTGCTTCCCGACGACCACACATTCATCAATTTTGAGGAAAGGAAGAAGGTTTTGCTTCAGTGCAGTGTTTTCAAACGTTTATAAAAAGAATCTGTTGATAACAAAGGAAAGTCTCTATTGTGACAGAGGTTCCTTTTTTTTTCTCTGAGATGCAAAACCATTTAAATAGTAGTGTAATGGTTGGTAAAAAAAATTGACATATGTCAGCATTAATGCCCTGAAATTACATATACGAGTTTGAAATTAATGGAGATTACAGGAAAATATGTAAGAATTATCGAATCGCCGATCTTTAATACTTAGAAAAGAGGTGATGAATCGAAGAAACTGTTTTGTCTCATTTCAGCAGCGTCGGAGTAGATAAAATTGTCCCTTTTTTTACTAATAGCGAGGGTAGTTCATTTATGGAAGGCAAGAAGATCGTCTATGGAAGGCAAAAGGAAGTAAGATTGAAATGTAGATTCCGAGCTTCAAAAGCTCGAGATGAAACGGAAAAAAAAATAACAGTACGAAAGAAAAAGTAAATTTCAAACTTGAAAAGGCACTGTCCTTGGAAACTTGACCCTCATTTTTAGTTTTTTTTCACTGCTTAGTTTCAGAGACACTCCAGGTTTTTTTGCTGCAGCGATAGCTATAATTGCGAATGCGTAAAATTTCGTTGGTAATCAAAAACATGTCACAGAAGTTGTCAAGATGCAATAGGAATAAAAATATGATTACATATCTCGTGACAAGCCTTTCACATTTACATGCAATGAAATTAAGAAAGTAGGATGTTATAATCTGTACAGTACGTATGCTTATACGTACATACGTACGTATGCTTTCTGTACTTTTTTGACAAAGTTTACGATAGATGTCTACTACCGTAGTCGTGCTTCAAATTGGCTGCACTGTTGATGATTTAGGAACGGGCAGGTGAACGGGTAGCATGACAGTTTAATTTATGAATGAAATGGAAAGTGGGCGAGAATTCCGCGTTACAATGAGTTGAGAGATCATAGTTGTCGGGTGAATCCATTAAGACGTTTTAACACGACAGGGATTAATTCCTCTTTGTCAGAGTAGCTCATTACTCTAGTTTTTGATGTAGGTTTTCCTGCAAAAGTAACTCAATAGCAAGATGGACTTGAAACAAAAATCCATTTCAAAGTTTACCGGTATTTTATAGGAAAATTGACTCCAAGAAATTCATGTGAAACTCGATAATTGTTTCGGCGAAACAAAAGCTTTTTACTTTCCTTCACTCAGATATATTCTATGAGAGCCAAAAAGCCAAGTTTTCCTCTATCTGTCTTAATTAAACGGGATCGAGCAGTTTCTTGTTTATATCAGAGACAGGAAATGTCCTCTATCCATGTAAGCGATTGGCTAATAAATGCATTCGGTAAATATAATCTGACAATTTAAGCAATCGAACTATTTATGTACATACATTTCCAACTTTTCATTTTCTCTTACAAAACAGCTCAATTTCTGACACTCTTTAAGAGGTAACATCGGTCAATTGATGTTGGCCAACCAACTTGAAATACAAACAGGTTCAGCAAATTTTCTACAATGGAGTCCTTCGACAAGAACATTTCATATCCAAGGTATGTTGCTCCAAATATTACCAATTCGACTTGTGTTGCGGGTGATTCTACTGTAGAAATGGTGGCCAAGGCCTCAGCTTACTCCACCATTCTGGTTTTCTCCTTGGTTGGAAATGCAATCCTCATCCTGTCTATTGCAAAGAACAAGCAATCCCGAAAGTCAATCCACTATCTCGTTTTCAACATGGCTGTGTCGGACTTATTCAACCCATTCACTCTCATGCCCATCCATCTCGTTCAGATCATCTCAGGATCAGTCTCCTGGAAGGTCGTCAGACCGTGGCTGCTGGGAAGCATATTATGCAAACTTTCCTACTTTCTTATAGATGTGTCGCTGGTCGTTTCCATTGAAAGCCTTTTATTGATATCGGTAGACAGGTTCATTGCTGTACTTTTCCCACTTAAAGCTAAGCTCATCTCCTCAAAAGTGCGCCTTGTTGGCGTTTTATGCACATGGATTGTCGCCATCATGGTCCACGCGCCCTATTTCTATGCGTACAAACTCACTCCAGAGGGTAATGAAGTTGTTTGTAGGCTTAACTGGGGACCGGCATTTGACCACAAGCAAACACACAAGAGATATGTCACGGCGACTTTCATCACTTTCGTCCTCGTTCCTATTGGAGTCATGGCTATCATGTATGGCACGATAGCATGGAAGCTGAAGAGAAGCAACACCAAACAAAAACAGCAATTGGGTTGTAGACACAAATCGCGCGATGAACAACACAAGAAAATTGTCCGAATGTCGGTGGCTATAATAGTTGCTTTCAGTTTTTGCACAATTCCACTTTCTGTTTACCTTTTCGCTCAAATTGTCCTATGGGATAAGGGATTGCCTCCCGTCTGTGCATTTCAAACGGTGATTCTATTTGTGGTCAATTTTTCGTTACATTCGTGGAGCGCTGTAAATCCTTGTGTTTGTCTCATCTTCAACAGTAAGTACAGGAGTGGCTTAAGACAAATTCCGTCATTTCTCAACAGTCAAAGGATACCTGCCAGTGAGCGGAGTATTCGCTTGGAAACGAAAAATCACACCATTAACAAACGATTGTCGAACTAAAGCTGAAATAATTTGCTTTTATCGACCGACTTAGTATTGTAAATCGGTCCCCGCTGATGTTTTGGGCGTTTGCCCTTCGCTATTCGCTCTGACAGAGGGTTAACGCTTGAAAAGCCAGCTTCACGAACTCTTTATGGTGGCCAGTTTACTTTGTCAACTCGACCAGCTGATAAACCAAATTGATAAGTAGTACCCGTCAAAGGTGCAGCTCAATTGTTTTTCTAAGGTTAACCACTTTATAAATAAAGCTTAGCTTATTTATATTCTATAACTCATTACAAACGTGGAACATTTTGCTGTCTATTAAAGTTTTTGAAGGAAGAAAACAAAACAGGTGAATGAATCGATTAGCAGGTAAATCAAATAAGTTGAAAAAGGGAAGGGAAAATGAAAAAGAAATATTAATAATAATTTTTGTATGTGTAGATTTCATTTATTTAATTGTTCGCCGTGTTTAAATAATTTATTCGCATGTCACTTCTGTCAAGAGGCTTAGTTTGAATATGAACAGGTATGAGTGCCGCACAGGAAATTGGATCGAGAAAATGCAGTACTTGTAGGGTAAAATAAATATTTAATGGGCGGAATGTCTCCTCTTTTATTTTGATTCAAAGAAACATCTGTGACAATGCAGCGTCACAATTTTTCTTTTTAATGAAAGCTTAAGAAAAACGAAGAACCAGATGGACGCAAACGAAGCGCCTAAAGTGGATAAGATATGCCGTACCTGTTTGTATCCATCTCTTCATTGATAGAGCAACGAAAAACAAGACGAAAAGGCTGGAAATAGGTACTAAGCTTGAGAAAGCTATGAGGCATAATAACCAAAGATGTATAGCGTTTGCTACGAGTGTAGAAGAATCAAAATTCCACTCCCCCATAAGACATCTCTTCTGTCTCCGCGAGATAATTCCCTTATTTTTTCATTCAGAAAAATATACAGTTCGTTCAAATTGGAAAGTTCTCACGTCTTTAAGGTCATCTTCGAGATACGTAAATTAAAGCTTCTGCTTTTAAACGAAGCCTGTGATATTAAAATGATTTTTAATTGTTCTGTAAATATAGCTCATTAAACAAGAAAGGTCTTACACTTGGCCTTATTTTCGATATGAGGTGCGTCGTGAGAACTCTGAAATGGTCCATTTGACCCCATTAACGGAACTTCAATAGCCGTATTTTTTTTTTACAGCGCACTTATTTCTAAGCATGAAGTCTGTTCTGTTTCTTCGGCTTAAACGCTAATTGTTAATATGTCTTCGATCCGCTGGATAATTGGTTGACACGTTTTTCAATCGAACTTTCAAAATTTCTTATAGTACAGTTTTTGTACCACGCCATAGTTATCTCAGTAGATAACGGATGGCTTGGAAAATTTCATTATTTATTTTGAAGACATTGGTAAATATAAAAAACTAGAAAATATAATTCAATTAAAGAACTACTCAAACTCACTTTTGTCCTAGAAAATAATATTAAAAAAAAAAAAATTAAAGAATTAAACTAAAAAACTTCGCTGCGTGAAGTAAGGTCGAATCAAAGGGTTCATTCCTTAAAATCTGCCATCCTGTTATGTCTAGCTTTAAGAAAAATTTACATCTCATGACATTTGATGATGCTTTAGGCTCGTCTCAGTTCCTCTCGCGCTTAGTAGTCAGCGTAAAACACTGTAAGTTGCGGGAATGACCTCTACACCAGTCCTTGCTGCTTGTTTGTAGTAAAGGATCTTAGGAAAGCGGTATGCGGCAAATAGCTTTTCATTCTTGCTTGAAGACGAAAAGAAAAGGATAAGCTAGCAAGTTGAAAATAGATTTAAATGGCGTATTAGGGGAATTGAAAATGTTAATGTGAAAACAGTTTGTCGGCGTTAAAGGATTTTTTTTTACTCGTTTGTGATACAAAGCTTTTTAGTGCCAAAATATCTGCCTACATATATTCAGCGAAATTGTTCGATTGATGCAACTGGCACAGCTTTACCAACATGAAATTGGGACAAATATGACTCTACGAGCGTTTGCGTTTCGTCTGAATAAAAAAAATTACTTATTCACATTTGCAAGATGATATACTTAGGATATAACCTACCTAGCGATGCAGGAATACCTTCGAATAAAAGAGAAGTTTAGAGGCAAATGCCAACTAGCCATGATTAGTTTCCACTGCTAACATTGTTAGCAAGGTCACAATGCGTTATGAATTGAGATTATCTGAAACAAAAATGAAACTGCTTGGTCGATCCTTAAATTGAATTCTTTTTTTCGTCATTTAGTTCAAAGTGAATTTAGCCGCTAAAATACGCTTTGGATAGTTTCCTTTCCAGGCTTTGATGAATAGATTGGGTTACTTCCCGGCCTAACATAATTCATGCAATACAGACGATTGTTTAAAAAAGCAACAGTTGATCGCCTCGAACACCGACGTGATTTGCAAGATAAAAAAAATTTAAATTTACAGAAAATTTACACAGTTTTAAATTTACAGAAAATGGACCTGCCGCACATTGTTAGGGGAAAAAAATACCATTTGTGAAGACACATAGCGGAGCTCGGCACGCACAGCGCATTAGCTAAGCTCTTTAAGTACGAGAATATGGTAAACCGTCCAGCCGATGGTTTCGTTGTGGCTTCCATTGGTGCATATGCACTTTATGTGCACGTATTTATGGCCATTTGAAAAGAACATTTGAATTAATATTTTTTTGGGGTGATGATCATCCTGTTGTTGTTGTAATTTTGCGGGTAAATTGAAGCTTCAGAGTAAATTGGTGCCAAAGTGAGAAAATCACTTTTCCTCTGACTTCCTTTGAAGCTTGTTGTTTATTAATTTATTTATTTACGAGATTTAGTCAAAGACTGACCTAGTTCAGCTCTAATCCTGTTTTAAATGGGGGCCTTTATAAAAAATTGCAAGGCTAGACTGCTAGTTTTTTATTCATTACTACGAAAGATCCTTTAAATTGTAAGTGTGATAAACTCCTTTTGGTAAGTTATATGGAGGGCGTTTCCCCGGTGAAGATTTGTACGAAAAATGATTGGTCCTTCACATGGTGACCACGAATTGTCTTTCCAAACGTTCTCAACGACCGTACCCGCCATAAAACCTTGAGTAAAATGAGGTGATATATATTCCTTACTCTCTTCCAGTTTATTTGCTGGCAGCAAAATCACTCGCCTAAGGAACAGAGACTTTTACTCTCTGTCATCTCTTACCTACATGTAAGTCAACAGAGTTTGCTTTGAATCTTTTTTAAAGTTTTAACAACCATCGAGAAGATTCTTCTTCGTATGAGACGCATCACAAAGTGTCTTCATTAATAAAATGCAACCGAATCTCTCTTAATTATGCCAAATAGGAAGTATATAAAGAGATATAAGGATATAAAGGGATGTGAAGTACGCATCAATCAACTATCTCTCTCTTTTGTTTCAGGGATTTAAGCCACAACAAAGTTTTTCAAATGGAACCTAGAACATTTGAAAGTTTAAAATCTCTGGAAACGTTGTAAGTTGCTCAGAAATTATCCTATAATCGTAACTTGTGGAAGTGCTTGACCGTGAAGAGTAGTATAGTCACGTCTGTCGGTTCTTCAAGACTGAAGATCAAACTCCGAAATATATTTAACTACTCAGAAAATATGTATAAGCGATGGGAAAGGATTCAAAAAATTGTTAGTCATGCACAATTCCAGTTGCTTAAGATGTAGTGTCAGTATTGGGAGAAAAGTTAACAATAAAATTGAAAGCTAACAAAGGACACTGGGACCCCCAATGATTTGCTAGTATCACGTGAGTTCTTGCTTCCGAACTTATTCGTTGTAGTTGTAATTTAGCCTCCCCGTCCTTCCTACTTCCTACTGGGTGAGTCAGCATTCAGGGAGTAGGCAGTTATTAAGTTTACATTCAGTGAACTTATTCCCGTGCGTTTAATAAGTTTGTAATAAATTTTTGTTGTAATGTAGATCATTCATACTACATAAATATACCTTAGCGAAAGTACACCAGAAAAACCCTCCGGTACAGCTCTTATACAGAATCCGTTTAAATAGAGTGATAAATGGAAAGTTTAGAGACGAAAGCTAATCACTTAAAACGTAGAGGACAGAGAGTTCTCTGGTGAAGTCCAGACGAACCTGAATAACTTTATCTTTTGCTTGCATCATGACATAGGAGGCTCAACAATAATTTCTTGAGGCAACTTAACAGTGACGTCTTTGGTGAAACAACTAAGCTTCAATACTTGTAAGTATATAATGTGACAATGCTGAAACATAACTTAATCATTTTAAATGGAAAATAATGATAAAAATTGTTATAGAAGACAAATTACATCAATTAAATACTCAGACAACTCTACCGATTGGTTTACATACTTACAAAAGCATAAATTGACTGATGGTGATTCGCTCTCAATGTGGGATGCACATTTAATTGTCAGCCAATCAAATACATATTCGGCAGAGATGCCTAAACTCTGGCCTATTTTAAGAGAGTGCAACGTAAAATTAAAAATGCAAAAACGGTTTCTTTTTTGTGTCTTGCAGAGATATTGGTGAAAACCTTCTTGTTGACCTTCAAGAAGGCGTTTTCGACAATTTGACAGACTTACGAATCTTGTAAGTGGCGTGAAAAAAATTTCTTATTAAAATGAAATGAATCTCTGTTTTATTTTTTGTGAAAATTTCTATTTTCATTTTATTTTTTAGAAGCCTGCGATCTAACAGTATTCGTCATATTAAGAGGGATGTATTTAAACGCACAACACGCTTAACTCATCTGTAAGTAAGCGATCCTCTCAACTTCCTTTCTCAACTTTTCTAGAGGGAGGAAAATCGTAGAACCTGGGAAAAAGTCTTAGTAACTAAGACAAGAACCAAAAACTAGCCTGCGCGCTAGCTTGCGTATAGACGTCTCAAATGTTGGAGAAAAGTTGGCTCACCTACAGGGAGAAGCTCCATGTGTGTGGCGGGTGTCAAGCACCTTCACGCATAGTTTCGAAATCAGTAATCACTTGTTTATAATTTATTCTCTTTTCAGTAAAGAATGTTTTTGTGAACAGATCTTTTCTTGCCATACGTAATATAATCAGAGTTATGTGGTGAATTTTCAGTCGTTGCCCTATGATGTAGATCACCACGTTTCGATTGCACACTGCCAGCCTTTTGCAGCCGACATGTTGTGATCCATTTTTGACGTGACTCAATCGTAAGACTAACAACTTTACTCGCCATGATAACAAACCACAACCTCTCTTATAAACCTATTATGACCGTTGCCTTTTGCTTTGCAGAAACGACATACAATATAACTAAATATTTGGTGATTTCGTGTTCATTTACTTCTTTCCCTTCCTCCAGGTATCTTGACTACAACCAAATAATTATAATTGAAGAGAAAGCGTTTGCGTCTCTCTCACAGCTAAGATACTTGTAAGTTTTCTTTATGTTGCCTGACAGAATTGTTAACCGTAGCTCATATTTGCGAATGGAACTAGTATTCTCTAACGATATTACTGTCATAGCATGCTTCAACTGCTATTTCATTTTTCTCTTTAATCTCTGTAAATCAATGTTTACGTTCTTTGGGTTTTAGACATCTGCACAACAACGGATTGAAACGACTTACCAAAGGCATGTTTACTGGCTTGATATTACTCACAACACTGTAAGTTCATTGTTTCGTGGTTATGTAAATGTAATTTGTGCTATATCTTAGGCAGTTAGATCGCGTAAAATGAAAAAATATCTTTTTGGTTTTGTTCGGTGATCATGGATACCAGGGTCGTGCCAAAGCAAGTAATTTTATTGATGACTTGACCCCCCTTTTTCATAAAGGTAGGGTTTTTAGAGGGAGAATAGCGTTTCTAAGCCTTTTGGAATTTGAAAGCTGTTTTTTCGTCACTCTATGGGAGGATTCGTACGGTTTCTTTGTAAAGATATGCTTAGACAACCACGTGACTAGTTTGTAATTTTGCTTAAGGGAATGCTTTCTCCCCCGTAGGTATGACATGGCTCAGGTGGCTTAGTGACTCTTGTACAACCTCTAAGTCCAAATATCTGCTTGTATTAATCTTCTCCAGCTGTTTTATTTCCCTTGCTAATCGGCCGAGAGGAGCTGGTGCTGTATTAAGATAACACCCTTTAGCTGACAAACATGTTTCGACCCAACCGATATTTTCGAGAAAATGTATTGATATACGCGATCACCACACAAAATTCATCATAGGACTGGTTCTTAGCCGTGCAAGATAAATACAGAAATAATTAAAATAATAAACAAATAAGAGTCACTGGTCTCTTCTGCTGCCCGTTTTACAAAAGATTAATTTTTCGGGAGTGGTGTTAGGATTTTGTCATGCATTATTGATATTATCCAAAGGTCAAAGAAATTGTCGTGCAATGGCTTTTTTTTTAATAAACCTCCTGTTTATAATTGAATAGACATGTTTATGAAGTAGAACAACGGCTAATTTCCTCCTTTTAACTTTGACGTTGGATGCAGTCGTCTTCACGAAAACACCATTCTTGAAAGTGAAATTGCGACGGACATCTTCGAAGGCCTGCTTAACCTTAGGATCTTGTAAGTACTACTCATTCTGCATTACATGTTAATGCATAATGCTTATTAGAAATGTCAACCCTCTCTATCTGTACTAAGGACAAAAATCTTGTTACGCTGAATGAGAAACTTCACTTTACCTGAAACTGGTCTCTTGTCTTTTTTGTGACTCTCCTACACTTTTAATCAACTGAAAGTGGATTTGAAATCTAAAACCGAATACAATGACAATGCCGACCCTTTCTACAAACCAGTTACTTTTCCTTTGGTAGATCACTGGACAGCTTCATTGTCTGCTGTTACGCTAAGAAAGCTGCAAAGGACTTGATATGTCATTCTCCCAAAAACGAGTTCTCTAGCTGCGAGGATATGATGAAGAACCCAATCATTAGAGTCTGCCTTTGGATTCTTGGCATTGTAGCGTTAGTCGGCAATCTGTCAGTGATTTTCTGGAGGCTCGTTTATGGCGAAGATAGCAAAGTTCAGTCCTTTCTTTTAAAAAATTTGGCAGTCGCCGACTTCATTATGGGTGTGTACCTCATTATCATAGCTGTACAGGACACTCGCTGGCAGGGAGAGTATTTCGAGCATGACGTGCGGTGGAGAGGTGGCATGTTATGTCAAGTGACGGGTGCCTTGTCCATGCTCTCTAGTGAGGTAATTTTTGTAAATTTGCAGCTTTTAGTATGAATCCTTATCCTCGCAAGTCATTTTTTAGTCTTATTTGAAATGAAGATTATGTGAGGTGAAATGACAGTTTACAATATGAAATTTGATAGGACAGAGTGAAAGTGAAATAGGCTCTTAGATAGTAGGATGAGGTATGACTGGTTGCGTCATAATTTCCCAAAGTTCTTTACCTTTAAAAAAGGGAAGAGTTTAAGCATAATTCTTTGCTCACGGCAAAAAAGTCGAGGGTTTCAAAATAAACATCACTTGAGATCCTAAGAATGAAAGGGACAATAAAACGTAAGGAACATATACTTTGCACTGAAGCATTTCGAATCCCACCTCTGCGTTTTAGATATATATTTCGAGAGTTATTGTAAGGTTATTATGGTCACATCCGTCGATAAGGACACTATTAGATCTCTGGAAATGTCTTTGATAAAGAGGAGCCATTCTGAACGGCCTTGAGATATCACAGTCCAATTATCAGGATCATAAGTGTTTGGGTAGAGATGAAAGTAGCTAAAAAGAGCAAAAATAGGAGAAAAATTACAATTTTACCGCACGGTTTTTTTTTGTAATTTGATCCTTAGGCCAGCTTTATTGTTTCAAGTTTTCGCAGAGTTAATCAAATCACCAAAATTTCTCGTGCTATTTTCCTCCTCAGGTCTCAGTTATGCTTCTTACTGTCATCACCGCTGACAGACTTATCTGCATCGTGTTCCATTTTCGAGTTCAGCCTTTGAGCCTTAAGACTTGTTATTTGATTTGCTTATTGGTCTGGTTACTGGGCTTCGTCATATCATTTTTACCAATGTCGGGTCTGAGTTATTTCAATGCTGTGGGGAACGGGAATGGCTTCTACGGAAGATCAACAGTGTGCCTGGCTCTTCAGTTGTCCAATGACAGGCCGCCTGGCTGGGAGTATTCTGTCAGCATATTCATCGGCTTCAATTTAGCAGCATTTTTGTTCATTTCGTTGTCTTATGTGGCCATTTTTTTGTCTGCTGTGAAATCATCGAGCGCGATAAGATCAACGAATGTCAAACGGGAATCAACCCTCGCCAAACGAGTCGCCTTTATCATTTTGACAGACTTCTGTTGCTGGATGCCTGTGATAATTGTTGGTATCTTATCTTTGACCGGAAGTTTCAATGATCCCGAGAAGCAGGTATATGTGTGGATGGCGGTATTTGTACTTCCGTTTAATTCCTCTGTGAATCCTATACTGTATACACTTGCTACTCCTCAGATGCGGGATTGGTTCTGTAAAGATTCTAAAAGTAAAGGTAAGTCATTGTTAAAGCTAGTCATCGTCAGCAAAAGCGATAAGTTCATCTTCTATTGCCATATTTTCCTCCTAAAACTTGAACGCGAGTTTTTTTTTTACAAAAATACCCTGAAATGTTGCTCAAACAAACTTTAAAATCTCGTTAAATTTTCTTTCCTGCTCAGAGGATGGAAATAGAGGCATTCGCCCTGTGGGTAAATCAGCTGCTTTTTCCACAACACCTGCCAGCAATCCTACTACAGGAATAACAACGATTGAACTCAGTGTGCCTTCACTGAAATCCGTCGCCAATCTGGAACGTAGTGGGTATGTCAATAAAGTAAGTGGCCAGGGAAAATTTACAATCTCTCAATTCACATCTGTAGAAGGGGAGGATGAATGATTTGAAAAGATCGGAACGTCCACATACCGCGTTGGTTAAGAGGTTAAAGGTGTATAATTCATGTAATCACCTGTTTTGTCATTCAAAGTTTACTCTTACTCGTCATTGTATCAGATTTGAAAATAAGATATTCAGGGTAATCCTCTTTTGGTTTGCCCAGGGAGACACTTTGCCGTAATGGTAGCCGCACGCCGTAAGAACTTTCTAAAATTGCAGTCTCTTTAACTAGCGAAAATGTGGGCCTACTTCTACTACCTTCTTTATGTTAGCCTTAGCAATACGTCCGGCAGTACCTTATTCTAAGTAACAATGAGCCATTAAAGATAAAGGTGTAAATGGAATGAAAATTTTTTATAAGATGAGCTTATGTGCGAATTTTTTTTCTTCTAGGGTTTTCAAGACGATACTTCGCAGCCAGAGAGAAGCAACAGTTTTGCTTTGGTGGAAAGTGGCTCTTTAGAAGATAACTCGAGTGCTACTTACGACACTCGCCTCTGAAGCATTAGGCTTCCTTTCCTCACAATGATCGTGATAATCGATTGTGTTCAGTAGATCTTATGCATAATTACGTTATATACTGAAAACTCAGCGCCAGTCCTCGTTTGCAGTAATATTTTAATCAATCTTTGCCGCTTTCTTGTTGTTTCTGGGTGAGTATTCTATTCATCTCAGTGTGTTGGGAATACTTTCTGATTAAAATTCACCATTCCATATCTTGAAAGTGAGATTTCGGGGTGAAACTGGGTAATCCGACCGGTGTAAACATGCATGAGGCCTATTAGGTGGTGTAAGTGTAAGAAAATAAGAGAAAGCGACATGGTCATGAGTAACTGACTTATTACTGAGTTTGTCATTGCCGTGGTTTGTTTTGTTTATGTACACCAATTATAGTTGGATTCAACTCACTTACATTATCATGGCATTGAATATCAGTTTCCATACTTCTCGAGCCTGAATTGCGTAAAGTAGCTGTCTCTTTGAACTCTTTGTCGATGGAACTCGGAAATGGAGTTTCATTTTGATAAACTAGATAGAAGACAACTGAGTAACCCAGAGAATGAGAAAGATGAGAAATTTTGAGCTTGATAATGCAATAAATAAAGATGTTGTTCGTTTTTCACGAGCATGAAACAAAGAACAAATCTAAGTTGCAAATAGGAGAATCTTTGGACGGTTGTCACATATGAACCCGGTAATGGCCTAATTGACTATTGAGTTGTCTATTGTAGTCCAGTGCTCATCGGAGCGCGGAATGCGAAGTTCTTGAGACTCAGAATGCTTCCTTCTTTCACTTCCATGACAAGCCTAATAATATCTTTTTTTATCTAAATAACTTTCAGTTTACAAAAGTCATGATTTTTTTCTGTTATTAGCTGAGTTAGTGGAAAATTCTCTAAAGAGCAGGACACTGATTCAATTACTACTGTGTTAAATGGTACTTTGTACTTTGTTGCTACTGTTGTAGCCTCGAGTGGTCTTTACTGCCGAAGGCTTTTTGGATATTGAATAAAAGCATGCACTCACGAAGTGTCATAAATGTTTTGTCTAAAATAGAGACTCTCTCCAGATAGTAAAACTAAGTTTGAACAAAGATCGCATTAAAAGTTACTAGGAGATGTAATTGACCCTGAGAGGGCCTGCTGCCAGTAACTGAGGTTTTGAAAACCTAAACGGAAGTCCTCGCTCGTTTGAATCAAGCGATGATTTGTCTAGCAGGAGAGTGTCATGAATCTGGGCGTGTATAAAGATTAGTAGGTTTTTTACTCAGGTAGCGTCAGTCTGTCGTGATTGGTCAGTTTCGCGTGGTCGTTAGAGTTAGGTTGTCCTGGTCAATGTCGTAAATAAATAATTTCTAGGACGCCAATGAAGGCTGATCTTAGTTCAGCTGTCGAAACATTAGTCAATACCAATGAAAACAGACTTTTCCCGGTCTACTCTCTGGATCCACGATCATACTCTTGTCTCTTTGTATTCCGCTACCATCTTGTGGGTTGTACAGCTCATTGCTCGCGTCATCGTTTACATCCTTCATACAGGGATTTTCTTTTCTTTCCTTTTTTTCATTAAAAGTGAGCGTTGGACCGTACGGATAATGTAATATAATAAAATTCTTTACCAATTCACAGTACTCCCAAGTATCGCCCTTTGGACATCGACACCCGAACTTTCCCCTGTGATTGTCACACTTCGCCACTTTCTCACATGGGTTATTAGCCACTCTACAACCGCTGTGAAAAACGAGAGAAAGAATGAACGATTTGGACTTAGACGAAAGGTTAGCGTATAGACTCTTGACCAAACTGTGGAGATCTGAAATCTAGCCGTGGGCGTCTTATTTGTGTTAAAACAATGAGCAAAGCATCTTCAGCAAAGCATCTAGATCAGATTACGGAAAACTTCAAGAAAAAAGGGAATTCAGATGCGGCGGACTATCTCTCGCCGAGAAAGAAGAAATACTCTTTGTGGCCTTTCCCTACAGAAAACAAGGTTAACGTCAGCAGTAAAAGCCATTTGATCTGTAATGGATTGTGCTACTCTTTTATCCATTTAAATTAAGAATTATCTTAGACAATCATGATCAGTTTTGGAGCACGTTCATCTATTTAATCTATGAATCTTGTTTTCTGAAGATCTAAGTGTCCCTATGCATATCGTAATAAGCGCCAACTATTTGATTCCAGGTTGTCGAGAGAGTTTGCAATAAAAAAAAAAAATGCTTGACTGATGGTTGACTTTCTGGACAACCTCGTATAAGTATATTAAACTGGAGTGGGTTGTTAGCCATGGTAGTGATGTTTATTTATAAATGATTGAAAATTAAATTATAACTGATGTGGGCATGTTTACGACAATAATGTTGAAATATCGCCTTAATATTTAAACAGTACACAAATAATAAATTTCGATACGTCCTGATACTTAAAAATATTAAGTATTTAAGTATTTATTATTAGCTATTTAAATATGGGGATTGGGATTGTCTTGTTTATGAAATGTTGTACATAAGAACAATAAGGCCCAATTTAAACACCCAGAGCGATTCCATTAGGGCCAAACTCTTTGTTTAACTTTTAACGCTTTGTAATTTATTCACCGCTTCATTATATATATACTCGATTTTATTATTCTAGTTCACTTGATAATGACGTTCTGGAAATGTCGAAACGTCGTGTTATGCTTTATAATATTTTATCGCAGATTTTTATTGTTAAATATAGATAACGAGTAATAATGACGAATAATGAGCCTTTCCGCTTTCCTAGCAACAGGCTTCTAGCTAAGTTTCTCCCCCCTTGAATGCGTGCATTTGACGGCAATTTTAGCCGTAATGAATGATTTGCTTAGCAACTTACATCAAATTCAGAGGAGAAGTATACTTAGGAAACCAACTCACTCCTCCAATAACTTTCAGTTGGTGGGATACCGCTTGCTCGTATGATTTCTCAGAATAATCCTTTTAGCAAAGGGGAAAAACATATAAAAAGGTTGTTCTTTCAAAATGGAAAAGGAGAAAAATCATCCGAAAAAATATCCTCGTCGAGAAAACATTTTCCCCTTGCTATAAAAAGTCATTGTCATGTTACAAGCCTACAGAGCTGGCTTAAAAACAAACAATTAAAATTAACAGAAACAAACAGACAAAAACAAAGCTTTAAGACAGACATTAAAGTTGTTCTTAAAAGGTTTTTATTCTCTCAGAAGTTTATTTGTCACGCTTTATACCATGTCATAACTGATTTAAAAGTTAACATAGATATTTATTTTAAACCTACGACTATATTAGACCCATGCATAGTCTGCTTTTTATACAATTAATCGACTAGGAATATCACTACTTCCCTTTGGATTGGATGGCTTTATTTTGTAATGTACAGCCAACTTCTATTCGGGTCTTTCCGGCATTTGCCTGGCTCTCCTTGTTAAAATACCCCTTGGTGGAAAGATAAACATGAAAGAAGAACGTTTTGCGGGAGACCAGGATTCAATACAACTATTTTTCCACTGTGTCACTGGATCTTTTATTATTGATCCCATATAAAGACAATTTCAAATTATTGCGGGGAAACCCTTGTTTTTGCCGACATTCAATTGAACACAAACCTTCGTCAATGATAACTGCAGAACACATTCTTAGTTGAAACTTTTTTCTGAGATGATACAGTATCATCAGGGATATAATAGTCACCTTTTTGATACATTGTGCTGACCCTTCGAGAAAACCATCGGCTTTTTACCACTAAGAGATAAAATTACTTATTGGCAATTTTAAAAGATGCCTGACGTTCATTTTCATCCAGGGATTTGAACCTCTTGGACTAGCTAGATCGATCTGGCAGAACTGATCATGGGAAAGTATTAAAGCACTATATGAAATGCTACCAGTTACTCCGAAAGTAGTTAGTACCCCAGCGATTACGGTACAGAATAAATTCACAGCTAACTTCTCTTTGAAAGACTCCAGCTACGAGATCGAAAAGTTTTACTCCTCTAAATTTTTTTTAAAATGAGATTCGTAATGAAAATCAGTTGTACTGTTTGAGAGGAATTTCCACTTTAGAGGAGAACTGATAGATCTTGATATGTACCTATTACCAATTGATATCCACAAAGGCCTTCAGCAAAAAGTAAAGATGCTCAAGGGTTACAAAGGTAAATTTTTTCCATGTACCATTCAGAAGTGCAAGAGGTCTGATCTGCCAGCTATTGAACATAACGTAACTAAATTAAAAACACTTAGAGGAAATAAAAAAATAAGATAGCTATGTCGCTAGTTCTTAATATTATGTATGTTTCAGCCTTGTAAACCAACAAATCTAGCACCAATGTTTTTCACGATCCAAGATATCTCCTCAGAGGTGAGTTTCGAAAGTGGAAACCATGTCTTCACATAAAGAGCCACTTTTTATTGAAACCAATTCATTGCTGCTTTTTGGCTGTAAATCATCGTCCGGAAAACCCTGATGAGGAGAAATTTCATACATCAGCTTATAAATTATAAATATTTTTTCTTTTCCTTTATGACTCTTGGTTTAGTAGAACAGCGAACTGACCGACGTAGTGCTGAGGTTATTACGAAGAAAGCTAGGCTCAATTTTGTAAGATAAAGAACTATGCTTATTGCGAACTAGCCATTGGGGTACAGCGATTAAAAGTCCGACAGAGGATTATCCTGACTATCTTTCACCCAAACCAAATTCAATACCTTAGTAAAAATAAACCTTGTGCAATATCATGGGAGATAAGGTACCGTATATTCCTTTAACCTCGTCATAAATAGTTCGGTAATTACCAAGCGTTCCACGCTTTTCAAATTATTCATCCACTCCGTCTGTATGATCAAATTTAAGGGATTAGATATCGTCTCTTTAAAATCTTACCTCATTAATGTTTCCAATATGATCCAGTTCTGAGACGGATTTCAACGAAGGAAAACTGAACTCAGTTTTTACAGTTGTGAGATTGCTGGCTGGGGTCGCTGATTTATCCACAGAGCGAACTCCTCTATTTCCATTCACTGGGGGAAACAAAATATGATATTCTGAAGTCGCAATATGCAAGGCTATTTGTTGGCTATCATATACCTACCGCAGAGTTTTTAGAAGCAAGTGAAAATGAACTTAACTCTATTGACTATGAATAATAAAACAAGTATAAGGCTCTTACCTTTACTTTTAGAATCTTTACAGAACCAATCCCGCATCTGAGGAGTGGCAAGTGTATACAGTATAGGATTCACAGAGGAATTAAACGGAAGTACAAATACCGCCATCCACACATATACCTGCTTCTCGGGATCATTGAAACTTCCGGTCAAGGATAAGATACCAACAATTATCACAGGCATCCAGCAACAGAAGTCTGTCAAAATGATAAAGGCGACTCGTTTGGCGAGGGTTGATTCCCGTTTGACATTCGTTGATCTTATCGCGCTCGATGATTTCACAGCAGACAAAAAAATGGCCACATAAGACAACGAAATGAACAAAAATGCTGCTAAATTGAAGCCGATGAATATGCTGACAGAATACTCCCAGCCAGGCGGCCTGTCATTGGACAACTGAAGAGCCAGGCACACTGTTGATCTTCCGTAGAAGCCATTCCCGTTCCCCTCAGGATTGAAATAACCCAGACCCGACATTGGTAAAAATGATACGACGAAGCCAAGTAACCAGACCAATAAGCAAATCAAATAACAAGTCTTTAGGTTCAAAGGCTGTACTCGAAAATGGAAGACGATGCAGATAAGTCTGTCGGCGGTAATGACGGTAAGAAGCATAACCGAAACCTGAGGAGGAAAAGAGCGCAAGAAATTGTAGTGATTTGACTAACTCTGCGAACACTTGAAACAGTAAAGCTAAAAGGGCAGGAAAAATTGTCATTTTCTCCTCTTTTCGCTCTTTTTAGCTTCTTTCGTCTTTACCCAAAGACTAACGAGACTGAGAATTGGACCATGATATCTCAAGGCCGTTCAGTATGGCCCCTCTTTATCAAAGATATTCCCAGAGATCCAGTGGTGTCCTTATCGACGAATGTAACCTTGCAATAACTCTCGAAATATGTATCTAAAACGCAGAGGAAGGGATTCGAAGTGCTTCAATGGAAAGTATAGCATCCTTGGGGAAGTATTTACGCACGAGTCATCCTTACGTTTTGTTTTCCCTTATATTCTTAGGAACTCAAGTGATGTTTTGTCCGGAAACCCTCGTCTTGTTTTTCGTGAGCTAAGAATTAAGATTTAAATTGTTCCCTTTTTAAAAGGTAAATTATGACACAACCAGTCATACCTCATCCTACTATCCTATACCAGATCCTAGTGTAGTGCTTTCACTCGGCGTTACCCTATTTCAGATTGTAAACCGTTATTTCAACTCATGCCATCTTCTTTTCAAATAAGAGAAATGAATGATTTGTGAGTATAAGGCCTGAGGTCAAAAGCTGCGGATTTACAAACATTACCTCACTAGAGAGCATGGACAAGGCACCCGTCACTTGACATAATGTGCCACCTCTCCACCGCACGTCATGCTCGAAGTACTCTCCTTGCCAGCGAGTGTCCTGTACAGCTATGATAATGAGATACACACCCATAATGAAGTCGGCGACTGCCAAATTTTTTAAAAGAAAGGACTGAACTTTGCTATCTTCGCCATAAACGAGCCGCCAGAAAATCACTGACAGATTGCCGACTAACGCTACAATGCCAAGAATCCAAAGGCAGACTCTAATGATTGGGTTCTTCATCATATCCTCGCAACTGGAGAACTCGTTTTTGGGAGAATCACATATCAAGTCCTTTGCAGCTTTCTTAGCGTAACAGCAGACAATGAAGCTGTCCAGTGATCTATGAAAGGAAAACTGAATGGTTTATAAAAAGGATCGGCATTGTCACTATGTTCGGTTTTAGATTTCAAATCCACCTTCAGTTGATTTAAAGTGTAGGAGAGTCACAAAAAAAGACAAGATATCAGTTGGAGGTAAATTAAAGTTTCTCGCTCAGTGTAGCAAGATTTATGTCCTTAGTACAGATAAAGATGGTTTATATTTCAAATAAGCATTATTTTAATAACTGTAATGCAGAATGCGTAACACTTACAAGATCCTCAGGTTAAGCAGGCCTTCGAAGATGTCCGTCGCAATTTCACTTTCAAGAATGCTGTTTTCGTGAAGACGACTATTTCCAAAATCAAAGTTAAAGGAGGAAATTAGTTGTTGTTCCACTTCATAAACATTTCTAAAATATTCAATCCTAAACAGGAGGTTTATTAAGCTCTATAATGCCACATGTGTCGTCCTGAAAATCCATTGCACGATTATTTCTTTGACCTTTGGATACTATTGGTAATGCATGACAAAATCCCTGCACCACACCCGAAAAGTTACTCTTTTGTAAAACGGGCAGCAGAAGAGGAGATCAGTGACCCTTATTTGTTTATAATTTAAGTTATTTATTTGTTTATCTTGCACGGCTAGGAACCAGTCCTCTAATGAATCTTGTGTTATCTTAGCATTTTCTTTACAGAGAAAACGTAAAACTCCTCCCATGGAGTAACGAAAAAACACAGCTTTCAAATTTCCAAAAGGCCTAGAAATGCTATTCTCTCTCTTCACATCCTAACTTTATGAAAAAGTAGGATCAAGTCGGCAAAAAAATGTCTGGCTTAGGCACGACCCTGGTATTCAAGATCACCGAACAAAACCAAAAGGCCATTGATTTCATTTTATGCGATCTAACCGACAGAGACAGCACAAATTACACTCACATAACCCCAGAAAAAATGGACTTACAGTGCTGTGAGTGATACCAAGCCAGTAAACATGCCCTTGGTGAGTCTTTTCAATCCGTTGTTGTGCAGATGTCTAAAACCCAAAGAAAGCAAAAATCGATTGACGCAGATTAAAGAAAACAAATGAAATAGCAATTGAAGCATGCGATGACAGTAATATCGTTACTAAATATAAGTTCCATTTGCTAATATGAACTACGGTTACCAATTCTGTCAGGCAGCAAAAAGAAACTTACAAGTATCTTAGCTGTGAGTGAGACGCAAACGCTTTCTCTTCAATTATAATTATTTTGTTGTGATCAAGATACCTGGATGAAGGGAAAGAAATACATGAACATGAAATTATCAGCTATTTATTTATGTTGTGTGTCTTTTCTGCAAAGCAAAAAGCAACAGTCATAATAGGTTTATGAAAAAGCTTGTGGTTAGTTATTGCGGCAAGGGCACTCAATAGAGTAAAATTGCTAGTCTTACAATTAATTCACTTCAAAAATGAATCACAACATGTCGGCTGCATACTGCATATCACGTTTTTTTTCTAGACGAAAAGGCTGGCAGTGTGCAATCGAAACGTTGTGATCCACATCACATGGCAAACGTCTAAAATTCACCACATAACTCTTATACATATTGCATTTGGCAAGAAAGGATCTGTTCACAAAATAAAATTTCTTTACTAAAAGAGAATATTGAAAAGTTCTTACTGATTTCGAAACAATAAATGATGGCGCTTGACACCCGCTGCTGTGCACCGGGCTCGATAAACCAATCTGGTTTTACATGGAGGTTTCTCCCTGCAGGCAGAGCTCACTTGTCTCCATCATCGGAGACGTCTACACGCAGGCTAGCGCGCAGGCTAGTTTTTGGTTCCTGCCCTAGCTCCTAAGACTTTTTTCCAGGTTCTACGGTTCTCCGCTCTTCAAATTCCAAACGACCAGGAATCAGCAAAACTCCAAGTTTCCGTCTTTTAGCAATGTCAATTCCTCTTGTAACTAAACATTTAGTAGATACGAAAACTTGGAGAATACTTACATGATGTACAATATACAAACTTTATTCAAGATGTAGCTAACTAAATCTGTACAGGTAAATAGGAAAAAAGTTGAGAGAGGAAGTTAAGAGGATCGCTTACTTACAGATGAGTTAAGCGTGTTGTGCGTTTAAACACATCCCTCTTAATCTGACGAATACTGTTACATCGCAGGCTTCTAAAAAATAAAATGAAAATAAGGCAAAAAGAAATTTTCCCAAAGAGGAAAAAAGAGATTAATTTCATTTTAACCAGAAACATTTTTCACACCACTCACAAGATTCGCAAGTCTGTCAAATTGTCGAAAATGTCTTCATGAAGGTCAACAAGAAGGTTTTCACCAATATCTCTGCGAAACACAAAAAGAGCCGCTTTTTTAATTTTAATCTTACGGTGCACTCTCTTCAATAGGCCAGAGTTTAGGTATTTCTGCCGAAGATGTATTTGATTAACTGACCATTAAAAATTGTATCCCACATTGAGAGCGAATCACCATCAGTCAGTTTATGCTTGTGTTAATATGTAAATCAATCGATAGAGTTGCCTGAGTATTTTGTCTTGTATAACACTTCTTATTATTATTTTCCATTCCCATGATTAAGCTATGTTTCAGCATTGTAACATTATAAACTTACAAGTATTGAAGCTTAGTTGTTTCACCAAAAACGTCATCGTTAAGTTGCCTCAAGATTGTTGAGTCTCCTATTTTATGATGCAGGCAAAAGAAAAAGTTATTCATGTTCGTTTGGGCTTAACCAGAGAATTGTTTTACAAACAAATTATGTCCTCTACGTTTCAAAAGATTAGCTTTTGTCTGTAAACCTTCCATGTACCATTCCATTGAAAAGGGTTCTGTATGAGAGCCGTGCCGGGGGGTTTTTCTAATGTACTTCCGCTGCGGTATATTTATGTAATAGGAATGATCTACATTCCAAAAATATTTATCACAAACGTATTAAACGCACGGGCATAAGTCCACTAAATGTAAAATTTAACGATTGCCTACTCCCTAAATGTTGACTCTTCTAGTAGGAAGTAGGAAGGACGGGGAGCCTAGATTAAAACTACACCGAACAAGTCCGAACGAAAAAACTCACGTGACATTAGCAAATCACCGGGGTCCCAGTATCCATTGCTGACACTACATTCTAGGTAAATGGAACTGTGCATTACTAACAATTTTTTTTCCGTCGCTTATACATGTTTTCCGAGTAGTAAGTTATATTTCGGAATTTGATCTTCAGTCTTGGCCACCAATTTGGATGAGCTTCGAAGAGCTGACATGACGGGACTATACTACTCGACACGGTCAAGCATTTCCACAAGTTATGATTATAGAATTAGTTCTGAGCAACTTACAACGTTTCCAGAGATGTTAAACTTTCAAATACTCTAGATTCCATTTGAAAAACTTTGTTGTGGCTTAAATCTCTGAAACAAAAGAGAGAGTTTGCTGAATTGGCACATCATTGATGCGTACTTTACATCCCTTTATATCCTTACATCCAATGTTATACTTCATATTTGTTATAATTAAGAGTGATTCGGTTGCACTTTTTAATGAGGACTCTTTGTGATGCCTATCATACGAAGATGAATCTTTTCGATGGCTGTTAAAACTTTAAAACACTCAAAGCAAAGTCTTCTGACTTACATGTAGATAAGAGATGACAGAGAGTAAAAGTCTCCGTTCCTTAGGCGAGTGATTTTGCAGCCAGCAAATAAACTGGAAGAGCGTAAGAAATATATATCACCTCAGTATATTCATGGTTTAATGTGTGGGTGCAGTTAGGAAGAACGTTGGAAAGAGATATTCCGGGTCGACCAATCATTTTTCGTACGAATCTTCTCTGGGAAACGCCCTCTCAATAACTTACCAAAAGCAGTGTATCACACTTACAGTTTAAACGATCTTTCTAAGTAATCAAAAAATAAAAAAATAAATGAATAAACGAAATAAAATAAAATAAAATAAAAATAAAACAACCAGCGGTCCGGTCTTGCTATTGTTTATACAGGCCCCATCTAAACCAGCTTTAAAAATTGACAGGGCAGTTTCACTTTTGCCTAAAATGGTCTCAACTCATAACGCATTGTGACCTTGCTAACAATGCTAGCAATGGAAACCGACTATGGCTAATTGGCATATGCCTCTAATCTTCATTTTTGTTCAAGGGTGTTCCTGCGTCGCTAGGTAGGTTATATTCCTGGAAGAGTATCTTGCAGAGGTGAATAAGTGTGATTTTTTTATTCAGACGAAACGCGAATGCATGTAAAATCATCTTTGTCTCAATTTAGTGTTTAGTAAAGCTGAGCCATTTGCATCAATCGTATCATTTCGCTGAATATATGTAGGCAGATTTTGTGGTACTCATCGGGTGCAGGACTTTGCAAGATCGTCTCTTCATTTAATAATCAGCATACTTTTTAAGTTGATAATTTAGTATTATGAACTGAGTTGATAACGTAAATTGACCACCGTAAAAGGAAAAAAAAAAACGTTTGGAGCGTTAGCCCTTTGTCAGGGAATGACAATAAAAAAGGCATGTAGTTACAGTTTTAGTCGTTTTAATAACCACTGTTAATTTTTTATTGGTCAATGAATTTTGTGAAAATTGTGGCTCCTAAAGGGGCCGTTTTGTTTTGAGTTATGAAATCGATCTTTAAAATTGCGTTCCTGCTCCTTTTGCCTCCACTACCGCTAGGACGACTTTCTTGAGGACATGGTCGATGTACTTGGCACATTTCTCTTCCGTCACCCTCTCAGCCCAAGACGCCTTTATTCCGTCAACCAGTTCTTGTTTGTTTCGAGGCTTCACTTTCGATTCTGAGTAAAATTTTAGTTCGTGCCATAAGATATCGATGGGATTTAAATCCGGACTCTCTTGGCGAGTACGCCACCAGTTTATATCATTCTCCTCGAAGAAGGCCCTCGCTCGTCTTGACGTATGTTTGGGATCATTATCCTGCGTAAATCTGTGGTCTTGTAGCGTCTGATTGACGAATGGTAGAAGGTTTGTCTCCAGAATATGGCAGTACAGTTCTGCATCCATTATACAATCGAATATGCACACTTTAGTAGCTCCCTTTCGGTTGATTCTTGTCCCTACGTGTACTTTAAGTGGATGTTTAGGCTTCGGTTTTCCTTTCAATGGCTCGTCGACCTTTCGGTAGCATGTACGTCTGTATTGTTCTGGCGACACTGAGCATTCATCAGAGAATATGACATTATGGAATGTATCACCGGAATCCAGGATTTGTTGTGCATACTCTAGTCTTTTCACTTTATTAGCTACTCTTATCAGTTGAAAGTAATGGGTGCGCTGCAGCGTCCATCCCTGTTTGGCTCGCGATCTTCGCACAGGGGAGGGGTTCCCAACGATTCCACGCTTGGCCAGTTGTTTTTGAATTTGAATGCTTGTTGCCTCGTCGTTTATACGCATTTGCTTCTCAATAAAAGCTTTCATATCTACTGGAAGCTTTGTCGGCCTTCCTGATCGAGGGCGGTTTTCAGCGGATCCAGTTTTCTGTATTTTGTTGATGATCCTGTTGACGCTTGCTAAGCTTCCTTGTAGATTTTCGCGTCTCAAGGCTTTCAATATTTGTACAGGATAAAATCCTTCCTTATGGAGACAAGCAATTCTTTTTCGCGTATATGAAGTAACCTGACTGTCTACGGTAGTGTCCCGTGGGTACATTATATGCAAATACAGGTCGGGTCGGTTCCCATAGGGATGCAATAACACATCGCGACGCGTTAAAAAAGGTAAGCTGCCTTTTTTTCGCTCTCGCTATTCTTGTTTGTTCGATAGTATCAAAATAAATATAGTCTTTCTTATAATTTGTTTTATTTTGTGTGGTAGCGAACTTGCTTAACTGATGCGCAGCGAACGTGTGGCAAACTTCGACCATAGCCGACTCCGGTATGTAGCGAAGTTGGCTCAAATTCATTATACTGCCCTTTTGACGCTGATGAAACAGACTTCGAATAGAATGATACACTAGGTTTACTTTCCTACTCACTCAGACAGTATCAGTCCGATGAAAAATTCGCCGAACGTCGCAATGTTGCCTCACCGATCTCGCACTTAGCCATGGCGATATCTTACCGACGCAAACAGTATATCGCTAAGCTGCAACGATATGTCGCTTAGTTTAAACGAGATATCGTTAGGCGGCAGTGATATATCGCTGAGCTCAAACGATATATCGCTGAATTTAAACGATATATCGTTCAGGAAAAACGAATTATCGCTGAGTTCAAACGATATATCGCTGAGCTCAAATGATATATTGCTCAGGAAAAACGATAATTCGTGAGGGGCTCAACGATATTTCGGCAATATCTCGCGGTTGTTAGAACAATGGCCCCGCGATATATCGCCGATATATCGTTCCAACGGAAATATCGCTTAGATATCGCCGATATCTCGCGATTATCGCGATAAACGACGATATTCGTTTGCATTACTTCTGTACGTGTTTATAATATACATGGGAAAATACGAGATGGCTTATCATAATTAAGCGTAAGCAAAGCGCGCGCATCAAGTGGAAAAATAATTTATTCAAACCATGCATTTGGTCAAAACAACCGCGTATGATCAAAACGATAATATGTCATGATATCTTCACATCTTTAAGGCGCAAAAAGGTTCAAAGTCCGGCTAAATAGTTCAAGGAATTGTTCAGTCTGTGTCCGAATCACTTTGGATGAAATGGAATCGTCGTTTCCGAGGTTTAACCTTGTTTGTTTTTAATTTCGGCGTTGGATCACTCGAGCAAACTGGGTCGGCTCGTAATTTTCGATTTCCTTGGCAATTCCCTTCTCTAAACACCTCTTTTTCCAAACCAATAACCAAAAAGCAGTGCGTTTTACAGTGTTTTCGTTGTTTGAGCTATTTTTCAGCTGCGGTGGGCAAAGAAAACCTACATAAAACGCCGGCCATTGTTTCGCTCGCAAATTTCAAATTTTGTTGCGACATCCAAGGCTCGCATTTGATTGGCTATCTGTGAGTTTCTTTGATCATTGACCAATCAGAATGTCTGATTTGTTACTTACTTTGCACTGAATTAACCCTTTCTGCACTGAATTAACTCTCTTCTGCACCGAACTACCTGAAAACTGCATTTATCTTCACCAATCAGAACTGAGTAATTTTTTCATGTATATTATTATAGTACAAATATGAGTTTGAGTAGTTCCGGCTTTCATTGAATTATGTTTTTCTAGTTCTTTAGATTTCCCAATAATAAATGATAAAATTTTCTAAGCTATCCGTGTCCGATCATCTACTAAGATAACAATAGCGTGGTAGAAAAACTGTGTTATTTGAAGTTTTGAAAGTTCGTTTAAAAAACATGTCAAACAATTATCCAGCGGATTGTAGACATATGAAAAATAGCCTTATACCCTTTGCGCGTTATTCCTACTCCATGTAATTGACAACAATGGTGCAGGTAAACAAAGCACCTGATAAAATGATCAGGGTTGGATCTGATCTTGCAAAAAAAGAGAAAAAATATGGAAATTAAAGTCCCGTTAATGGGGACAAACGAGACTTTCAGAGTTCTCACAATCCTGCTCACATCGAAATAAAATCAAGTGCAAAACCTTCTTTGTGATATGAGTTACATTAACAGTATAATTAAAAACCATTTTTATATCACAGGATTCGTTCGTTTAAAAACAAAAGCTATAATTTACGTATCTCGCAGATGACCTATGTTCTTAAAGACGTCAGAACTTGCTAATTGGAATGAGCTGTATCTTTTAAGTAAGTAAATGAAAAAATGGAAAAGATACGGGAATTATCTCGTGGAGACCAGGTCTGACCTCTTACGGTGATTTGGATATTTCGACTCTTCTACACTCGCAGCAAACGCTATACATCCTCTGTTATTCTGCATCGTAGGTTTTCTCAAACTTAGTACCTGTTACTAACCCAAAGGTATTCTTTCCCGCCTTCCCGAAAATTTTTTGAGTTGCTTTATCAATAAAGAGATAGATGCAAGCACGTACGGCCTATCTTATACACTTCAGGTGCTTCGTTTAAGTCCATCCGGTTCTTCGTTTTTCGTCTCTGAAAAGCCCCCATGGGGAGTTGACAATAAAACTTGTATCGTATTGTATTGTATTATATTGTATTGCATTGCGTTATATTGTATTGTATTGTATTGTAGTGGTATACAAAGAAGGGTAAGCTTTCATAAAGATAAAATCTAGTAATGTGAGACTCGTGTAGGTCACAGACGCGAAATTCGGTGTCTCAGAATCGTAACAATTTTACGATTGTCTTAGAGTTGATTTTGTGAGAAAATAATCTGACGCTGAATTGTCACAGATGTTTCTTTGAATCAGAATAAAAGCGGAGACATTCCGCCCATTTAAATATAGTACTGCATTTTCCCGATTAAATATCCTGTGCGGCACTCATATCTGTTCATATTCAAACTAAGCCTCTTGACAAAAGTGACATGCGAATAAATTATTTAAATACTACAAGCAATTAAATGAATAAAATCTACTCATGCAAAAATTCATTGTTATCCACATACATATTTTTTTATTTCTTCCCTTTTTTCATCTCATTTGATTTATCTGTTTATCGATTCATTGAGCTGCATCTTTGAGGGTTACTACTTGTTAATTTGGTTTATCAGCTGGTCGAGTTGACAATGTAACTTGGCCGCCATAAAGAGTTCGTAAAGCTAGTGTTTCGAGCGTTAGCCCTCTGTCAGAGCGAATAGCGGAGGAGAAACGCTCGAAACGATTTAAGCGGGGCCGATTAACAACACCAACTCAGTCGATAAAAGCAAATTAGCTGAGCCTTATTTTGACAACCGTTTGTTAATGGTGTAATTTTTCGTTTCCATGCGAATACTCCGCTCATTAGCAGATATCCTTTGACTGCTGAGAAATGACGGAATTTGTCTTAAGCCACTCCTGTACTTACTGTTGAAGATGAGACAAACACACGGATTTACAGCGCTCCACGAATGTAGCAAAAAAACAACCACAAATGGAATCACCGTTTGAAATGCGCAAATGGGAGGCAATCCCCTATCCCAAAGAAAAATCCGAGCGAAAAGATAAACAGAAAGAGGAATCGTGCAAAAACTGAAAGCAACTATTATAGCCACCGACATTCGGACAATTTTCTTGCGTTGTTCATCGCGCAATTTGTGTCGACAACCCAATTGCTGTTTTTGTTTGATGTTGCTTCTCTTCAGCTTCCATGCTATCGTGCCATACACGATAGCCATGACTCCGATAGGAACGAGGACGAAGGTGATGAAAGTCGCCGTGACAAACCCCTTGTGTGTTTCCTCGTGGTCAAATGCCGGTCCCCAGTTAAGCCTACAAACAACTTCATTACCCTCTGGAGTAAGTTTGTACGCATAGAAATAGGGCGCGTGGACCATAATAGCGACAATCCATGTGCATAAAACGCCAACAAGGCGCACTTTTGAAGAGATGAGCTTAGCTTTAAGTGGGAAAAGTACAGCAATGAACCTGTCTACCGATATCAACAAAAGGCTTTCAATGGAAACGACCAGCGACACATCTATAAGAAAGTAGGAAAGTTTGCATAATATGCTTCCCAGCAGCCACGGTCTGACGACCTTCCAGGAGACTGATCCTGAGATGATCTGAACAAGATGGATGGGCATGAGAGTGAATGGGTTGAATAAGTCCGACACAGCCATGTTGAAAACGAGATAGTGGATTGACTTTCGGGATTGCTTGTTCTTTCTAATAGACAGGATAAGGAAGGTATTTCCAACCAGGGAGACAACTAGAATGATGGAATAAGCCGAAGCCTTGGCCACCATTTCTACAGTAGAATCATTCGTAGGACAAGTCGGATTGGTAACATTTGGAGCGACATACCTTGGATATGAAATGTTCTTGTCGAAGGAGTCCATTGTCGAAAATTCACTGAACCTGTTTATATTTCAAGTTGGTTTGCTAACATCTATTGACCGATGTTACCTCTTTACGAGTATCAGAAATTGAGCTGTTTTATTAGGGAAAATGAAAAGCTGGAAATTTATATATACATAAATGGCTCGATTGCATAAGTTTTCAGGTTATATTTACTGAATGCATTCATTGGCCGGATAGAAGACGTCTCCTGTCTCTGACACAAATGAGAAAATGCTCGATTCCGTTTAATTAAGATATGTAGAGGAAAACCTGGCAGGTTGGCTCTCATAGAAAATATCTGAGTGAAGGAAAGTGAAAAGCTTTTCTTTCGCCGAAACAATTATCGAGTTTCACATGAATTTCTTGGAGTCAATTTCCAATAAAATACTGATAAATTTTAAAATGGATATTTGTTTCACGTTTATCCTGTTATTGAGTTACTTTGGCAGCAAAAACTATATCAAATATTAAAGTAATGAGCTACTCTGACGAAGAGTAATTTATTCCTCTTCGTTTTAAAACGTCTTAAAAGATTCACCCGACAAATGTGATCTCTCAACTCATTGTAACACGGAATTCTCGCTCTCCATTTCATTCATAAATTAAGCTGTAATGCTTCCCGTTCACCTGCCCACTCCTAAATCATCAACAGCGCAGCCAATTTGAAGCACGACTACGGTAATAGACATCTATCATAAACTCACATTTTTTTTACCTTTTTTTTTTTTACCTTAATACTCATATTTTAATGTAGATGTCTTAGTCTTTTATTGCTGTATTGTATATATTTCTGTATTGTATTTCATACTAATATGTGTCCCCTTATAAGTATGGGTTCTCCCAGGCTACATGGTTTGACACTTAAATAAAGTTTATTATCATTATTATTATTTGTAAAAAAAAGTATAAGCATACGTACTGCAGAGATTATAACATCCTACGGCTTTCTTATTTTCATTGCATGTAAATGTGAAAGACTTATAAACACCAGAGTCATGAGATATGTAATCATAATTTTATTCCTATTACATCTTGACAACTTCTGTAACATGTCTTTGGCTGCTGACGAAATTGTCATGTATTCGCAATTATAGCCATCGCTCTGCCAAAAAACCCAAAGTGTTTCTGGAACTAAGCCGTGAAAAAAAAATTGAAAATGAGGGTCAAGTTTCGTTTCCAAGAATAATTTTCTTTCAAGTTTGGAGTTTGTTTTTTCTTCCGCACTTGTTTTTTTTTCATTTCATCTTGAGCTTTTGAAGCTCGGAATCTATATTTCAATCGTCCTACTTTTTGCCCTTCAAAGACGTTCCTCCGCACTGCCCTCGCTCTTGGAAAAAGAAGGGACATTTTTATCTACTCTGATACTGTGGAAATAAGAAAAGTCATTCGATTCATTACCTTCCTATATTCTAAGTAATTCTTGTAGATAAAATGTTAAATCTCGGCGATTAGACAATTCTTGCATATTTTCTCCATTAATGTCAAAATCACCTATGTAATTTCAGGCCATTAATGCTGACATATGTCAATTTTTTAACAACCATTACGCTACTATAAATATAGTTTTGCACCTTAGAGAAAAAAAAAACCTAAGTCTCAAGAGAGACTTTCCTTTTTTTTATCTACACAGATTTAAAAAAAAAGCGTTTGAAAACTCTGCATTGAAGCAAAAACTTCTTTCCCTCCTCGAAAATGATGAATATGTAGTCTTCAGGAAGCAACTGCCACCGCAAAGAAGCCAGGTGTAATGATAACAGATTTCAATATTCCCGCATGCAGCATTAAAATATGAATCAATCAAAAAACGAATTATCGTCTGTTTGCTTGAAATTCAGCCCCAAAAAGTGAGAAGGGAAAATTCCTCATGAAATACTCATTGAAGCACTCGAGGAAATCCATCCACGTGCGAAATGAAGTGAAGTATTGGAAAAGTTTATTGGAATATTTGTAGTGGAAGATAAAAACAAAATTTGGTTTAAAAAAAAAGAACATTTGGAGCGACATACCTTGGATATTAAAAAAAAAAACAAAACAAAAAACAAAAAAACAGCAATTAGGGCGTCTCAAAGTAAATATTTCTATATGGCCTGCTGCATGATATTTTTTAAAATATAGCATATGTTATTTTGCTCCAAAAATTTTTACACTCTGGTTATAATTTTTATTCGGTGGTTTTCAATGTCACATCGAGTTGTGTGTGATCAAAGATCTTTACCGTGCGATGGAAACACACTATTATTATTTTCACGTGTGAAGATAGCGATATAGTATCCGGGTTTATCAACTCGGCGGTTTTGCCTCTCGCAAAAAGGCTTACAAACTTTACCAGCGATACGAAAGTTACATTCCCCCTTTCTTTTTTGTATTGTAAAAACTCGGTAACGATAGCTTGCGTTATTTTCATGACAGATGCTGAAATGACAAGAATATAGATATCCAGGGCACTTAAAATGCGTTTCCAACAACTATAATACTTGCCCGCTTCTACTGTTCTTCAATTTTCATGTAGAACTCGTGGGAATGTGTTGCCTCGTGGAACCATGAGCCACTTGCTCCGATCTTTATTCAGAGCAGTAAATAAGCAAGGCAAAGAATACTCATGATGTAAACAAACAATAAAAGGAATGTACAGGAAACACCGCTAGTCCGCTTGCGGATACGAATTTATCTTCGCGTGTTGATTGCATCCGCGCACGGCCATGAAGAATGCCCCAAATAAATCTCGTTTTCAAAAACTTGTAATATAGGGTGAACCATATCTTTTAAAATACTAGTTATTTCCCTTCAGGGTACAACAACTTTGAGAGCAAATGATCGATGCAGGCTGTGATCCACGCATCGAATCAGTTAATAAGAGGTAATTGTTTGCAACTTTTTATGTAATTTCAGTTGAGAAATATCAAACACATTTTCTACTAGACCTTGGTAGGAATTCTTATGAGCTTCCGTGCTTTGTATAGAAACGGAAAACAATTGAATAACTTTATTGTTTGACTTACAGCACTGTAGTAAGACTTGATAAATTCCATGGTATACTTTCCATGTAATCTGCTCCTTCCAACACGTACTGTGACGGTGGTCCTTTTGTAATATAACACGTGCAACCCACTGGACAATCTATGCAAACAGTGTATACTAAGATAAATCAACAGTACTTCTAGTCGTATAAATCTCAACTAGAAAATTCCTTGCATTTCGCAAGGGTTGCAAAAAGAGAAAATCGAGGAAGTTGTGGGCCACAGAAATTGGAACTTAATAAACTATTTATCGATATCTTTCCATTTGCCAATTCAAATTCTCCTTTTATTCAACTAATTGATATAATGCATGAACATTAATTTTTTCGGCGACTTAGTGCTTCCATATCGATTTCAGCCGTGAATGGGCCTTATTGAAGGAAGGGCCATTAAAAGGTACTCGGAAATATTTCTAGGGTTACAATGTTTTGGGAATAGCTGAGGCTATGGTGGACAACCAAAGACGTTATTACCTGGTTTCATTTTACATTTATCCCTCTCATCTGAAAAGCAAATTGGAAGGATTATCATAATGAAGTCATTAACTCTTGCAAAAAATGTATATGCCATGTCGTTGAGTTGTTTTCATTTCTTCAATGTCTGCACATTCATCGACTGCGCATATTTTGAGGGTCGAACTACATTAACTTATGTGACGAATTATTGTAAGTCAGTAAGTCGCGATAGTGAACTAAGACTGGGCCAAAACCACAATTTTTTTGCATGAAACAGAAACGTGAAAAAAATGATATCTCAAGAAAGAAAAATAAATTTCTTTAAATAAAGGTTTTCAGAAAACAAAAAGTGACTTTACCTTTCCTCATGTCGTAGATAGCTTTGAAACCCGTACGCACCTCCTTGTTGTCAGATTTAAACACGACGAGCAAATTATTCGACGAAGATTCCAGCATTGCAGGGTGCGTATGACCACAAAATCTGCCAAGCGAAGCAGAATATGTCGAATTGCCATCAAATACTTTAACATAATCATTTAAACATTGAGGTCCAGTCGCTTCCAGCTGAAAGTAAAAAAATTCAAGTCTGATCACGTGACCAAACGCAGCGAATACGAGCCATTCACACCAACTGTCGTTTGCGTAATATCCTGGGTAGTAGGGTGACGTTATAACACCAGTTTTGTCCGTGAAGAGCTCCCTGCATGCTGAAGATGAATAATTTCAGAAAAGGTTTAGTACAGTAATGTTATGGTTCAATGTCATTTGTTTTTTAAATAGTTGGCTTAGGAAGATGCAATTGTCAGAGAAGTAGAAAGTCCAAGGTGAATGGCTTAGTAACTGCAGTAAGACAAAATCTTATCCATGTCTATTTCAGTGTAACAATATTATGTTATGGTTGGCAGCGCCCTTAGAAAAGATGAAGCAAGTTCTGTATTCTGATTGGCCACTCGAGCGGAAAGATTGGCCCATCTCGCCTACTCAGGATTGCCCGCTTTAATCCAGAACAAGCAAAAAAATTGCGCCAAGCAGACTTACAAAAATGATATTGTTTTTGACGATGTCGCAAAAAGTGGCATGAGACAGTGAAAAGGGAGTAAACATAAATGAGTTCTCTGAGTTTATTGCTTCGCCATGAAACAGGGAAATTAAAACACAATGTGAGATGAATTTCCCAGCGCTTAAAAATGGACAAATCATTCTTGATTCTGATTGAAACGAAATATTTTAGGTATATCATGAATCCTTTATTGCCCAAGGTTATTAAGTCAAGGTGGCCGGAAAGTAGCATCCATCTTCCTTTGCCTTTATATGGACCTTGACTTTGTCTCTACCCATTAAAAACCCCAAATATGAACTTGGCCAATCTGTGGTCCAGCCATCTCGACCACACGGTTGGTAATTAATTCATGTATTTTTTGTTCTTTACCTCTCCTTGCAGCTGCTTCTGGCTCTGGGGAACAATAACCATTGATTAAGTAAAGTGCTTCTATCGAAATAAACCCTGTTTGGTCTTCCAGGTTTCCTTCAAAAATGAGCTGCAACAAAAGAACACGGAAGTACACTAGATTGGCTTTCGCCGGTGAGAGGTAAAATGAAATGGAGAATGTAATTGTATTCCAGGGCTAATTTACTTGACGTAGTTGTCACTTCCATACTGAACAATATGGTAAGGTGACATAGCCGCACTATTATATGAAACTAAGTCGAACATGAAGTCTCTCTATTCCCCTTATCAAAAACTCCGAGTAAGAATGGAAGGCAAATTGTGACCTTTCGAAACTAAATTTCCATCCCCCTTATCAAAAACTCTGAGTAAGAATTGAAGGCAAATTGTGACCATTCGAAACAAAATTTTCTATCCACAAGCTTTTGGTTCGCTTGTTTGCTTGTTTGCTTGCTATGGCAAAAACTTACGTGCAGCTAAGTTATGTCTAGTTAATCGCATTGTTAAGAAGATACAACAATGCCTTTCATGCAAATTCATTTTTGTCACTGAACAAGATCCCTTTTGCCTCCAGAACATTTTACTCCGGTGACAAGTTGTTCAGAGGCCGATTAGCGCTAAGCTAAGGTTAAATTTTAACTGAGATCAGAAAGCACACTAACCCTTAACCCAGCTTTGAACAACCGGGCCTGGAGTCAAAGTAACCTTCAATCATTTCATAGGTCAGAAAAATAACCAAAACTTCATAATTGTCATATGAACAATTATTTCTGTAAATATTCAATTTTATTCACAGTTAGTAGTAACTACTAATTGTTCCCTAGTTATTTTGATGACATTTAAAAAATATCTCACTTGGTGTTCTGTGATCCCTGTAACTGACACTTGTCCATACTGCCAGGTGTCGTCCCCTGTTGAGTCACCTTGCCAGATTGGACTTCCCCGTGAGTTGTTCCCCATTATTTGGTAAAGCCGTAAGTTGTTATTTCCTACTCCAAGAATCATGTATCGGAACTTCAGGCATCTACCATAACCATCAGCTGATCTGTTATACCATGGGCTCCATACGCGTGCTTGCTCTGTTGTAATGTTACTTGAAAGAGAATACGCCGCAAGGCGATCACCTGTGATGAAGCATGCTGCGGGTTATTAACGTAAACTTTACCCTTGTTTAGTCAAACTGCTTCTCAGTGATCTTTTCTTTTGCCGAAAGTTCTATCATAACGTTAATAGTTTTTGAATGGTGAGAGGATTACTTCTAGATAACTATACTTGCATACTTCAAACAAACCAGTCACTAAAAACCTCTAGATCCATGTAATACCCAACATCGGGGTCAAACCTGGACTTTGTTTGGAAGAAGCGGCCCTTGATTTTAGGTTAGTGGTCAAAGCAGCAAAAACATAAAAAAACCAATAACGGAAAGGGGCTTCATTGAAAAAAGTATCTGTATAACAGGTCAATGAGCGAAGAAATTTTATCACCTCCAGGTAATTAAAAATTTTCGACCCCGTGTTGAGCAGCTATGTTAATGCATTGGTTAAAAAGGTGTAAAAGAGATCAAATTCCTTAGGACTGACTTGGTCCGTACACAAGACCGCCTTTATTTTGATTTCGTAACCAAAATGGCGCCGTGGTGACAAGTGAAAACAATCTATTTTAAGACGCCACTGTTTGGTTTAACTTCCTAAAATGTACTACATGGGTAAGTGCATTCACCTACCAGTCACGTCTCGACATGCGGAAGTATTGTAATGAACATGGGCGTCTCCTATGACACCACTAGTCATGCTCCTCCAGGCCATGAGATCACCGTCTCTCATTCCACACCCTAAAGACATCCGTTGAATTTCTCCCTCATCGAGTGCACCTTCCCATAAGTTAAGATCACTTATACGACCGCAGGCGTCTACTTTTGCTGACTTTTTAACATCGGGGCAATTGACAGTAAGGCGACCTCTTCCTATGATGCAGTGTTTTGAACGGATGTTTGGGGGTGTTCATCGAGTTGCAATCATAACGTTAAAGGAATTATTGATTAGCTTTTGGTTATCCTTCCAACCATATATACATTGATTATCACAGAGGATTTGGTTATCCGTGAAATGTTGGAAAGCATAAGAATAAATTTAAGTTCAGGATAAGAATTAGTTCATCGTTCAGGATTAGAGGCAAGATTATTTTCCATCGTTCACTTAAGCATTTTTACGCGATATCGAGGTACGATGTAGGATACTTTTAAAGAAATTCATATTTGCTTTTTAATAATACCTCTGATGTCGAGAGCGTCGATACTAGAATCAGACTTGCTGACAAGTTTCAGTCCGTCGACAAAAACTTTGAGGAGTCCACCAAATGAAGACCAGGTCAGACAAACATGGTGCCACTCTTGATCAGCAACAAATGACGGGACTTTCCTGCAGTCAAAAGCTGAAAACTGTCTATTCTCTTTGTCAAATAAATTTGACCAAATAAACCAAAATCTGACTGAAGAAGATCTACCCCGAAACTACCTAATCGCCTCACTTAGAGCAATTACGGCGCAGAGTGCTCAATCAAATTCCAGTAAAACGGCAATAGTTCAGTGTCCAGTAATCTACTGACTCGAAATTTCGGTTCAATATTATAAGTATCAAATACTACTCACCATTCTTCTTCCAGGACAGTAACTGTGATGGTGCTATTGAGATTTATTCCAAGAGCTGATTCTTCAGGAAAATCCGCCAATTTCATCTAGTATGTTATGTCCACAACGGATTGGTTTGTTTAGAGCCATACGCAGACAGTTACAGCTTTCAGATCATTTACTAGTGGAACTGGAACTGAAATGTTTCCAAACTCGGCTAATGGTAGGATAACTATGAATTCGTCTTTCTCTCTAGAAGTCACTGTGTACAAAGCCAAATGTAAAGTTCTAAAGATAGAAAGGTCTTTTCCCAAATTCAGTTGAATCTAGGAACAGGTTCAGTTCGGGAATGGGGCGAAGGTCGGAGCAACCGAATGTAAAAGGATCTGGGGGCAAGGTAGGTAAAGAGGCCTTTCCCTGAATTATTCATCCTGCTTTAGACTAAGAATCTGGTCCAAAAGTGAACTCAATTCTGAGTTTCGCGCTGTATCTAGGCAAATGTGTAACACCCAGTGTAACACCCAGTGCTAGAGCACAAAGCTTAATCATTTTGAAATACGGTTTATGCTCACTATTGTAAATAAGGGTACACTGTTTAACGAACTGATCATAGTAGAAAATGCGATGTCAAATAACCTTTGCACATTTTCATTATCGTACCTCCAAATACTTTATGATCGGCATTCAATGCTGATTTGACTTTTTTGTTCCAATTCGCAGTTTCTTCACGACTGACATTTTTCCATGTTATGTAGCCATCATCAACTTTCCACCAACACAGTTCTCGACCAAGACTACAGTAATCTGTAAGAAGAGCCGAATTTTGTAAAGGCTTGCATTGAGCCTATTAGGATAATCAATATAAATGGAATCTATTTACCTAATTTGTATCAAAGAATTGGTTCATGCCTAGCGTGCGTATATGGAGGAAAGTTTGGAGGGCACGAAAGAAGCGCAAGCATCTATGGCTTCCTGAATGCATCCATAACTCGATATACGCACAGCTAAAAGCATGAAGAAATTCTCTTATAACATAGCGGGCACAAATTGTGCTCGAAGAAAGACTTTTATTATTATTGCGTCAGGTTTACCAGGTAATCACGATCTACCCGAAAATCACCAAGAAATATTTCGAGATCAAATCTCTTATGAAAGAATTGTAAATTTGCTGATAAGAAGCTAAAAACAAAGAAATTTCTCGCAAGGTCGAGACCAAGTAGATGATTTAGTATGCTTTAATCGTTGTTAATTAGAACCTACGACTAGAAAGTTACGTAGGATTTTAATGGAAATCTTCTATTGAACAACACTTTTGGGACATATTAACACCTAAAATGACTTTTACCATTTTGAAGAATTGTCTCACTTGAACTCAGAAAGACTACTTTGTTCTTTTCCAGCCATAATTCACATTGCGTTTGGGAATGAAGCATCGTCGACTCGAAAGCTAGTTTCGTCGCTTGAAAGAAGTACATTCTTATTGTTTTTCGAAATAAGTATTTTTTGAGCTCTTAAAAGTCTGTATCATCGGCACCGGCAATATGTTATAAAATGAAATGGTTCAATCTAGAGGAAATCGGCACAACCACCACCACACGTTCATGAAATATTCTGCAGCATTTCACACTACAAAAAGGTGCCCCTCTCTGCAAGACCCAAAACGCATGATGTCGCAATGTTATTTTAAGGCTCGTTTCTTTTAAAGGACAATAAGTAAAAATTGTTAGCCAAATATTAAAAATTAAAATCCCAAAAAGCCATTAAAATCGTAGAACAATTCTGTAGCGCACCATGGTCTTGGCTTGTCAGGTGTCGTAATACAGGAAGAATAGATTCTGTTTTTATATTCAAACGGAAAAGAACAGCATTTTCCACTTTCTGTTGTCCAAAGACATTTATCTAGAAAATGAAATAATGAATAATGACCTCTTCAATACCGGTACTCAAATGAGCTAATGCGCCAACTTGGAGTTAACCATAATTGATGAATAAACGACTGTGAATATATGAATATGACGTATTTTAACTGCAGATTGATAAATGAAGATGGGAGTGATCATCGCAGTTCTGAACACTGCATAAAAAGTAGTGGAAAAAAGGCATTAGCACATTCGAACGCCATTTACTATTTTTGACTCTTGTCCTCGTTTCGGGGAGTGGTACACCACTAATCACTTTCATTTTGTTGTTAGTCCTTCCATCTGGGCTTCAATGATTTAATAGTTTCGTAAAAACTTTTATTATTATGTCTGTTAGCACTGATTATGGTAGGCTCTGGAGCGTTGGATTTTTTAGGCTGCATAACTGTAGTCTGTTACCTTTACCTCAGAGATGTCTCGGTAACACATTCGGTAAAAAGTTCGGAATGCGTTTTCGACATATCTACTTGTGAGCGTTTCCTAAAGGTTCTAAAAATAATTTGGTTTTTTTTTTATTCTTAAACGTCATCCAAATATGGTGATGCTGACTCAAGGCCAAGAGATCTCACTCTTTTTGATGAAGTATAACGTGAAGGTACGCGCGCTTAGAATAAGAAATCTTCCTTTGGTTCTAAGCCATAAAAATATGAGACAAAGATCGAATCTTGCCATCACAGCCACCAGCATCAAGCTCATCGTCTCCAAAATAACACCAGTGTCTGTCGTTATCGTCTCCTGTGCAGGAGTGATACAAAGTGTTCTCATAGACAAAAGGGAATCTACAGCAGGAGTGGTAGCGGGTTACCCAGGTACATATGTCTGAAGAAGATAGAAAGATAATTGACTACTCTATGTCAAGAATAAGATATTGACAACAGATGGGCAATGATACCACTTCACAAAATAAATAACGAATGACAGAAGACTTGAACGCATACGATTTTTCAAACCTTAAGTGATCAATTTTCTTCTCGTGTTAATCGAAAAGCTGAGAGAATAAAAACCAAGGGTTTGCAGTTGAAAATCTTCGAAAAAAGTGCCCCTAAGTTTTCATTTTGATACCAGCCTCCTCGAATAGTAAGCCAGTTATATTTCTAAAGTTTTATTTTGACCCACGAATTGAATATTACAGATTGTGTCCTGCTAATGTTTAATCACTCAATATCAATAATAATAGTAATAGGGGAATATTGAGCCAACTTTCTTTCAGACACTTTCCTAAAGCTGGAATCAAATACTTTCGTCGCAGAGGGCGAAGATTAACCAATTTGGAAACCTGACGCTAAATTTCCATCCAAACATCGCAACGTTGCGTTGGTTGTTGTTGCCACTTATGCAAAAAACCAGAGGCTTCCTGGAAATGAAGATACTTAAAGTACCCAATTGGACAGATGGACGGATTTTTGCAACATTGCTGGTCCCGAAAGAGCATTCGCGAGACAACTTAGGAACTGGTTTACTCTTTCCTACTATGGCAAACGAAGAACTGGTTTCATCGTTCGGAATAGCGTTACACTTCTCTTTGGAAAAAGATATGTCATCAATGCCCAGGAATACAACCTCGGCATAATGTGTAGGACTTATTCAGGGTGACTCGTGCAAATTCTGAAAAGGATTTGATTTGAACACTGAGCTTGAAGCTATATATATTTTATTTTCGCCCTATTATTTCTTTTAAATATTAATACTGATATGTCGAGCTTCAGAGAGTGGAGATTAGTCTGCATGGAATGCATGGTTGATAATATTTTTGAGGCTTTCCTTCACCTTGGGTCCTTTAACCTGATATCTCGATAGTTTTTAATCAGTAAGATACAGGCATAACTCTTATTACTTGCACAATGTTAGACGACCACATGATGTAGACAAACTACCCTGTTTCAATAATTGTCAGTTATACTGATCATGGAAGAGGTTTCTCGACACAAAGAAGAAATAACACCAGCACTTCTCTCCTAAAGGGAAAAAATGCGTTTTGACGCGTGCCTCAATTTGGCAACCTGTCGATGAAAGGTATCTAAAGAAAGTTGGTTCAAAGGAAATTGATAAAATTTGCTAGCATTGATCATGGGTGAAGATTGCCAGTGGCTCTCACCTCATTGAACTTTTCCCATAAATTTGACGGTAAGAACGTTGGTTTTAAAAGTATTAGCTGACTGGTACAGAGAGGTTCCTGGTATCAATATCTGCCTCGCATGTCTTGTTTTTGAGAACTTGGATGGAAATCGAGGACTTAAAGCAAGAGCTGGTGGTGGACATTGCCATGATAAATCTATTTCATTTACCGTAAATGAAATAGATTTATCATGGCATGTTCGCTCTTAGAGGGACACTGGATTGACAATGGATAACTTGATTAATTTTTCGTCTTTTTATCTTAAAGTATGAGATAACCTTCGTGGTTTACGTCTTTTTTATCACATCGTGTAGGAAAATTTTTTGGCAACCCCACAAGGAAACTTTAATATCACATCTAACGTAGAACAGGAACATAACAGGGTTCTTTTCACATGATAAAGTTTGATAAGATTAGCTTTTAAGGACGTTAATTTAAACGACGGCTATTGTGTCTTAACGTACGATAGCAGTTCCCTAAGCCCCTTAGCGGATTTACGAGGCACAAGAGCTGAGATACTTGAGTGTTCAGGTCATTTTAGTATATTAGGAACGTATTCACACCCGGATATTACGTTTGTCGTGAGTATTTTAAACACTGTAATTCACATTGGCGCTGCCTAATTTTAGCGACAATCTTTAAATATTGCTGCTATTTCAAGCCCCCCTTAATATTCCTATGCATTGCGTGGGTAAGCGGTCAAAATTGTTAACAATTTTCTAGCCTTACGTCCAATTCGACAAAAGTATTCGTTTGAATTTAATTCCAAGATGTCAGAGCGTTGGTCATGGGCTTCTGTTCATACGACACGCTATGAGCGTTATTTGACAGGGTATTTGCTAGCGGCATCCGCTGGATGTAAGGTTTTTTTGCCAATATTCAAAATGGCGGTCTTCGTTATTTAATTTATTTCTTCAGTGGATAAAGTTTCCTCGCATTTGGAAGCGCACGGTAGAATCATGAAGGTAAGTTAAATTTTACACTTCTTAAAGGCAAAAATTCCCCGAAATTTTCAAAACATTACGGTTCTAAGACATTTTGTCTTTTCCCTCGTCTCCATGGTAAATAAACAAACCTAGTCAGACACAGTGTATTTTTTTTGGAATAAAGGATTAGCCTGCCAAGTAAAATGTTGGAAACGCATTTGAAACAGGAAAATAGTAGCAGAACACTTTTCTTGCTTAAAAACGTGTGGAATATTGCAATTTTTTAAACGTTTGCCGCAAATTATTCAGCCGTTGGTTCCTTGTATGTAAACGGTGTAGTCGAGTCCAATTCTGCTGTCAACATCTGTCAATCTTTACAAGTGTATGATTAAAATAGCAATACTTTGTCTGCCATAATTCTAAGGGTAATGTGTTAATTTTTTTGTTGAGAAGAGAGGATGGTATCTGTCTCGTCCTAATATTATGACTGTATTCATAAGAAACAGCCAAGAATGAAAGCGTTCTCATGAGTTTGTGGCGTTCTGGTTATAATTATTCGTTAAAATACGTGTTTTTGCAAATCAAAATTGTTACTTTACTTTGGGAAGTCAAAAAGATATGGTGGCAGGGCAGATTTCATGTCAGGCAGTATATCTCTAACAAGACATTCCTCATTATTTTCAAGACCTGAATACATCCTCTTTTGCCAAAGAAAATTAAAATTTTATTTGCAACATCATAAGTAACTTGAATGTAATAATTACAAAATCATTTTCTTGTTTCCCTTGAAATACCATTTTGTGAACAATAACGTTTTGTTGTTGTTTTTGTTGTTAAAATGTCACACAAAAAGGGCAGCTTTTTTGTTAAAGTCATTCAGATTGATATTTTAGCATCTTTGATAAAAAAGACCATTATAATAATATATATATATATATATATAAATTTATATGATAGAAAAAGAAAGATGTAGGTAATGGCAACATCATTCATGTGTCTATCCTCCAATAGATTATACATTGAGCAAGAACCGATCAGAATGCGTGCTTGTTGTAATTAATCCCTTAACTCCCAAGATTTCATTAGCAATTCTCCTTACTGTCTGCAATACAATTCATTTGATGTTAGTTTGGAGAATTTGGAATTGGATCAACTAAAAGATATTTCTCTCTATTCTCATTACTTGTCTGCTTGGTGTTGTACTGATAGTGTAAGGAGAAATTCTGTCTCAGGTACCAGTGGGACCTAAAGGGTTATAGTTTATTATGTACATGTAAACTAAAAATGACTTGAAATCTGTTCAAATTGCATTTCATTTTACTTGCTTCGTTTTGTTTTGTGTACAAATTTATACTGTGAACATCATTTATTTGTCTTATACATTCTTGTGCATATTTATATGTATTCGTAACCTTTTTTTTAGGATAACAATGTTATAACCTTTGAAAAAACTGTGAGTTAGTTCTCTTCTTTTAAACAGTGGCCATCTCTCCACAACTACCACTTCTCTCTTGTCTAATAGTTGCCTTTGTTGAGATTTTCCGCTAAGGTAGTAATTTTTTCTTGCTGTCAGCTAATATTTGATGTGACAGATAGTTATTTTACTATTTATGACATTGCAGCGTGTCTTCAGTGTTCCTGAGAAGGTGACAGGAGGTGGTACAGTCCAATACTGCTGGCAGCAGAAACTAGGAAATTATTTAGCTGTAGCTGGGTAAGATATATTTAGGTAATATAGATTTCAGGTGAAGGTACCTGTAAATATATGTTATTAACAAACAGACATGTACCATTCATTACTGTCCAAAAAATGCAGGACAAACAGAGTTGTGATGATCTATGATCGTCATGGGGAACAGAAAGATGAAATCAACCTTCCAGGGTAAGTGGTTTTTGTTTAGTATTTTAAGGAAGGTAAAGTGTAATTACATAGTCCATGATTAATGACATGTAATTGTATAACATGGCAAAAGCTTAGAAGCAAGGGGAGAAATGAAGTGTGGTGAGAGAGGGAGGGTGGGTGGTTTTACCCTATACTCTTAAAAAGTACTTGGCAAAGGGGCAAAGCACAACTACCTCCGTGTACTGGGTGTCAAACTATAAATTTTTGGTATGCAACCAAAGGGATTTGAGAGAAAGAGGAAACAACTAAAAAAATTATAATCTACCAGCTTAAGTTAATGAATGAGCTGGTCTTGTCTTGAAAATGTTGCCCAGCTAGCAAAACAACATGAAAAATTGCAACAAAGCAAAGTGTGTACTTTGGGTACTCATTATGCAATGGATACTACTTGCTGTGTGTAGGCCAGAGTGGAGAATAATTTACCTGTTCCTGGAATCAATCAGATCACAAGACTTGTAGAATAATGGTCACTCATGCATTTAGAAAAAAGTACTTTTTGTGATGACATGTACATTTTTCTTTGATTTAGACAATGCACAGGAATGGCATGGGACAAAGATGGTGACACCTTGGCAATCATACAGGATAAAAATGGTAATAACACAGTCATAATTTTCAAATTAGCAGTTGTATCCTCTAAATAAAATTCCCGTAAGTTTCCAGGTTGCTGAACAAGATTGAAAATGGGTGGTGTTGGTAGGCAAATTGTAACCCTTTGAAATTTTTAAAATCTGCCAGCAAGCATCATAAGTTTAATTTATAAACTTTTTGATTTGGATTTAGGCTTTGGGAACATTTACTTCTCCTTAAAATAAACTAAAGCTGCTCCATACATTATACCAGCAAGTACATGTAAAATATAACAATTATTCCATGAGCGCTCATTGAATATATGAGATAACAAATAGCCAATGAGGTGTGCAGAGCTAAGTTGCTTATAAACAATCTTGTTTCCAACAAGCGTGAATGGAATGACTGGTTTCACTAGTTAAAATCTTGAATGGTTGGATATTTGGAACCTTTTTTTAACTTGGCAACATATGGTGCAATTCATTTTCATATAAGATGACTTGGAATTTGAGCTGATAACCAGAGTTAGTGAACCAATCAGAACACTAGAATGCAATATTTGGAGCTGAATAAAAAATAATTGTCTATCCTCCTTTGCTTCAGGTATTGTTTACCTGTGGGATGCTAATTCCCACAAGACCATCCAACTGGAAAGTGGTTTGAGGTACATTTATCTAATTTTTAATTCATGTCTGGTTGTTCCACAGTCATTCTGATCAATATTTGTTTACAACAAACCTCCTGATTGACACTGACAGGGACATGTATATACAAAGTCATCTAACCATGTTTTGTCACCCATGGACTTAGTCTGCAAAAAGGGTTTTTAAAAGATCCTTAAAAAAATAACAAGCCCCATCAGCAAACAGATTAAGCAAAACCTTAACCTGGAGGTTTGCTCAGCTTAATTAAAGAAATACTCTCCCAATACATGTGTGCACACAACCTGTAGTTTTTGTTGGCAGCTTCCTTAAGCATAGACTCAATTTTTTGGTATACTGCCTGCACATTTTGAGATTGTGTATTGATTCCAGGCTGACTGTTTTTCATTAATATAGGGAAGGTCTGGCATTTTTATTATGGTCAAGAGTTGGACCACAACTTGCAATAGGTGAGAAATGATATTCATTTAAGCAGACATTGGGGAAGAGCAGTTACATTTAGTATTAAGCATCAAGTTTCCTGTCATTCTTAAAACTAAGTGTAATCCAAATGAGCCACATCTATAGCTCATTAAGTGCACCTTGGAATGTGAGCAAATGATTGAAGTCAATGGCTGCCAGCTCCTAGGCAACTCTGTATACAGGTGTAACCCTTAAATTTCCAAGATATGATTGTGAATTCTCCCCTCTAGCTGCTACACATTTCCTTGCAAATCAGTTATGAGAATTAAGTTAAATCAAGACAACAACTTCTACCTGATAAGTTGGAGTTTAAAAGGTTAACAGAAAACACCTGACCTACATGTACATAGATGAGGAAACAACAGAAGAATGATTTTATGTACTACATGTTGTATGTATGTGTCTAGGTTCACACACATGTACATATACTGTTCAAGTGTTAATTAGATCTTTGTTTACTTCTCAGGTACATCCAAAGGCAATTTATTGATGTACAACCATCAGACATCAAGGTAATCTAATTTTTGCTTAGAAGTATTCTTTAAAAGAATTTAGAACTTTATGTTTGAAAATTTAGTGTAGGTAATGTTCACAGTTGCATTAGTAATTGAGTTATGAAAAGGAAGAAATCAAGGAAGATTTCATGGAGAAAATCCCCTTTTTGGTCTCTGATGCTGTTGTGATTTTTTTACAATGCTTGTGACAATGTCTTGTCAGAGTAATACTGGTTTATGAGACAGCAAGTTGAATTTCCATGTTCTGGTCTGTAATATTCATGGCTGTAATTTGAAAATCATGATGTTTATCTTCAAGGTGACATTTATTTTGTTTTTTCAGGAAAGTGCCAATTCTTGGAAAACATACCAAGAAAATAGTGTGTGGAGCATGGAACTCTGAGGTATGACACTGTTATCCTAAAAGGGTGAATTATTATAACTAAACATAATATATCTAATAATAGCTATTGGTTCTACAGTTTTCATATTTTTTACCTAGTTCTTTTGACAACTACATGTACTGGTTGTAAGCTTCAGTACATTGTGGGAGAGGGGAGCAGGGATGGCAAGGTAGGGAGGGTGCTCACCTCCCACCATTGTGGTCAGGGTTCAACTCAGCGACCATTGTCACATGTATGTTGAGTTTGTCATCTGTTCTCATTCTTGCCCTGAGGGATTTTCCTGGGTTCTGTGTTTTCCTCCCACAGCGAAAACCAAGATTACAAATTCCAATTCCACCTGGGATACAGTAGCCAAGAAAAGCCACTTTGTGAAATTCCCACTTATCTATTTATTTATCTTTTTTATTTGTAAGCTTTAAGTTCATGTTATAAATCAGTATAAGGTAATTTTTTCAGTGTTTGTGTAAAAAGAAATTCTTGTATCCATTTTCAACCATAAATAGTAATTCATGTAACTCATCAAATTATAGATAGCAATTTACTTTTGTTGAATAATTGATTGTCCAAGAATATTTGCTGATCTTGAAGAAAACAACAGTTTTATTACAAATACATTAGGTTATAGTAAATTAAAAGCAACTGCATTTCCCTTCATTTTCTTCTTTACCAACAAAATTTTCTGTGATGGTGCTTCACAGTTATTGATCAAATGACCGTCATGATATTAGGGGTGATTATAGGGAGATATTAAATAATAATGAACCAATCAACCAGTCAACTGATGTATTTTTATAATCACCACAACAATTTAAATACTGATTTGTAATCAGTGTACAGTGTACATCATCACCATCATCATCTTAATTACATTTGTGAGAGTGTTTTAAGTGTATTGTTCCCATTGTTTTTCTCTCTATATCAGAATTTACTAGCTCTTGGTGGAGAGGACAAGTGCATCACTGTCAGTAATGTTGATGGAGATACAATTAGACAGGTAATAACACTGATAAAAAGTAGTATCCCTCTTATTTATACTCCTATGTAGACTCTGACTTTGGAACCAAGTCTTCTTAATCCAAACTTGTCACTGTGTATTGTGTGAGTCTGCATGTAGTTGATCGACAGTTGATATGAGGAATAAAAAAGTATAATAGAATTACTTAATATCTTACTGGGACAGGGCTGTACTGAGACTATTGCACCTTAGGTACCACAGGAGACTAACTTTTAATTTGTGAGTAACTTGTACAATTCTGCTTTTAGTAAAATATTTGAATTGCAGGGTACCAAAATTTCTGAGGCAAGAGCCTTCACTCACCAGTTATTCCTCTGAGAGCACAGTTTACAGGAAGTTTTTCAGTTCTATTAATTCTAATCATTAATTTTTGTCCCTTTCTAAGGAAAGGTCTACACTTACAGAGTGTATATCATAATCTTTAAACAAAACTGCTTGATTTGTGAAAGAAGAAAACTACTACCTGTACAAATTGTTCAAATTGACTTTTGATTAGAAAATATTACACATGATTAGGTTGTTGATTGATAACCATGCATTTACATGGGTATGTGCTTTGATTTGTATTGTACAGGCTACTATTAGAGCAGATCCTACAGAAATTCAGTTTAGTGAGATGAAGACTGATGAACGTAGCTCCATTGGTGAAACAACGGTAAGTTCTTTTCTGAGAAAATGCTAATATAATAATTAATGTTAGATAAATAAAGTAAATCCTAAGTTGTTTTCATTTCTCAGTAAAAAAGAGAGGGAATAATTTTTGTTTATTTTATTTTCGTTGTGTATTCATGTAATGAAGATTCTCACTCTTTCATTGCTTTCTACATTGTGTCTTATTCATTGATCAAGTATCTAATGAGCTGGTACAATCATGTTACTTGATTACAGTACTTTTATAATATTCAGTAGTCTTACAGTAATATCACTAACACTGGTAGAAGTACTTTTAGTATAGAGAAAGATGTTGTCATGAGGGTAGGGCAAAGAAAAAAAATTCTGATTCCCCATGAGGAAAAACTTACCATCTTTCTTATTATATTTACAAAGATGATGCTATTGACATTGCTTATGCCAGCAGTATGCAGGATGTGTGTCATATGAACTTTGTAATAGACCTCGTCACCACAGAGTCTCTGTGGCTCAGTGGTAGAGCATTGGATTGCGGAATCCGATGGTCTGAAGTTTGATTCCTCATGGGGACTCAGAATTTTTTCTTTGCCCCATATTCTTGACAAGAGGAAAAACATCTTTCTCCATTTCTTTGCCGAGCTCAAAACTTACCCTCTCTTTTATTCTATTTACTCTTAGTATGCTCTCAATACACTACATTATTAATAACATCTGCTTGTGGACAATCAACTAATTTTTAATAGCAGGACAGTTACCAGTCGTGGTACTAAAAAAGTTAGTTAAAAACCAAGCACTTTGAAATTGGAATTTCATACTGAAATTACACACTTACATGTAGTCCCGTTTAGAGACTGTGATCAGTTGTCTATAAAAATGGGGGGAGGGGAGGGAGCCTCTTATTTAACAATTAGGCTAGCAGCCAACAATTTTTTGGTAGACTTTGTTTAATATCCAAATAATGTTACCAGTCATATACAGTACCTTTCAAGAGTTGGCAATCCCTAGAAACTTGATCCTAGATCATTGACTCTTGATCCTTGATTCTGGAAAACTTTGAGGATCAAGGCTTTATTCAAGTTTGATAAGTAGGAGACTATTTGAGAAATTATTGAGTAGAAATTTGAGATAAGAAGACTTTGACCCCTTTCTTTTCACACAGCAGATTTTGCCTTGTTCAATGGGGTATAAATTAAAAGTTAACAAGTTAATAACTAAAGATAACATAAGTTACTGTAGCTGCTGTGTTACAATGCATTGGTGGAGTTGCAACATGATATCAATCTCTTGACTAATCTTGTACTGTACGGTTGTTTCACTCACAATTCATGATTTGTCCTTTTTTCCCACTTAGGTCAGCATTATAGTTGGAAGGAAAACTTTGTATTTATACAACTTGAATGATCCTGATAACCCCATTGAATTGGCTTTTCAGGTAACCCTTATTTTACCAATAAAATTAAAATATTACATTGTATCAAGGAGTGTGTTTTGTTTTTTAATAGATTAACCAAGTGTAAGTTATTGAATAAAATTAATATCACACTTGATTTATGAAAGAAAAGTTAATTGCATGGATTGCCCAAATTATAACAGTGTAAATTGTATGTACAAATTACAGGCTTGTATTGTAAATATTAGCCCATGCAGAAAGCAACAAATGTTATAAATGAGAACTTTTTATTGAGCTACATGTATACCTACTGAACATGTATTACAGGTTACAGTGGAAGGTTTAGATGCACATGCATCTGCAGTATGTTGAGTTAAGATTAGCTTCTGTACAATACAATTGTAATACCTTTTCACCTTTTTCAACAGCAAAGATATGGAAACATAGTAGCCTACAAGTGGTAAGTGCAATTTTAAATTTGATAATTTTAAATTTGCATAGGCACTCTGTGGTATCAGTTATTCTATAGTGGGGGTTTCAACTGGTATTAAAGATTTTCTCCTGTGAGTACACAGTACAGTTTTTCAGTTTATTTTTTTAAGCTAGTACATAATAAGTATCTAATTTATATTTGACTTAATATATATTTAATGGTCTATGATGCAAATCTTACTTTTACATAAATCCAGAGCTTCAAGATGTCTGTGTGATTTTCCTTTTTCTGCTAAAAAGGTTTCTCAGTCTTGCCAAATAAAAGAAATCTATTGTATGTTTTAAAGCATAGATAGATGCACCATCACTTTTTATAATTTGCAAGTGCTCCCCTTAACAATTCAGCGCTACAAGTTGTGACTGTTTTGGTTGCCATGGCAAGTGAAGAATATATCTGGCGATTAATATTTCGACACAAGTTGCCAATTGGCGGCTCAAAAAACCGTTCCATTAAACTTCCATATAAGCATAAACCTAAAATGAACAGAGATCAAGTCAATTGATTTCATTGAGATAAACTTCATTTTGTATTTTCCAATATTGCATGTAGCATTTAACCATAACTGTTAACTTTGCATTAAGAGTTATGGTGAATAAATGTCAAGGCAACCATAGTTTTTTATATGGCAACCGTTTTACAATTGAAAAATTGAACTTGGAGCCGGCATGTACATGTAATAGTATATATGGTAATTGTGGTTATCATCGTGGTTATCATCATCATTATCATCATCTTGGCCAACATCAATTTCATCTTCATTTTTATTTCTTCACAGGTTTGGTGATGGCTACATAATGTTGGGTTTCTCCAATGGCTATTTTGTTGTGATCTCTACTCATATGAAGGAGATAGGACAGGTACTGGAAAACTGTTGGATCAACTGTAACAATGGATATTAACTCACATCTGTAATTGGCAACATTAGTGTGACTAGTCTTCAGAAAAATAAATATTTTTTGTACTTGGTACTGTAAATGATTAAATTTTTTCGATGTTGACCTCAAGCCAAACAAATCTTTACAAGAGGACTTTCAACCAACATAAGGACCAGCTACCAGTTGGCTGTCAACTCAGTTGGTAGAGCATAGAGCACCGGTAACGCACAGGTCATGGGTTCAAATCCCATACAGGCCTGAGTTTTTTTTACAGGCCTTATTTTCACTCCTGCTTAAATAAGCAGTGTTCATCACTGCAAAGATTGCTTTCGTATTCAGAATTTTCACTACATGTCGAACTTGTAATTGTGTTACTGAGTGCCATATTTAGCCTTTATTTGCCTGGAAACTACATTGTACAGCTCACCAAGATCAAGATTCTCCATCTTGTCTCAATAATGAAAGTTGTATTTGGAAGTCTGTTTTGTATTCTTTTCTATTTTTGTATAGGATGCTAGTTGTCTATCTCATAGGATACCCCAAGTATTTCCTTTCCATTGGAGGGTTACTTTGAAGTTGCCTGCGTTACTAGCGGTCTGCTGTTTTGGGGGCGGAGAGAACCGCAGACTGCCAGCAACGCAGGCTAGCTTTGAAGTTAACAGAGGCCCCGTGAGAGTAACTTATTTCCCAAAACTTAACGCACTGACTTTTCTGTAACGCTACCTTGGACATCTCCATCCAGAGTCCAATACAATAAACATTGGTTCAGCGCGTCTCCTATCCTAGTAGTGGTAAGAGTTTTAATGAGCAATTTTGTTGCCTTCTGCTGACAGGAATTGTATCAAACAAGGGATCATAAGGATGAGCTGACAGGCATTGCCATGTCTCTTGAACTTAACAAAGCAGCCTCATGCGGCGACAACTGGTATGGCCAGCTTTAATTTATATATGTGACATTTATGATAATTATTAATTTAAACAGACTTAATTACCTTCAGTTAGAAATGTACAAAATATTCTCGTGTTCTTCCAAATTGTGGGTTCTTTTAGGGGTAAATAATCAGAGGATAGAGTTTATTGGTGTACTATGGTAGAAAAAATGTTATACTGTAGACAGCTTCAACCAGCAAAGATCAGGAAAATTTTATGAAATACCTGAACTAGTTGATAATGTTACAATATGACATGTTTTATTTTTATTTCACCAGTATTTAAATACAGCACAGTAACAATTTAACATGATTTTCCTTTATTTCAGTGTAAAGATTCATGACTTGGCAGAGATGAAGGAGATCTATGCTATAATTACCATAGAGGATGCGGGAGGTATTGTTAAATGGTGTTTTTAGTTAGTGACCAGTAAGGAGAAATAATATTTTTGTATTGTATTCTGTCAGTTCTCAACTCTTCGAAATTCAACAATAAATTTTCTCCTAAAAGTACATGTACAACTTATGTGGGTAAGGACATGTAATGAGTGCATCTCAGATTTTCTCAAAGCAAATTTTTGGTTTTATAATGAAATCAAACGATTTGAAGCCCAGAATAAGTTGAAATGTAAACCTTCAGATTATTTTGATGAAAATTGAAATTCCGTCTATATACAGTGCATATGAAAAATATGCTCCTATACACCCGTTTAGTCGGTTTCCGTGGAAACAATTTTGGTCTTGTTTATTTTAAGTTTGACAATTTGTGACGGAAACAAACTTCATATAAATGAATTAGATATACAGCGTGTTGTTGAGTACACGTTCAAACAGGAAGAGACAATTGGAGAGCTCGAGGTCCAGTTACATTTAGTAGGTGTATATTTGGCTGAATGAGTGGATTTTTGAGGCGTACGGACATGTGAGAACAACTTGAACTGTGGCCACCACTGATAATTGCAGATGATAACAATTTTTTTTGTTCGCTCCCCCTCATGTCCTTATTCCTGACCATTTTGTAAAAACCTCTTGCATTAGACCTCACCAAAATATGTACCACATACCAATGCACATTTGGCATGTGTTTTTTACCAAACGTTTTGCAGTATCTCTTCGTATAATCTCTTGACACGTATCTTTCGTCATGCAAGTAATGTTTGGAGAGCTTTGGGAGTATACATTTCTATACTATCTATAAGGCCTGCAATCCGCTGCTTGTTGAGAATTTTACAAACGATAAAAAGTTTGTCTTATAATTAACACGAGAAAGGAAGGATCTCTTCTACATGGAGATTTTGGTGACGAATGAATAAAAATTGCCAATGATTCTTTATTAGCAATGTAGTAGACATGGTTTGATCTATTTCCGATCTATTTAAGACACGTTTAACCACTACTCAGTGGGTTACTGTCTTACTAAATCCTCTAGGTACTCCAAGCTGGACCACTTCTAAGTACTGAGTTACATGTAGCTCTAAACACTATATTTAATCTTTGTGTGTTAGGACACCTGGACAAAATCTCCTGGACAGAAGATGGACAACTGCTGGCTGTTAGCACTCAGTCAGGTATAATTACTAACAATCTCTAAATGTGTAACGACTCGTACAAAGTCTACATTTTAATTCGATTCAATCTCGATTATTACCCAGGTGCAATATATGTTTATCTTACAAAGTTACCTGTCCTTGGTTGTGCCAGCGGAACACGATTGTCATATCTAACATCCCTCAAAGAGGTAATGGTAGTATTTGATTTGATTATTTGATGGAAGAATCCAGACTACAAATGACTATATGCTTCGTCGGGTGATTGTTTTTACTTTGAGATATTCTCACATAGAAAATCTTAAACGATTTAAGTACCGAGTAGTCTCTCTGTACAGCTTGCGCTCACATATATTGCGAATTAAGCTTCGCCTTAGTGGCAATCGTCAAACGTTGGGCATGCGCGAAGGAATCACTTCTGGCCACTCGCGCGCCAATTTCCCGCGCAAAATTGTAAGAGAAAACATAAGAAACAAGTGCTGTCTCGCGAAAAAAAAGCGAAGGAAAATTGGAATGTTCTCAGAAATCTGTGAAAGGAAACAAAGGTAAGGAAAGAGGAGGAAAACACGAGCTTTTTCGAACTCAAAGCTTCTTCTAGTACGGATATCCTGTTGATTTACCATTCTGTTTTAAGCCTCAACAAAAAAGCTATACGCTTCTAAAACTCAGTGATACGTAGAATCGTGTTGTTGTTTGTAACTCGTGTGAGGCAATTCCGTTCTGGCAGATTTTAAGTACGGCACCTAGTCATTACCATGTTACTACATGCGCAGACATTTGACCGCTGTGTTTCGCCGTTCAGTTCTATAAGTTCCTGCTAGAACACTACCATTATATGCAGTTTGATCTTTCAGTCAGTTTAAACCATTGAAATGGCATGAAATGTCTTCTTATAAGCGAAATTAATCAGGATTGCTTAAAGACTCGTATAGAATAACGTTTTATCGGGAAGAAGTTCATGGAACAGTTGTGTTTAACAGAAACATATACGTAACGGTTTTATGATTATTGATCTGTTTTCCTGATGTTTTCAGGTGACGATTGTGGACAATGTGATGCAGGTAATTGATTTGAATCTTAGTGATCGAAATACAGACCCCTTAATTCTGGCAAATTATAACGGTGTAGAAGACACAGTGGATCAGTGGCTAATACGTTGAACTGCAAGTCGTGAAGTCTGGGTTCGAGTCGTGGTCTAGGTCTCTGCTTTGGGTTTTTATACAAAGTTACTTACTTTCACTGTGCCCGTCTCCACCCAGGTTGGAAGTATGATTGGGTGCGGCGAACTGTCACGGAAACTTGAGGAAATAAGGGAGGAATGGGACGAGCGCGGATAACACTGGGAAGAAATTGCATCTTGTCCAGGGAATGATAGCAATACTCCCAGTCGAGAACCTCATCCCAGTTTCACTTGCAATGAGGTTCGATAGTATGGGCTGTCTCGCTCCTAAGCTACTTTTAACCCCAGGCAATTCACTTTCTGGCTCTCTGAGGTAGCGATTGTTGATTCTCAAGCTTTTTCTAGGAGAATGCATGTGACAAGATGAAATAATAGTGATAACAGACGTGTATTTTGTTCTACAATGTTTTCCACAGGAGCGACCTCTGAGTGTGGATATCATCGTAGAGCCAAACTTTGTGGCGCTGGGGCCATATCATCTGGCCGTAGGAATGAATAATCGTGCTTGGTTTTATGCTTTAGCTGACAAAGGTAAGCTGTTACTGTAAAGCAAACCAGCTTCGCTGCTTACTTAGCCTCATAGAACTACATATTTTGAAATGAAATCGCCTACTCGTTGCAAGATTTCTCGTATTACAGTATTTTCGCATTAGAAAGGTTTTCAAAATCGCCGTACAGTGCACTTTCTCCTAAAACTGAAAAGGAGCTAAACTGAATCGGCAGAAAATAAGTTGTAGTAATTTTTATTTAAGGGTAAGTCGCTCTGTTTTATTCAATGCTGAATAATTCAGTCTGAAAACAATAGTATAATGCTGCTGCAGTAAATGTATATCAAGAGAACCACTCAATGTGAAGAACTAGTTACAGCGAGAGGTAGAACATAAGCCTAGCTAACATTAGATTGCGTTTATGAGAAAACGTGGATTTAATTCTAAGGTGTAAGTTACAAAATCCACTGTCTTCTTAAATGTAACAGCCCTAATTTCATATTTTGGGAAAAGTTGGTGCTTGCCTTGTTTGGACAGAACTTGTATACCGAAAGTTGTTTTATCGTTTTGTCGATATTTCACGAGCTTGGGAAAAAAAAAAATTAAGTCCTTACCCAGAATCGAACCTCAGACCTTCGGATTCTGCGCTCTGAAGCTCCACCACTCAACCAATGAGACTCTATGGTAAACAGTGCCCCTGCTGGGTTCATGTACTGCTTGGATCGCCTTGTGTTCGGTAGAAATATATGAAAAATATTTCGTTGTTCAACATTAATTACAAACTTGTGTATCAACAGGTCCTGAGCAATTGAAGGATCGAGAGTATCTCGGTACAGTCAATGCCATTCATCTGAACGCTGATTATGCTGCTGTTCTTTTTGAAGGGAAAGTTCAGCTTCATTTGGTAAGAAAGACAAGCTTACATAAAAGCTATCGTTAGAAAAAGTAAAATATAGCAATCGATTGTCACAATTAATTCGAGATTTTTCTTTTATCAGCTTCTTAAGAAACTGTTGAGCTGTGGTGGGGAGAGGGGGTGGGGGCAAGTGCAACAGAATTGTATTTACGACAGCTAAACTACAGTAAGGAATTTTCAAAACCTTTGCTCTGCACTCTTTGATTGGTTCAGGGTCTCGCGCCTCTCTTTCAACCAATTAGATGTCACATTTAAGTTTTTGTCAAGAGGACTCTTCCGCTGTAGGTTCTCTTTAGCTCCTTTCGAAATATACTTTGTCTGATTTACCGTTGTAATTGCATTGACTTTGATTACTGCAATTTTCAATTTAAGGGATTTCTTTTCAACAAGTAGTTCAGTTTTGCTTTTATGTTTGCCTCGACGAACTCGCTCATGTATTCGTACGACGAAGGCAAGCGTATCCCACAGTGCTGTTAGACTTTCAAGCCTTTTTCGGGAAGACCGTTGGTACCTTGCCTAATTGGCATTAGCAGCTTAATGAAGATTATAACGTGAAAAATAGTGTTAATTTTGAACGTCTTCAAGAAGTGGGATGCAGTTGACATAAAAAGACTGTCTATTTCTTGCAAGCCTTTTGTTTACTGTGAGCAAATAAAGAGTGGTTTCAGTAACTGTAAGAGTGGTTCAGGTTCCTCAGTTAAGCGCTTCACAGGAAATCCAATTGAAACGTTAATAGCGGAGCTCGCAGAGCGTAGCCCCATGATTATACAAAATACATCAAGCCGAAAAAATTTGGATGTACGACCGTACGACCGTACAAGGTGCAACTTTTAACATGCGTGGTCAACTGTACCGCGGGTACGCCAACGCCACGGCTATGTCCAGTAGTCCAGTGGTCAGTGCTCTGGGCTCCGAGTCGGACGACTCGGGTTCTAGTCCTGGCCGGGGCAAGGCGTTGTGCCCTTGAGACGTGCGGGAAAAAAATGCGAGCTCCGCTTTTAGGCTTGGCTAAATCTATATATTTATTACATATATGCTATCGCAGATTGAAGGAGAAGCTTTGGATACAACAGATGACCGAGAGACCAGACTGTTCCCGGATAAAGGCAATCAAGGACGGATCACTAGCTGTGCTTTGACTTCTGACTTTCTAATCTATGGCACGGATGTAAGTGGAAGTTTTTTCGTCAAAATCTGTTTGAATTTCAAAGATGAAAGCGCGAACTGTATTTGTGGGCAAGTGTATGTCCAAGGTTTATTGTAATATGGCGCGTGCGCAAGTCCTACTTAATTCCTTAGGAGCTACCACTGGTAAAAATCCTCAAGTACGCACGGCCGTGCATCTATACCACGATGTGTAAAAGTTCCCGTTAAGTTCAGCCGCGTGGTTTCAAAACTTTCATAATTGTTTTTCTGTTCTATCCTGATTGAGATAGCCCTTTTGGAGCAAAAAAGGAAGAAAAATTACGCTTAATGATACTCGTTTCGAAAAGCAGTTGGAGTTGACAATACTTCATTCCCAAACGCCATGCGAACTATGGCTGAAAACAATTCCTGTTTTCAACTGAGGCTTTGCGACGTTGGGGACTCTTTATTAGAACCGTAAATACTATTTTGAAGTGTTGATATGCCCCAAAAGTGTCATTCAATTTCAACTCAAAGTTACGCAATTTTCTGATTGTAAATTCTAGAAGACAACAATTGAAGATAAATCTATCGAAATCTACCACACGGGTCTCTTAAATACAAGAAATTTGTAAATTTTCGCTTCGATATTCAAATCGTTGATATAATTTTTAGAGTTGATATTTCCTAAAAGTATTGTTGAATGGAAGATTTTTATTTTAAAGCCGTACAATTTCAGAATTTTTAACACAGATCTACAAAATTTTATGGCCACTAATTCTAGTAAACAACTATCCAAGCACACTGAATCCACTACGCAGAAATTCGTTCGTTTTTCGCTTCTGAGCAGAAAATTCACACTTCTTTATTTGGTCTCGAAATATTTCTTGGTCATTTTTGCCCTGTCATTTATTTATAGTTTTCGGGTAGAACACGGTTATCTGGGATATCCGACACAGTTGTGATTATTTCTTTGTTCGAGCATAACTTGCGTCTGCATGCTATGTTATAAAAAGAATTGGTTCATTCTTTAGCTGTGCCTTTATTGAGTTTTGGACGTACTAGGGAAGTTTAAAGAGCACTCAAGAAGCTAGAGTTGCTCTCGGCTCCGCCTCGAGGAACTCTTACGCTTCTCTCGGCTCCGCCTCGAGGAACTCTTACGCTTCTCTCGGCTCCGCCTCGAGGAACTCTTACGCTTCTCTCGGCACCGCCTCGAGGAACTCTTACGCTTCTCTCGTGCTCTTCAAACTTTTCGCGTTACATCTATCACTCGATATACGTACGCTAAGCATGGACGAAATCTATGTAGACCCACTGTTTAGTCTTCTTTATGGAAAGACCCACACAGCTTAATTCTTCCGGCCTTTTTATCTGTTTTATGTATCCATAATTCTAAAGCGGATTTTTTTGTGGCATTTTAGAATGGAAGCCTGTTTTATTTCTTCATCGAAGATTGGCAGTTTGTCAATGAATTCAGACATGTAGTAGGTGAGTGGTAAGTTTAGACTTAGAAACTGAAAATTTTCTGCCTCGTTAGCCTACTATTAGGATTTATTTTGATCGTTGAACATTTCTTAATGCGACTTTGTGGTATCTTTTTTAAATGAAGTAGTTATATATGTATTTAGGTGTAGTTGTCTGTGGCAGGAAGACATATATTGGTAGTGAGACAGACAGAAAGACATAGTCAGTTAGACAAATATATAGTCAAACAGACAGACTAACAGGCCAACAGACAAACAGACCGAAAGACATATAGACAGATAAGCAGCCAAACAGATAGACAGACAAACAGACAGACTAACTGATGGAAAAACAGCAAGAAGTCAGTTGGGTAGACAGATAGACAGACGATCACACAGACTGATTGACAGTCTGACTGACTTATAGGCAGATTGACCGAAACGGTCTGAAAGTTGAACTATCCGAATGGCACAGAACCTGATGAAATGAAATAGAAGCAGGTGGATCAATATTTATGCAATCAAGAACGCCTCCTATCGGTTTAGCCGATTAATACGCACGACAAGAAAAGTTTGTTAGTCACGAAACTGAGGTGAATGATTTTAAGTCTTGCCAATAGGCAATAATATCACCAATAGTAAATAGTTTGGTAAACAGATCCAAGTTTAAAAGTTACATTAGCCATGAAATCATCAATTTCCTTTGTAACACCATTATTTGGGTACTGTTCATTCAAAGGCATTAAAAGGATCTTCCCAGATGTTAGTGGGACTCATCTGGTGTTCATCGATGAAAAGAGTGATGGATTTGTTTACAATCCTGTGAGTATTCAGTCACATGTGTCATTTATCCTAATTGCAAGTTTTCCTTTACATGACTAAAAACTGACCTACCAGGTTTTGGTGTCACCCCAAGCAGATAACATGACTACTCCGGAAGTTTTCCGTGACCAGCAAAGTTGACATGTATTTTTCTCCAAGTATATGACAATGTATGTGTGTATGACTTGTTTCAGAAAGTTTACTTGGGTGGAAGCGGCTTAGCTTCAATACATCGAAAATTTTAAATTATGATGTGTTGTACCCTATTCACACAGGCAAAACATGTTTTTTTAAAGTGGTTTTTACTGAGTGAAAATTATAAACAGAGAACCGAAAAGCTTCATTTTCCATGGGATTCAAGCGCGTACTAACTTGCATTCCCAATGTGCTGCATTTAAGTTAAAAAATATTAGGCGAATTAGTTTCTACGAAAAAAAAAATGTGTTGAACAAAAAAATATTAAAACATGTTTAAGCTTGATTGTGAATTGGGTATTAGATAGAAACCCATTTCACATGAAATAGCTTCCATTTTCTTTAATTGTAATATTTATGTTACAGCTGTTAACATCTACCTCAGATCTCAGGTTCTGGCTTCCCAGAAAACTGGATCGACACAACTTGGCTTAGGCAACGAGATTGCTCATTGACCGTCAATAAACTCGGTACAAACAACTTAATAAAATTTAGGACGCAAAGGATGAGGTATGGGGGGAGAGAGAAAAGATTAATTCAAGCACGCAGCTTGCCGCCACCCAAAGATCGTGTTCCGCTTTCTCCTTGCTTTGCGTACACGATTTTAATTTTCCTCTCTCTTCTTTGGAAGCCGCCTACCGTAGTAGTGCGAGCTACTTTTAGTTGAATTCTCTCAACTTCCTAAATTGTTTGCTTTTCGTTATGGAAAGGGTAAAAAGTGTTGTTGTCATTGTCTTGCAGGTCAATGATGCCACTTTCGAGATTCCCAACTTTTCCCCGAATATAAGAGGCATTGTTTGGGAAAATTGGCCTCTAGACAAGGTAAATTTATTCATAGCTATCTACAACAAGCTGGGAAATGTGTCCAGTGCTCTCCTTTTGCAATGTCATGAGCTCATCAAAAACGAAAATTCCTTTCAAGAATTGTCACCTGACTTGGTAGCCATGCATTAACAAGTTCGAGTTACAACTGGACTTAGCCAATGATCGAAACCGTGATTTAGGTTTTCGGTCACCGGGGTTGGAAACAACTTGTTACCGCAAAGCGGTTAACTGATTTCTGCCATTACTACGGGGCAAAAAACTTTTGATGGTTTATTTCTTCTTCACTTGTTCGAAGTCTTCCTGGAACCTGTAAGATGACTTACAAGTACGTCTGTGCGTCTGCTTATTACATCAAGCATGTAAGAAAGAACTTCCGTGGTAACACGCGAAGGCCAGGAACAGCACAGCGGTCGAACGTCTGGGATGTGCGAGGAGATCAATTTTGGCCGCCTACCCGCCAATTTCCTGCATGTCTCTCAAAACAAAAACGTTACTTCTCACATGTCGAGTTCAATTTGGAAGTAGATTTGTACTTTTCTTTTAGGACGTGTTCTGTGGTTACGATGAAGATAAAGTGTATACCTATATCTTCTACAGAGATACTGTAATAGGTGAGACAGTAGAGAGTTTATTAAAACGTCTACACGAATAAGACAAGGGCAAGAATCAAATTTTGCTATCTGTCATTTCTTTGCTTTTTTTTCATAAAAAATTATATTAAGACAGCCTTTTTCCAATTATTCGCTTGGTTTGATGGCATTTGCAATCTTTTCCATTTCTGAGGAGGGATTTAGTTGGTTTGGTTTTGCTGGTTTTAATGCTTCTGTTATTATTTTTTTTAGGGCCCCAGTGTATAATGGCGGGAACCACCAAGCTGCCTTACGCTCAAAAACCCCTCATGTTATACGGTGGTGAAATGACGTGTCAGACACAGAGCGGCAAGGTATAGCAATTCAAACGTAACTCATGAATAGCAGTCAACTAAAGCGGTTATTTTTACTTCTAACATGCTTGGCTCCGCGTTGAGGGCGATGTGAAACCAATCATTTACCCTGCTTGGCCATCGCGAGCGGGTAAGGTGGGCCAACCTTGCCTGTTTGGAGAGGCCGGTGTTCTTAAGTCATAGAACAAAATTCTTCATGGTAATCTTTACTCAAACAAGATTATTCTATTTTGGCGTATGTTGCTTTCAAAATTGGGAATTCAAGCAGTAGGGATGTGTGACATGTGACACATTATCTAAGCAGTGGCCTAGCTCACTATAGAGTTTCTGTGGCTCAGTGGTAGAGTATCGCGGCGCGAAATCCGAAGCTCTGAGGTTCGTTTCCTCATGGGGATTCATTTTTTCTTCGTCCCCCACAGTTTTCTCCTTTTCTGGCGGTAACTGGTAAAGTTTACCGCCTTTTGTACCTCTTATTACTGCCTATAATCGTTTGGAATTCAACTGGTAAAACGATTGCTCGACTAGATTGAACCTTTACCTTTTGCTTAAGGTGAGGGAGAACAATGCAGCACGCTGGTGAAATGATATCTTTTTATACTTCACCACTGAGCTTACTATTTAAACTCCTATCTTTATTATTCTAAATTATCTTTTATCGCCTAAGCTCTTTGGGTCAAGATGGGTGGATATTGCTTTGTTCTTGGCGTCATTGATTTGGATGAACCTCGACTTCTGATCGCTCCATGAAAAAGAGATCTTTGCCTCTATCCAACCATGCTGAGCTAACAAGTTCTGTTAATAGTAAGAATATTCAAACCAAATTTCTTCATTGTGGATTTCTTTCATCCATTGCTATGTGAGTCAACTTTGTGTGAATTAAGTCGTTCCTCGACCCCTATTCGATCATCTTCGTGGCCATTTTCTGGTGAGAATCAAGTGCTGCTTCGTTTTCGAATTAGGCAGCATAACTGTAGCATTATTCGTGGTGTTGATATTGATTTCATTGTTTCACAGACCTCCAAACTCAGTCTTACCACGCATTTATTTCACGAGAAGCCTCAGGATCTTCCACAATCTGATGTAAGTTTATTTTTAAACGCCGTGAATGGCCTTTACTTTGGTATCATGAATACTCCAGTCAGAATGCGGAAAGATATTGAGTGTAATTTTGAAGTTTACGGTAAACAGCAAAATATGGTTGTGATTTCGCCAACATTTCCTAGTGTCTCCTTTAATTTTTAAGCGAGGGAAATAGAAAAAAACAACCTATTCAAATAAATTAAAGTATTTTAAAATAAGTTCACAAAGAGATGATTGCAGATGACGAGGAAGTAAACATTTGCCAGTTGCTGTAAACTTCATGCGGAATTCCTCGGACACTGAGGATCGAAATGTACTAACAACAGCGAATAAAAACGTACTGAGAACAGTCTACACAGCAGCCTAAAAAAAAAAAACGCAAGAGGCGGAACGCCATTACACTGGACAAAGATTCAAAAGGCTTGTGCGATGAAAGCCGTCGTTTTTGTTTTATCTCGTAAATGACACCCTTCAATCCAGTTCTCTCACTATCCCCAGTACCCCCAGTTTCTCTAAGCAACTCCAATACCTTCACAATTGTAAATCTCTTTTTTCATGGCTTAATTAGAGTTTTTTTGTATCCCCTCTTCATTCTAATTGATCGTCTTCTTGTTTGCACTTACAGTTAAAAACCTCATTCAATCACTGTCTGACGTTGAAACGGTAAGTTGATTTCCAAGGCGTTTCTTGCATCCTGTAATTGTTTTTGATATGATGTGAGACTAAAATATTTTCAATTTGGTGTCGAAAGTAATCCAGCTTTGCATAGCTTTTGTTGTGAATTCATCTGTGATTGGTGCACCAACGCCAGATTGAAACCAATCACCAATTGCCGTGCCACATCATTCGATTTCCCATTGGCTCATTGCAGTATTTTCCTTTTTTCTCATTGGGTGTTGTGATTACTTTTATACTTTGGTGTAGTTTCAAAGATGCATGGACGCTGGCTCGCATCCTGGATTCCAAAGATTCTTGGATCGAACTGGGAAAAAAGGCGATCTATCATTTGGACATTGAGCTTGGTGAGTTGAACTAAGCTTATTTTCGCATATGTTATGGGTAAAATAGAGAAATTTTCAGTTGAGTATCGATAGTAATCCGGGAGTGCTTTGTTCTGGCGTTCCTTCGCACAAAACTAGAACCAAACGCGACTTGATCGCCCGCGTTTTCCCGCGCTCTACCCAGTTCGTTTGATTTTTTTAAAATTCTCATTGGCTCTTAAAGTTATTTTTCTCTCTTCAGCTTTACCACTGTCATTACTTTAGTTTTGGTTGCTACAATCAATCAATCAATCGTTTATTTATCCACATAGCGTGTAGTGAGCTGGAAAGCTCGTTCAAAATACATACGTGGTACGAAAATCGCTCTTATCGCAGTTTGTTGTACACCTTTCATTTCAAAGAAGCTGATGGGATTTTCTCCTTACAGTTTTGATAATTTGAATCGTTAACCTTGCACGATAAAAGAAAGATATTATCTACTGATCAGACGAGTGTTTGATACATTGGTTATTTAACCCTTTACATCCTAACCTTTGTATGCATATTCTCCATACTGTTCTGTTGTCTGTTTACTTTTCCTACTGAGCTGGCAAGGAGAATTGTTTAACAATCAAGATTTTACATAGTTGGTGATCATTTCCTTTACTCTCGTTACCTCAATGTTTGATTCAGGGGCTATATTGTAAGGAGAAATTAGATGCTAGTCTCTCTTAGGGTTTAAAGGGTTATTACTTTGGTGGATGACCGACGTTTTCCATCCTTAGGGACCTTTAGCAGTTAGGACGGCAACGTCAAGGAAGAAAATAAATAATATTTTCAGTCGGAATTTTGCGAATGACTGGATGTGTTTACCGTCTCTTAAGGCACCACAAATTAACCTCAACACAACGTATGAGAGCGGTGTTGAGTTCCAAATGGAAACTTAAATAATCTGCTTTCGGGGTTTCCTTTCGCGGACCACGTGAATTTTGATGATTTCATGTAGTTATTTTGCAGAGGGCGGCTAAGAAATGTACACAGTTTCAAAACGCACGTGCTGAGCTATTGTTCTGTTCATTAGATCTGTTGTTTTGCCACGTCCTCGTTGCTGTCGCCGTCGTGGTTTGCTAAAGTTCCCTATTTATATTGCTAACTTGTGGATAACGAAGACTGGTTTGTTACCACTTGTCAAAGAAAGTGCTTTCAAGCTTTAAGATTCCGTAGGCTCATATCACACCTCTTTTTTAAATTCATTTTTTCTCTAAAGGTCGATAGCTTTTATTTGAGTGATTTATTTTCTCTAGTGAGCCCAACATTGCAGTTCTCCCAACAAATAGAAAATCCTGTCGCTAGAAAAACCAATAGGAAGAGAATATGTACACATTTGGTTCTGAATTGGAATCACGTACTTCATTCTGTCCGCTTATAAGGTGTTTTGATGTTTTGAAACTTTTTTCGATATTTCACCTTTGCTAGCCAGGGGCGAACAACGATTTTTTGCACATGTAGTTAAGATTTGTCTTACATGTAACATTTTTTGTCGGCAGCTATCAGAGTGTACCGAAAGATGGGAGATGTTGCCATGGTCCAGTCTCTAGAGAGTATCGAGGTAAAATGAACAGAACTCTAAATTTCGTAAATGAAGTCACTTGACTGTTTTTGGCTGTTAGAACATTAGGGATGGCTGAACTGACAAAGAGAGTAGCTTTGCATTTAGTTGATTATGATATAGAAAAGGGTAAGAGAGGTAGTTAAACCGCCGTAACGAATCTCGAGAAGCTGGCTTTTAAGTAACCTTTACACCGGAGCACTTTTCCTCAGCGGGATAAATGAAACCCGGGTTATAAAGCGTTTGTCTTCATTTTTGTGTCAAATGGACCAAAACAACAAACGATCAGATGTGTTTGTCCACATTTATTGTATGCCGTGTATCCTGTATGCGAATCGAATGTATTATTGATCCTTTTCTGTTCCTTCATCAGGGAACTGAAGACAAACATCTCCTGGCCGGATATGTTGCCATGTTTCTCGAAGAATACAGTACAGCACAGGTGAGTGGAAAAGTAGATGACAACAATTTCACATGGTTCCTTCGCGATAATGTTTTTGTTTTTGTTTTTGTTTTTGTTTTTAATAACTCTTAATTTCTGTCGGGCATGTTTCTTAAAAAAAGTACAGGGTCTCGAAACTATAATTCGAGGAAAAGGTTTTGATTAAACTGTTAAGTTTGCTCCATGACCTCTTACGTTATGTTATCCTTTTCGTCCCAAGAAAGATTTCTCGCGCACAATTGTAGGCTTAACTATGCAGCCGGACCTTAATTAGGAATGTCGAAATAGGACAACAACGCAACAAACGGCAAGATAAAAACCTTCCACATGACAAAAAACTTGGACAAACTAGCTCCCAAAATTATTATCGTCTGCCCACTGACTGTGTATAATCATTTTATTATCGTAGGATTTGTTTCTTGGCTCAACATATCCGTTGGCTGCGCTTGAGGTTTGTATCGTTATAACTTGAGAATCCCTTTATTAACATGAAGTGTTTTTCTTATTGGATGTGAATGTTTTTACTGGATCTGGTTCGACAATAAATCAGTCAAAAGGCGTAGTGTCCGAAGATTGTAAATGGTAACCTGCCAAATCAGTCTTCATAACTGAGTTTGGCATCATCATATTTAGTATCAGTGACAACCAAGGCTTTAAGGGAGTATGATACGCTTGAATAGATTTCTACCTTTTAGGCTTGCATATGCCACTCATCGCAAAGGAACACATAATCATAATCTTCATTTCACGAAGGTGACACGCGTGAATTTGAATTTGACGATGTCTCGGAGGTGGTGGATATTTTGCCGCAAGGCCGGGAAATTCCTCGAAAGCTGATGCTATTAGTGTATTTGTTGGAGCGAAAGTTAAATTATTGTTTTCGTGCTTCAGATGAGGCGTGACTTACTTCACTGGGACCAAGCCCTTGAGTTGGCCAAGAGTCTGGCACCCAATCAGATTCCTTACATTTCAAGAGAATACGCCCAGCAGCTGGAGTTCACGTGAGATATATTATGATCTTTGGGAAACTTTTTCGCCAGTGCTCTCGCAGAGGATCCCAAACTTTCCCTTGAATACAGTGCCCCAACAAAGAGGTTCCATTAAACGTGACTCTCTGGAATGCAATAGCAGCTGTCATTTCTACAATGAAACCTGTCTCAGGGCGCCTTTGTTCGAGGCACATAAACTTTTGTCCCTGATGAAGCTTTGTCGTTGTCACCTTTAGTAAAGGAACACACACTGTTCAGGTAGCAATGTTTCTTGCACCAAGGATACCCCCCCCCCACCCGTGTAAATTTAGTACTTCATGATCAACTTAATTTTTTTAGCATGGTTTCAATCAGTATTCTTACCGTTTCTGTGTAATTTTTGTTTCCTACAGCGGAGACTACAGTAATGCTCTGCTTCACTATGAAAAAGGAGTAACCAAGTTGCCAGAGGTAAGTTTTATGACTTTGTTTATTACCTCGTTGGGATGGACTGGCATCCCATGGGGGGAGGGGGGGAAGGGGGAAAGTGATACTCCTAGTGGCTTCATACTTCGATAAAAGGGATAAGCTCCGACTAGCTCGAGAACCGACTTTAACCTTTTTCTTTAAGTGCTGATATGATCAAAAAATCACTTTAACTTCTCTCTTAAAATTTCGAAAACATTTGCAATAAGTACTTACCATGCCAATTTTTTTGTCTTAACTTCTACTTATTTTCACTGCGAATTCTCGTTTCGACTGTCTGACATCACTGGCATGGTTTGGATCTCGTCCCGTAATAAAAAATTAAATAATACATTCGGGATATAGCGTTAGTTACTATTATGTAGTCAAAATCTCAACATGACCTCGAAAAAGAAAGGAAAAAAAGAAATGCCTCTACTTTTTCGCTCTAGCTACTTTGTATGATGATAATGATTGCCAAATTGATATCTCTTTCCTCATATTATCTTCAGAAATCTTTTTATTTGTTGTTCCCATAGAAACGTGACCACGATGAACTGTGTATCGGTGGAATGGCAAGAATGGCAATCAGAGTAGGAGACATAAGAAGGTTTGTGAAAATTTCAAAACAATAAAGCTGGGTCCGCCAGCGAGCAACATGAAGCGAATTAGACGTTCACTCAATTAAATTTTGTTTGATTTTCAGTTACGAAACTCTTCATATGCCAGAAACTTACAAGAATAAAGAAAGTTTTTTTGAACACTTTTTTCTACACGAGCTTAGGACATAGAAGGCTCATGAAGGCCTCAGATTTTCCCTCTTTCCTCGAACGTGTCAAAGTGCTAGCATTCTCTAAGTTAGAATTGATTTTGAGAGTTGATATTGATATTGATGTCGATGGAATTATAGTTTTAAGCTGAGTTTAAGTTGCTGAGCTAGAAAAAGAAGTTATGAGTCGTTATTTGATTATTTTTTAAAAAAGATATCTGTATTTTTAGAGGTGTGAATTATGCTGCTAAGAGTCCCAGCAGACCGCTAAAGAAAGAGTGTGCTACTATCTTGGAGTCAATGAAGGTAGGTGCACGTTGAAAAGCAAGCTTTTCTAGCTTGACAAGTCATATGTCAGACAAGAGGGCAATAACTCCCTTCCCGTTAATAAGCTAAATTGATCTTGTTTATGGAAGAGACGCCGCGGCGTGATTGTAAGGTAACCGGGCTCCTGATCGAGAGGTCTGAGTACGTCTGAGTCCTGTGTGGTTTTATTGGGCGACATTTTACTCTCCTTTTGCTTCATTCCGCCCAGGCTCTGGTTTTTCGAGGGCTGGATAACGCTATCCACTGGATAAATCTCTATCCGGTGGATAGTGCAGTACGTTTTATTGACACATCCGCTGGATAGCGATTTTCCAACGGATAACGTCATCCGCCCCTAAAACAACTGGGCCCAGGAATATAAATGGGTACGAACAAAGTGCGAAAGTAACTTGAAGAATTGCTGGGAGTTTACTCCTAAAACTTAACCAGTAAGTTTTTGTTATTCTTTGAATAATTATGAAATTTTATTGATGGGTTTCATTCTCAGCAATATTCCGAGTCAGCTCTTTTGTTTGAGAAAGGACAATACTGGGAAAAGGCAGCTGCTGTGTACATCAAGACTAAGAATTGGTGAGTACACAGAGTAATACTGAGTGCAAACAGAAGATAGTTATTCCAAACTGGCTAGACGAGCTTCGTTTGTCAATTTTACAATCAATACAGAAAGAAAACTGCCAGTTTACAATGTGTTATTTTTATAAGATTAGGATTTTATGTCTAATTCGTTGTAAGCAGTTGCATAATTCTCAAGTTCCAGCATTCAGTACAGCATGGTTCTTGTTCACTGAAGAAGAGGAAAGTGCCGCTACTTCCCCTCCCCTCCTTCGCTTTATGTCCTCATTGAAACTCTGAGGAAGTTATCAATTGTAAGTGATTGTGGAGGTAGGGGTGGGGATGGGGATGGGGAAGTGGGGGAATACCAGGCTAGGAAGGTAAAGCGTTGGATAGAGGCACTTCCTTTATAATGTTTCGGTGTGACAGCATATTGTAAGGTAGGTTTTTGAATATAAGCTTACACAGAGATTATTCCATGGGAAGTGCGTGCAAACGAATTGATTCATGAGTTGCGATATATCAATAAAACGGACAAGTGAGCGCCGCTAACGAAAGTTTTATATGCAGTGCAACGAGCCTGAATTTTTTTTTTCAGGCCTTATTTTCACAACTACTCGAGTCGTGTTTATCACTGCGCTATCATATTCACGTCATTATCCGCATTTCGCATATATGATTTTCATATTTTCACAGTCATTTATTCATCGCTTCAAGGGTTTTATTTATTTCACAGTGTAAATCTCAGTATGTACGAAATAAATAACGTTCTTTCCTAGGGCAAAGGTCGGTGAATTGCTAGCTCACGTTACCTCTCCTAAGCTTCATGCGCAGTATGCTAAGGCCAAGGAGGCCGATGGGAAATACAAGGAGGCTGCAATAGCTTACGAGGCGGCTAAAGATTATGACAGCGTCATCAGGTAGGGACATTTTAGGACTTGAAACACCACAATGTGATACACACACGCGCCTTAAAAATAAAAGTGAAAAAATTAATTCTAAGTGATAATTCCTAAGGCCTTTTTGTTTGGTATTATATTTAATTTTGGCGACTTAATCCTTTCATCTTTGATTGTTTTAGGATCAATCTTGATCACCTGCAAAACCCCGAGGAAGCTGTAAGGATTGTGAAGGAGACCCAGTCTGTCGAAGGAGCTAAAATGGTGGCCAAGTATGATACCACTCAGTCTTAGTACTAGGTAATTTAGTGTTAACAACTGGGTTGAAAACATAAATTAGCCACCGTAAAGAGTAAAAAGCTTTTTACTCTTTACGGTGGCTAATTTACGTTTTCAACCCAGTTGTTAACACTTAATTACCTGCTATACTCTCCCACCGACGCAGCACCACAGTTTCTTTAGAAACTTACCCCTTTAGTCTTAGTACTAGTCTGTTCATAGCCGTTTTCATAAAACGTCGAAGAAGTGCAAAACGGCCGGTAATCGCTGGAGCTTGGAAAAGGATTAAATAAAATTTTCTTTTTACCTACCCCACTCCTAGCGATCGGGTTCGTTAAGACTCCCGCGATTTCTATCTCGCTCACGCCATGGACGATGAGCTTGGAGAAATAGAAGGTCTGTGAAAAGCGTCACGAGTTAATCAGTGGCATCCTTTACAAGCCCACAGTTTTATTAGGCAGCAACAACGGCTCACTCAAAATACCTTACTAGGAAAAAAATCAGTAGATTTAGCAAAAAACGTTGAGATTTGAAATGAGGAATCGACAGCGCGAAAGTAGGCGTGTTTTTCGTTATTGGTTTTCAATCTGACTTCTTGGTCATCCAGTCGTCAGGTAATTTTCTCACGTTTTTAAGTCTTGGTGACAATTTTTGTCGACGCTTTTGTTTAAGCGCCATGCATTTTTCCCGCCAAATCTTTGTGAGATATATTTATCTACGCATCCTATTCGATACTAGGTTCTTTCAGAAACTTGGTGACTTTGGATCTGCGATTCAGTTCCTTGTTCTGTCCAAATGTAACGATGAAGCATTTCAGCTCGCCCAGGTATGCCAATAAATAAAGCATAAAACTGCTATGGAAAAGTGATGGACTGATCGAGTCTAATATTCACGTGTTTCTTTCTCATCTGATTTTTAGACGCATAATCAAATGGAACAGTATGCTGAAATAGTTGGTAAGTTTAGTGACAGAAGATATTTTATTATCCAACTGCACGAAGTAGAGTACAAATAACGCGCATACAGTTAGTCATATTATACTGTAAAAAGACCTGTTTTACTGGTCGGCTGCGCGCGCTACACTTCTCTATCAGCATTGCTTTTTCAGCCGTTCGAGAAATGAGCAGAAAATCATGCAGTTGGATAATAAATAACTAATTAGACGTTTTGTTGTGTAGTGTTGCTTGGTACATTTACTCGTTCTCTTATTTTGACTCATCCTACGGGGTCGTCAAAATACGGCACAACTGGTAAAAATACTCAGCGATACTACACACCAAAACGTGTACTAAGACATATGCCTCAGAAAGGGCATCCCTCTGTTCCATGTACAGCTATCTTGCTTACTTTATTTTTTAAAGTGTACTTTGCACAACTACCAATTCTTCTAACCTTCTTTTTCGCAATTTACACCTAAATTTCACAATTTGAATCAGGCGTTGGTGGTATGTTCGTAACTAAGTCGAACCCAATCGATCTGTGTAAATTACACCTTGTCCCCTCCTTGTTTGGAACTGACGTAGTTGAACCAATCTCCTTACTGTGCGCAATTTTTGTCCTTGTTATCGCCTGTAAGTCTTACTTCTTAATGCGGCACTTTCACATCTGAAAATCCTTCTGTCACCGTACTGCAATAAATGTCAATCTTTGTTTCTTTTTTTTGTGTGACAGGCGATGATGCAGTTGCGGATGACTATGCCAGCATCGCCATGTACTTCGAGAATCAAAAACAATATTTCCTGGCTGGAAAGTTTTTCCTGAAGTCAGCACAATATGCTAAGGTAGGAAAATTGTTGAGGGTTTTGTTGCGTTAGCCTCTATTTACCTCCTTTAGCATGAAAGAGGAGAAATCTACTGTCCATTTCCTTTACTTATGACCTGTCATTCTCTCCTCTAAGGCTTTGAAGCACTTCTTGAAATGTCCCGTTGGAGAAGATGGCGAATCCATTGAGCTGGCAATTGAAACTGTAAGAACTGGTTCTCTTTTCAAGTTTTCTGTTCTTCGTTGTATTTTAAGACCGTGTTGTTTTGTCTTGGACCAAACTACAGCAACGTCAAGTGCAGTCGCCTACAGAAGCCATAACAGCTTTGATGTTTTATCAAAATACCATTTACTTATCAGATTATTTTGATTGACCAGTTGTTTTGGTTTGTTCATGTTTTTTAACTGGCCATATCTGTTGGTTGTTTAGGTTGGTCGGGCAGGTGATGAGGTGTTGACACATCAGTTGATTGACTTCCTTATGGGAGAGGCTGACGGTATACCAAAGGTAAACTATTGTCGAACCTGTATTAAGAGGTGACCTACGGAGTGACCACTTAATACAGGTTGACCAGCAAATTACTTGCGTGATTTTCGTGCGAAATATTTGTCCTAACAGTCCTAAGGAGAAAGACAATCTACAATGTGTCGAGGACACTTGAACTAAGGGTACTGACTTTGATTGCGGGAGATAATCATGGAATAAATTTTATTCGAGATAGTAATCTTGGTTTTATTTTAGTGGTTTCACTTTGAGTGAACGTTTAATACAAGTGGAAGGCAATTTAAGCAGGCCGTTGGGACTTGGTTTAGGGTGACCACGATCGCTTAATAGAGATGATCGCTTAATACAGGGTGACCGCCTAAAACGGTGGCGCTTAATACAGGTTCGACTATAATACTGACTGTGCCTCAAACAATAACTTCGTATATAAAACTTGAGGTGTCACATATTCCTACAAAAAGAATTTTGAAGTTTTAAACTCTTACAGTTACATTGTCCTGTGCTTCGTGGTCTATTCAAATTTATTTTCCTTTGTTGATCCTAAAGGTCAACTAGTTTGAGGAGAATTAGTTGTAGCTTAAGAGTACAATGACCTTCGTGTAAATGCTACAACTGGGTAAGTCTACTTAAAACCCAGCTGCTCTTGAAATCACTGCATCCAACGTGAAAGTCATTGACGAACAAGCTATAGTAACAGAATGTGCTGTCGGAAACAGATAGAAAAAAAAACAATACTTTAGAGCAGTTTTCAATCGTGTGTCGAAAGTAATCCATGATTGCTTTAGTTTTTCTTACCTTTGCTCAGTTATTGATTCAGAAAACTCGCGCTAGACAATTAATCGTGATTTAATTTGTCACACGCGTTTTCCCGGGTTTTTCATGCAGTTTGTTTACTTTTACTTTGAGTTCTCATTGGCTAACGATGATGTCCATCTTCGCTCCCATTGGCTGTTGTGATTACTTTGATTTTGATTTTACGAAAAAATAGCTCTTGTTGACTACATTCTGTTAGGAAGAGAATATATTCTCTTTTTCGTAATAAATATATAAAGACAAGCATTATTCCTTTTGAATTTTTCCTTACTCTAGGAAGCAAAGTACTTATTCCGGCTTTACATGGCCTTAAAGCAATACCGTGAGGCAGCGCGCACGGCCATCATCATTGCGAGGGAAGATCAGAATGCTGGTAACTACAGGAATGCTCATGACGTCTTGTTCAGCATGTACAGAGGTTTGTTCTGTCAATTATTTTTCCTTGACAGTATCGAGAATTCATATCATTTGCGAGAGGATCACTTAATATTGGCTTCAATGATCTAAATTCTGTATACATGTTTTGTACATCATGTCTTACCCAGAAAAAAACTTCCACTTTTTGATACCGAGAGACCTTAAGCAAAAATTGATGGCGACGGCAACGAGAACGTGGCTGAACAAAAGATTTAATGAGCAGAACAATAGCTCAGCACGTACGTCTCAAAACTGTGTTAATTTCTTTGCCGTCGCCATCAAAAACAACAACGTCAAATTACCAAATTTTTCGTGGTCTTGAGACGGACACCCCGATGGCAAATTGTTTAAGTTTCCATTTGGGACTCAACGTTAGTCCCTCTCGTTTTGCTGAAGTTGAGGTGTGTCGCTAATCTATTTCTTCCTTGGTGCTGCCTTTCTGACTGCTTAACGTCCCTACTACCTACTTTGGAATATCCCTTACGTCTAAATTTTAGATGAATGAAATATAGACATCGTCTTGTTGTCGGCTTAAATACCATATACAAAAGAAACAACCTCTCGTTCCTTTTGTTGTTAATCTGATAATACACCCCAGACGTATGAAGTTTACTGTTTTGCTTGAACGATCTTCAAATTTACTCTTACAATTTTCCGGCAGAGCTTACTGATCACAAGATAAAAATTCCCACGGAGATGATGCAGAATCTGATGATCCTTCATAGTTACATTCTGGTCAAGGTATGTAGGACTTGCTGATAGCAGTAACTGTTTTCCTGTGGCCTGTTTGTCATCCCCTTCCCTCAAGTCTTACTTCATAACAAACGAAATGATCCGCTTCCTCGTGGTCTTCAAGCACAAGTAAAGCTATCTCAAAGCCATGTATTTTTTCCGTTTTGCTTGCTTTCTCAACTTGGCATTTAGTTTTCTTTCACTCCTCAGTCTACGCTGAGATGTGATACCTGGTTTTCCATAATTGTGTTTATTCTGCCTGCGTGTGAGAGTAAGAATCGTTTTGTTTATTCTCTTTCAGCTACATGTGAAACGAGGAGATCACATGAAGGGTGCCCGTATGTTGATTAGGGTGGCTAATAACATCAGCAAGTTCCCTGCACGTAAGTGTTGAACATACGTGTTCTACATGAACTGTTTATTTTAGTTGTACGCAAAGTTTGATTGAGCGCCTCTTAAAACTCTGGTTCTTGCAGCATAGTGCATTTCCCAACATTTTTACACACCTTTTTAGGGGAGCAGAGTGTATTCACTCGACTTACCTTCAGACATTTTTGTGTGCCAAAACAGTCATGTGTAACTTGCTTCCTTTTCATGAAAATACATTTTCTTTTAAAATAGATAAGTGTAAAGCGAAGAAATAATGCTTGCTGGGATGTTTCGAAATTTATACAATTAATAGAAGACGCCTGAAAAAGTATTCCTGATTTGAACAGGATTTGAATTTGTGACCTTCGCAATGGTGGTGCGATTGCTTAACGAAACTAAGCAGCAACTGAAGGCACTGACATTGTGAGCATGCAGATCTGTTGTAGGCTAATGTGTTCCTGTTACGAGTTGGAAATAAGATGTGGTGGTGAAAGAATACACATGAACTGCATAAATGAAATGAAGTGAAATTTAAAATGACGAGAGTGATCCTTGCAAGTTTATATCGTGTCAAAGTCTTCTCGAATTCCATAAATCATTGCCTAACATCACTACGACGTTCATTTCATAATTTCAGTTTATTTTCCGCAATCCATACGAGTCCAGGGATAAACATATTGTCACTACAAATACATCACTTTAGTGTCGCACCTGTGTCTTAGCTTAACCCTTTAACTCCCAAAAGTTATTTTGAAACATGTAACCTTATCCAGCAACGGGCAGTGAGAATACTCAAACTTATCACGAAGAAGTTGTTTTCTTGATCTAACATTAAATTTTCGCGTTAGATGTACAAGGAAATGTATAGCAGTTAGAGGAGAGAATTAACTATTTGATCTGGGAGTTAAAGGGATAAATAAAATCGCCCCTAAGGGTAATGATGGTTCTACCTTCATTCTTTGGTTCTTTGGTTCATTTTTTGACTAATTTTTCTCGATTTATTATGATTTATGTTTTTTTTCATTACTTTCTCTTCCTCAGACGTTGTTCCCATACTGACGTCCACCGTTATCGAGTGCCATAGGTCGGGACTGAAAAATTCTTCCTTCAGCTATGCGGCCATGTTGATGAGACCTGAATATCGTCAAAAGATTGACCTCAAGTACAAAAAAAAGATTGAACAAATTGTCAGGTAAAACTTTTCAGAGCCGGCTGTTTAAACATAGTTTGATCAATGACTAGCAAAACAGCCATCTAAACTACTTAAAATTTAGCCAAACTTTTCGTCTGAAAACCTTGGTATTTGTGAACAGTGTCCTGAAGGCTTCCAAGAAACATTTTCCACAAAAACATCGGGATCCATTTGTTGTTTAAAACCGCGGAAAAGGCACAGCTTCGTTCGTTTAATCGGTACCAAGGTTTTTATTAAGAACCATTCAGAAATCTGACGAAGTCTTTCCTTTGATTATCAATTTGTCCAGCAAATTTGTCCAACAGATTGTTTCCAGTTCTTCAGTTTTATTTCAATGTCCCACGATTAACTCTGCTTTCAGGAAACCAGACAAGACGGAAGAGGACGAACCTCAAGATCCTTGTCCTTACTGCGGCAACGAAGTACCTCAGACTAAACTGGACTGTCCAGAATGTAAAAACACCATACCTTACTGTATTATCACGGTGAGTAACAACTGAATAGCGGAAGCCCGTGAGCCAAACAACCGCCAGAGACTGGGATCCAATATTTCGTGGTTTGCCTCGTTCACTTGCAAAAATGTCTCGCTTGTGTACTAACATGTTTCTTGAGCTATATTGTGGTACTACGGCAATTCTAGAAATTTAGTGACAGAGAATTAATTAGCAATGATGCAAAGCCTATTGCAGGCAAATTCGCGGAACTTTTGATTGACTCTCACAAAAATTCTGGGAATATGTCGTGACTTTCCGTCAGTCTTTCTATCTCGCTTAATAGCTTCCTCTCGTTTCTTACCTGTGACCGCGTTTTTCAATACTGTTTTATTTCACAGGGTCGTCATATGGTTAAAGACAACTGGACAATGTGTCCTAACTGTTCGTTCCCTGCTCTTCACTCGGAACTTATGAGGTTGGTGTTTGTATCATATAAAGATATAACCTGGCTTTAAACCGGCGCTCTAATTGTTTTTTCTTCGTTATTCGTCATCAAAGGAGGTTAACCATTGAAGAGCGACGTAATATCGTCTGTTAATGCCATGTTTCAAATATGAGTAGAATTTTCAAACAATTCGGAAGGCCTCAACTCAAGTCAGAAAATTATGATTGTTAATTTCTTGAATGAACGCACACTTTCGGGAGTTGAGTTTTCATTGGCTTAATTGTTGATTTTGAGGTTCTAAATGTTTGTATTTATCGAGGAGCGTGAAAAGGCTCTACTTTGTTTTTTCTTTCTCTTTGGGGCTCGCATACTTGAATAGGAACGTGGCGTTAGTCACTCGTGTGACTATGACGGTATGACCAAATTTTCTTAGATTTAGGATCCGCAGCGCGCGCAAACTCCACTATTTCTAAGCTTCCTATGGTGTGCGACTGTGCAAAGTGTCAGTTTATTTCTTGGTAGGTTTTCACCGCAGTAAAGGAAAAGTATTACTTTTTTACATTTATTGCAGTCTACTGGAGGCTAGTGAAACAGTGTGCCCAATGTGCTCCCAAAGCATAGCAGCCACGGAAGTGAAACCAATCAAGGATCCATCACCGTATTTGAAGACTGCAGATCAAGACTGAGAATCGAGCCAGAACACGAGTTCTGTGAAATGCTACCTTGGAGTTGTATTTGAATGTAAATAATCATCGCTTCTTGGATCTCTGCGTTTTTATTTATTTATTTTTTTGATCGCATGAGATGGTTAGAATTTAAGTAATAAATAGCATGCGAATGGTACTTTGTTGTCAATAAAAACACGTTAGATGTACTCAACAAATTTGTTGTGAGATAATTTTTTCCTCTTCCACAATGTTGAGTCCGGAAGCTAAACCACCCCTAACTTGCGGACTAGAAATTTTTTTGGGAGAGAGAATGGTTTAAACTTTTCCTTTAGAGGCTCATTGCATAATCTAAACGCGCCATATTGTCTCCCAGGAAAATACGAAGTGGCCAGAAATACATTTGTAGGTAGCAGGAAGGACAAGACCACAATCTTACATCTGCATAATTTTCTGTCACGCTATTTTTCTGAACCGTTATTAAGTTTAAATACGCAATTCTTGTTACAGTTGACAAAGTTAAGAGCATTAGTAAGATATTTATATAAACTCAGCTGCTTTTGTGATAGTTAGACATTTCATGAGGGGTTAACCGAAACGGTTGCATAGAGACAGATATTAATATTTCTCTGGCTGCTGCTCACTATTTCAGTTCTTTAATATTGTACATATAAAATAATTATTTTGCATTGAAGTTAATGTACATGTGTAATCTTACAAGAGGACTCAAAATTATGTCGGAAAATCTAACCAGTCAGTTTGGTAAGTTGGACGTCCTCTTGCACTCAAAAATATCAAGTTAATTGAATCTTCACCCATCCAGTTCCACATGCATTTTTCATCACAGCACATCAAACTTACAATTTAATCTTTTAACACCAGTGGAGTCGAGTACAAAGTGACAACAACCACACAGACTGCCAAAATAAGAAGGAAAAAACGAAAAGAAAAAAATTGAAGGAAATGTCGTGTCAGCCATTGAAATCATAAATCAACTGGATGTGCTAATTTGGGATATCCAATTGTTTAACAGACTTGTGTTTGACTGTGGAACTGTCAAGGTTCAGATCTGTGGTACTTTCCACATAACTACCTTGTGTAAATTAATCAGTATTGTTTTCTAGGCAAAACAGAAAATACCTGTGTCCAGAAGAAAAAAACATTACACAACTGTTTTGCCTAGCCTACCCTGAGAAGGCAACAATACTTAGCTGATAAAATCTAAACATATATAATTGTTTTAAGTCTCCTGTTTTGAGAAATGTTGATGAAAAACATTCTCCTTTATTTTCATCGAGTCAAGGCTACTCCTCACGTGAAGGCTGAATTATGCAACTAATCAAGCTGACTTGAGCCAAGTTGCATATTTCACTAGTACTATTTCTGTACTAACAAAACTAGCTCCAATGCAGGAAGAGGATGGCGTTACCAACACTTGATGAAAATAACAGGGCACCTTGTTTACTCTAAATTAAAACAAAATCTCCTACCCTTTACAAATCAGTCTGCCCATTGAGTTTGGGAACACAAAACCACATTTAAATAAGCCACAACATATTAAAGCATGGTGTATTACTTTTTATCAGTTGGAGAGCATTTACTGCATCAAAGACAATTGCATGTAGAATTTCATGGACAGAAATAAAGGAAACTGTTAGAGATTGCATTAAATTCTAATCAAAATAACTTTTGTTCCTAATTCTGCTGTTGATGCCATTACCAAGCTAATCTGGATAGAACAAATTCATTTAAGTTTAAAGATATACCAGCACATCCAGTTTAACTTTGCAATGGTGTTAGTCACAATCATGAAACAGGAAGTTGTGGTTGGTCCATCTCTAGCTATGATTTAGGAAAGAGTATCCTCTGATAATACAAATGCAGCTTGTGTTCTTTATTTCACATCCTCTGCCTTTCCAGTTTCTTTTTTCTTCTTCTTTTTTTTTTCTTCAAGGACACTACATCAAGTTCCATAAATTACAAAAACTGAAATTTTAAATGTACTGGGCCAGCCACCTAAAGCCTAAAATAAAAGAAAAAAATACAATTGATTTATAATTTTCTCTCAGAATTAAGAGTCTACACAAGCAGGTCTTTGAGAAAGTGAATGGAGACACCTCTAAATTGTTTAAGTGCAAGAACACTTGGCTTAGCTTGGATTAGTTACACACTCATCACTGTCCCCATTTTACTGCCAAGAGAGACCAAAATAGCATTTCTCTTTACAATTTTGATTAGTTTTCAAGCAGACAGGTCATGAGCAAACAGAATAATATCCGATAAATAATGCTTGATTTACTACCAAATTCTCAAAGGTCAAAATATAAGAAATTCATGGTAAACAGAATGGATAATCTGCATCAAGCTCTTATGAGTGAAAGGGTTTTAACTGTATCACGGCAAGTCAATGAATCTCTACATATTGCATATGTAACCCATACACAATCCATTTCTGTAAAACTTACCTTCACCATATCCCTGTCTTTTTAACACACTACACATATACAATTCCATTGGCCGGGCTTGCAGATCTTTAGCGGCAATATTTCCCTGTGGGAAAACCATTGTTATTTCATACATGTAGATGCACATTCAATACTATGGTAAAAAGCTTACAAGGCATAATTAAGAGATGCCACATAAAGGTTACAAGTAGTTGTAACTGCACTTGTGGCCATTAAGCATGAATGAAAAATTCCATGGTGTTGTAACCCTTAGTAGTTCTGCACTGCCATAGATTTGACACTTCAATCAATTTATTAATCTTATACACCTTTACAATTTAAAACCCAGGAACACTGCATGCACAAAGAAACATTAATTTAGGAAACATATCAAAATAGTACAAGCAAGTAACATCAATGATGAACAAGAACATTTGATTCATCTTTTCTTAATGTTGAGACATCAGAATATACTTATGCTCTGTAAAGAGTATTGTTCTGTATCATAACATAACATAAAATGACATTCAGAACAACTACACAGATAGTTCAGTGAGACTTTAGTACCTTTCCTGTGGTGAGACCATAAAGGCCAAAGTACTGTCTAATGACATCTTCACTTGCAGCACCAGGGATATCAATTTTGTTACCAAGAAGAAGAACAGGGCAACTTGCTAACTGTTCATCAGCCAACAAACTCTGCCGAGTAAAAAATATAACTTCATATAAGCTACACTATTCCTAAGCACTTCCTTGACTTGATTGTACATGCACCTCTGAACATCCAAACACTGTACATGTTTTGCTTGCATGAACCTTTTCTTTTTATTTTACCAAAGAGCACACAAGTGTACACTGTAGTGTCCATGGTTTACCATTTTACTTATAAATACATGTATATCTTTTTTGAGTGAAGTGCAGATGTAAATATACAATATATTTAAATTCAATGGCCTTTGTATAGACCATCATATGGTTAGAGCAGTGTTTTAACATGTAGCTCCAAAGACCCTCAAAATCATATCAATAATTGACTTGAGTAAAGGAAATTATAAGATACATGTTAAACATGTTTGATTTGAAGTTACTACTTCCAAGACGGCACAAACCTCTAATTCACTTTTGGACTCGGGAAGCCTCTCTCCATCGGCACAATCAATAATGAAGACTATTCCATTAACTGCTGGAAAGTAATCTTTCCAAATGCGACGAGCTGTGGAATAAATCAGAAAATCATCCTATATGTACATGACTTTGTGTTCTTTTTTATCAATCTGGACTGATATAGACAAAACGAATTAGAGCTTGAAGTGTTTTGTGACCTCAAAATTAAAAATGTAACCTAACTAAAAGCAAAATATTTTGCTCCTGCTGAGACTATTTTGGAAACTCTTAATTCACATTGATTTCACTACGGACATCCCCTGTGAATTCCCAATTGAAAAATATGATTTCCCTGTGGCATGAAGATGTTTGTATTAAGAAAACTTATCCTAAGGCGTCTTTACATTATATTCCTTTAATGTTTACTGACATCACACAGAGGTAAAACCGTTACGAGAAGGATATCTTAGAAATGAAACTACTCTTCTGAGAATAAAGAGGGCAAGTTTCGAAAGAAACTGTGGTGCTGCAATGGTGTAAGAGTATAACAGGTAATTTAGTGTTAACAACTGAGTTGAAAACGTCAACTGACCACTGTTAAGAGTTTAAAGGCTGATGTTTCGAGTGTTAGCCCTTCGTCAAAGCGATTGAAAAAGGGCTAATTCTTGAAATGTCAGCCTTTAAACTCTTTACGGTACTCTTCTAGGAGTCTACATGTACCTGTACTAAAGTTTACAAGTATGGGAATCAGCACATCCACTCACTCTCCTTCCTATACCTAAACTTAAGTACACTGTAACAATGGATCTACAAGGGAAGCATATCCTACCTTGCTTATGACCACCTAGATCAAATGTTGTGAACTTCATGCCACCCATTGACAATTCCTCGGATGCTAGGATTTAACATAGAATGACTTCAATTAACATTTTTTGAAACAAATTGAACAAGACCATGAGGTTTACATTTCCTTTAAGATAACAAGGAGGGTCACATATACGGTAAGAATAATAATATTCATGAGGTTATTGTCCAAAACATCAGAACTACATTTGTATTTTGAGCGAAGATTTTCCTTATCACCCATGATGCATGCTATATGGATTTTCATTGCATGGATTAGACTGAAAGAAAGGAACTTCAACTTGTATGAAAAATTAATTTCCCACAAAATCCTTTGTTGACCCATTTATAGTAACTCAAACTGAGTTTCAAGGGTCTTGATGCTTGATTTGAATGTCTCAAAACTTGACTCAAGCCCTGTTCCTCAAAGTTATCAAGAACTGAGGATCGAGGGAATGTTAACTTATTATTGAGCCATACTGTATAAGTAAAATATTGGAAACAAACTGTTTGAAAACTGACTCTAACAATCCATTTAAGACCTAAAACCTATAGAGTACAACAATGACTACGTGTATGTTTCAACTCCTGACACCTCTTTTCAAGGTGAGTTGTTACCAAAATGTACCCTCAGGGTGTGAAATTGTGCCTAATACAGGTGCCAATGCTACTAAATTTTTCACTTTGGTGACCAAATCCTGAAAATTGGTTGCCATATTGGTGACTAGAATGTTTCATCATAACCTTACCATGAGATATAGTGGATTAAAAAGGTTTGCAGAGATAAATCTGCAGCAAACTTCCTTGTTAAGTTTGTTTCCAAAATGCAGCATGTGCATCTCAATCGATAACTAGACGCCATCTTGGATTTAGGTGAGCTTGAACATTGTATATCATCCATCCTAGTGTCCACTTTAAAGCACATTAAAGATCTTTTCCCTACCTTAATTTTGGAGGGTCTATCTAGAATGCTGACAGCGTAACAAAGGGTTTTGTTTGTCTCTGAAAATGGCGACCAACTTTTTTTGAATTGGCTACCACTTTGAAGAATTTAGGAGCTGAGTGGCTATCAGAAAAAAATTTCACGCCCTGACCCTTCTGTCAGTTTGAATTGTTCATTAAGCATTGTACAGTTGTAGATCCAACAGCTATTTAAATGAATAAATATATAAAAGAACATCTTCAAGTATATGTACATAAGAAAACAACATACTTGGATGCAGGGTTGGTACATGCTGCGCCATACGATCATCCTTCAGCATGTGCAACAGGGTTGTTTTACCAGCATTATCTAGTCCTAGAAAAACTAATTTACCAGTCTTTTTCATTAGCCCTGAGGGAAAAAAGCAATACACGCACTATTATAAAACTGTTCAACATTAATTGAATAATTAGGTCTTCAATTTTAGTAACCTTTCACTCATTAATTCACAACATTTGCACCAGTCTCTTTCCCAGATATTTCGAGAAACAGACACAAAATACTTCATCTAAATAAATGTTATAAATGTCACGACACAAAAATGCATGAACTATGCTGACTGGTTCAAGCAAGTCTGGACTTTAAAATTTAGGAGGTCCAAAGTTCAAGTTCCACACACCAGATTATGCTACATCTTTCTCTCCATAGCCTGCTGTGACCTCTATACTGCCTATTATTCATGCCCCTTTCCAGATGGGATTTTTAACAATTTAAGCTCTATTGGCCATATTTGTTTTGTTGTTGCTGTTTTTCTTCTAACAGTGAACCCAATCAGAAAATTAATTCCACTGTAAACACTCTGTATTCATCCTGCATGTGGACTGAATCTCAAACCTCCTGGGCATACAGTGTATAGAAACTGTTTGCTATACTAGAGGCTTGAAGTATTCAGTACAGCACAATCACAGTGGTAGACTGACAAAAGTCATTGTCTCATCATGTAACTCAATTTCAAGATTTAAAGAAATGCCCAATACTTGTATGGCTTTCAAAATAGATGAACAACAACAAGATTGAGCTCAACACAGACTCGCCAATGAAGCAAAAATCTTGAATATCTTTGGCTAAAAAATTAGCACATACATTAGGCAATTGCCCGTTAGAAAATAGTTTCATCTCCTGGATGAAAAATTGGCAATTTTCCCTAGAGCGAAACTGAAACAGGTGGTCAAAACTAACAGGATAGATACTACAATGAATCATGTACAGTGTGTGCACAACACACTGTTTGTATCAGCCCAAATTTAAGACAAAAGGTAAAAGTACGAGAAAATAAAACTCATCTTTAACTAATACACTAGATTAATTTCTACTAAAACCCTTGAATCTGAGTGTACTGAATGTATCTGCACAAACAGCTAAGGCTTTTCGTTTACTTATTTTTTTTTAATCGCAGAATAATTCTCCACTGAAGTAATTCCATCCGCAGAAGCGAGAAATTTGTCTAGGACAAAAACTTACCTAAATAGTTCAACATTCCTGTAAACCATTCCCACATAAACATTTTTGCAACAAACCTGAAAATGTTGACAGAGACAATCGTTTTTACATGAAATTAAATCCTGAGAACAGTTCTTTACACAATCTTCCTTCGAAGATACAAATTAACTTCACGAACAACTCACAGATTGAATCTCATCATGCTAAATTCACTTTCAGACAAAATAGTCATTATGATACAGCTTTAATTTCTCTCTTCGATAGAAACGGAGGAATGATTGTTTCAAAACCACAGCGTATTTCTTCTGTCAGCTAAATAGTCTCAGACATTTATAGCATTGCTACTGTAGTTGTGGTGACGTGCCAAAAATTACGTAAAGCGCCACTATCTATTCCAAAATAGAACACCGTTCACTTGTTCACTGTAAATTCGATGCCGTGGATACTACTACGAAGTAGGAATTAGCGGGATAATTTCATAGAAGACTTAACAAAGCTCTTTTAGACGCCTGCATACTTCTCGGTTCAAGGACACGTAGTGCCAAACCGAATTATCATTTGCCGGTTCAGAGTAACAAGTATACCTTCACGCCAAACAAATTTTCGGGTAAAGTGAACCGAGAAGGATTTTCCACAAGGAAATTATGACAAAAACCTTTTCAAACTTACCTAAAACTTTGAAAATCCTACTTAAAATCGTGATAATATTGGAATTTCGTATAAAACTCTTACACAAAATTTTACACGCGTACGACTTTCCGGCGCGTTGTCCCGTATATTGAACCTATTGCGCAACTGCGCCACGTAATGACCTCGATTTGGATCATGAGTGACTTCCGGTCAGGGGCGTATAAGGCACGCGAAGATCATACCTGCCTACATAAGTTGTTTTTTTTTTTCCAGGTTGCTTACACTTCTTCTAATATATATACATATATATGTATATGTATACGTATGTTTGTCATAGAAAAGTTGTTACAGGTATTGAAAGAGAAACTTGCTAACAATGGCTTTCCCCAAGAATTGTTATTTCTCAGAATAAAAGAAGGGGACAGCCAGATGCGTACGTAAACGTACGTATTTCCGGTTGAAGTTTGGGCTGAGCCAGAACAAGTTGAGGGGAACTAAGCTGATCTTAGGTGCGGTAACTAAGGGTAACTTTCTCTTTTTTTTCTGTTGCTGTTTTGTGGTTTATTTTTAACAAACAGTGTGAGCAAATTCATCACCCTGAATCCATCGTCCTGAAAAAGCCACCTGCACATCGGTAACAAACACTAATATGTCGCTTACACAGTAACCGACCTGTAACTACAGGCCCTTAGAGATTGTGCTTGCATAATTTTTTACATAATTTGGAAAAACGAGCATAATTTTTGCTTCTTATAAATGTAGCACCACTGGAATAATTAGAACATCATCGGTTAAGTGTTTTTGAAGGGAACATTACGAGAGTCATGAGTTGTTTGGTCTCTTGGATTGATTATTTATATATATTCGTGATATTGAGGCTATTCTGCGTCATTTGTCCTCTAAGGGGATGGAACACCGGGAGTAAAGATTGCATAGTACTAGTTCCGCCTCTACAGGCAAAAAAAGAGACATCGAGCAACTCACAGATAAAGACGATAACCAGCCGCTATGAGGCCGCGTTCCCTGCGAAGACCGGACACGAAAAAGCAACGGAAATCGAGCCTACGCAGCCACCCGTCTGGCCAGAAGGTTTTATCACGTTCGATATGATCTGAGTTATCAGGACATATTACTCGTGATGCTAACATCATACCTTTTGACACTTTAAGTCTCCGGTTTTTAGATATCATGCTCTATATAGAAATGAATTTGAACTTGTTTTGTGTTCCTTTATTAAAAATAATCAAGCAGCACAATCTTAAACTAGGATAATTTCCAGCATAATTTGGCAAAAAATCGAGCAATACTTGTAGTTTAATATACTACTTTAACTAGCACAATCTGTAAGGGACCGCTTGTAACTAGCACACGCCTTCATTGCATTGCACCTCCTATTCAGTTCTACAGCCCACGATCGGGAAAGTTACGTGTTACAAAAGTACAAATGTACCGGATCGGCGGCGGTGCTTGGTTAAATCAGTTAAGATGTGCTTTACTCAATGGTTTAACATGTAATACGAGCAGATATTTTGGGAGTTACGTGGTATTTTTCAGAGGCCGGAAGGCCCTCAAAAACGATAAAAAGAAGTTTGTATCGGATCGTTCAGTCCGTCCATTTTTTTCCTCGGTATTTTTGCCTTGTTCTGTAGTGTAATAACGTGGCATGTTTTGCACTTTTTCATGAATGACAAAGCGGTGGAATAATAATTTTATTCATTGTACGGGACAAAGGAAATAAAACCTAACAGTAAACTAAACTAAACATATGTAGACCCGAAACAAAATGAAGACTCTTGTCCTCTTTTTGTGCTTGGTAATTCATTGTCCTGACTTGATCGTGTACGGAATACTTCTTTCTGGCCAGCATAGGGCCAGCATAAGGCCAGTATAAGACCAGCACTGAGACTAACACATGATGCGTCAAGTAAAGTTCCTTTCAGTCTTTTTGCCTAGCGAACTTGCATTACCATAACAACAAGTTTTATGTTTAATACGTTACGCTTCAATAAAATTTCTTTTGATAAATAGAATACAAAGGTGGTGAAACCCTTTCAATTGCAAATTGCTGCCAGAAAAGTGGGTTTGTAAGGATTACTCAACAAGACAATATTAATTGATGAAAATGGTTTCAGAGCCTAGCGAATTATTAATTAATCAATATTACCGATAGAGATTAAATTACATTTGCCAGAGTCTTTTTATGGACCTACGTTTTAACTTAAGCAATATATATGCCTGCTGCTAAAGTCCTTCAGGCGTTGTTATGGATTATTTAGCGGCACCTCTTTATTTACAGCAATTATGAAGGCAGTATTTCATATCAGTGCTAAACTAATAACTGATTGCACAACTTAATTTTCCGGGCAAACTGTTTTCTCCGGCTGTTTGCCTTCTTAAAATTCGATTCTTTCAAAGCGAAGTCTACTCATGTATACCAAATGAACTTTCGTATCACCACGCTATCCAGACAAACGAATGGAACTTTTATGCAAAAAAGCATGGTTTTTCATCCGTAAAAGTGGAATTTTAATAAAGCCAATTAAACACTCTTTAGAATTCCTTCTACGGTTGACAAGTTAGGAATTTGAATAAATCTCTAAGTTTTGTTTAAAGCCCTGCAATTGTTTGTCTTGTCTTAATGAATTTTCGTAATAAATCGCATTTACTATGTCAGTGGCATGAGAAAATATGCTTTGGAGAGATAATATCTTTGCACGAAACTGTCAAAAGCTATACTTGATGACTTCATTGACGAATTTTGTCAGACATTTCTGTGACGAAAAACGACTCAAACTGTGTGTTATGCTCTTCGTCGTTAATTGTTGATTGTATATCACTCCGCTTACGCCCATAGTATCAACAAAGTGCTCAAAAGATAATTTCTCCTTTAACCTCACTACATTTAATGAGAAACGGTTAATGAGAAGGAAATGAAACTTGCAATAAGCTAAGAGACAATATTCTGACCGAAAGAGGAACTCTCATAACACGACATAAATGAAGTATTGAATAAGAAGTTAGGAGATTTATTTCTTGACCATTTGTATGGGTATTGCGAGAGAACAATTAGTAAGGAATGAAAACTTGAAGAGGTGTCCACAAATCAATTCAGGACATTAGCAGCTGGATGAGTCATTGTAGGCATTACTCGATTACCTCGTCTCCGACTGCATTGACTAAGATGTCTTGGGTTGGTTTTCTTATGGTCCTGTGCATCACAGTCAGTTTCGTCTCAGATTCCATGGCCGCGGCGAATATGCAAAATTGGAAGCACGGCAAGCGTAGGATGTTAAAAGACCGATTACAGAATCGTCGAGAAAAAGAGGTAAGGTGTTTATATTGAGTGAATTGATGAGATATAATTGAAATGGAGACCATTTAAGCAGTTTTTTAACCTTGGTAGAAATTGAATTTCACCCGAAGGTCGAATGTCTAAGGGTTTTGCAAATTTTCGAGTTTAAAGCGAAGTTCTGTCTCAGGCTTGACAACGTAAAGGCTGGTAATAAGTCACTCAGACGTCGGCATAACTTTTTGGTGTGAGTTCACGGTAAAGTGAAAGCAATACGTGAAAACATTAAGTGAAAACTAAGAGATTAGAAGGGAACACACACTGAGACTTCTTCCTTGCAAGTTCAAACAATTTCTTAATTTTAAAACCTGGAAAAGATTGCATCTCTTTCAGTCTGCGATATGCAAATATCCGGTTTGTCTATTAAAATGAATATGCTAAAAAAAGTTTATCTATTGACATTTTTGATGTTAATAACTTTTCTTTCCTTAAACTTCCGCTTTGAAGCTGTTGACGGTCTTAAGTTTCTAGTTTGTACCTCCGCCTATCGTCTGATAAGTCTTTAGAGGCTGTCGTTAACACGTCCCTGATAAATGCATGCTACTAAGTATGACAACCAAAGAAAATGTCAATGTTTAGGTCTTCGCAACAGGCTACTAACCATTGTTTAGATAATTCTCAGTGGTATAATTAAGAGGATTTTAAAAGTTTTATTAGCTATTTCACTCTGCATGGAGTTTGCGCTTTTCATTCGAATTCCCATACTTGCTGCAACGAAGATAATTTTAACGGCGATGAAAATAACCGCGATTTAAAGAACTTTTATGACAACATGCCATTAATTTTCTTTTGAGTAAACAACTAATAGTTTGCATTCCAGTGCAGCAGAATTTCGTAATAGATGACTAGGTTCTTTATTTATTTGCAATATTTAAATCATCGGAAGGGTATGAACTGCAATCCCTCTGAAGTGTATTCTCTCGGATTTCTTTATTTAGATTTCAATGTGCGTTGTTTTTGCGTCAGTCTATTCAGGAAAAGATTGGCTTCGTGAGGTTACACACTCCTCCAATTATCATCTTCCTGCTGTGTAAAGCAAATACCGGTATTAGTTTTGTACGAGACAGCGTCCTCTGGACTGAAAAGCTGTCAAAATCTGATAAACGTAAACTATCAGGGAACCAAGTTTT